CAATCGCATTTAAATCTGTTGAAAATCTCGAGCACACGCTGGCATCGAGAGTTGATTATTGTCTAGGTAAGTTAATAAATGTATAATTAATAATTTATATAACAGTTAAAGCTACATTATGGTGGATTCGATAACGAGTTGGCAGTTGTCACTATAATAGTTAAACATTTCCGGCTAGTCTATATCATCATTACTAAAGTCAGTACGATAAAAAGCATAGTCTCGATTATCCATTTAATCGTTAAATCGTGAAGGAAAGTTATGCAGTTAATCAGCTCATAATCCACTAAGGATCGCAGGCTGGCGATGCCATCTAGAATTGATTATGGTCTGGATAAGTTAATTAATGTCTAATTAATCATTTAGATAACATTTCAGGCCTAAACAAAGACCTGCAATAGACAGATTTAGCTCTTGCATATTGTATGTTTAAGGCCTATAGAAAGACCTGCAATATAGGCAGATTTAGTTCTTGAATAATGTCTTTTCATATAAAATTAACTGCCATGTACTTTATCTTCGTCTTAAAATTATACGTTCCATTATTGTTCACATAGGCCTATGCGTTCTATCACCAACCAGAGAGAGAGAGAGAGAGAGAGAGAGAGAGAGGGGTTTAACGTCTCACTCGACACAGACTAGGTCATTTCGGGACTAATATATGGTTTAATTTTATTTCAATAATTCGCTTGCGCGTATAGGAGACTTTAGCAGTGGGAGGAAACCGGAGGACCCGGAGAAAACCCACGAGGTTGGACAGGCAACCCTACTCCTTGTCACGTACAACCGGGGATTCGAAATCATGCCAGTTAACTCAATGACAGGCCTCATGATACAGCGCGCACGTGCTAACCATTCGGCCATCCAACCCCCCTATTACCAACCAACTTGCCGAATAGGAAAATGAAAGTTATATTTTCGGAGAAATGTACTACCGATTACAAACTAGTTTATCTTGTGGCTTTTATAAGTTCTTATGCTTTCCCTAGAAATGTACATACGCGTGCGTTACCAAGGATGCCTTATCAATCTGGGCAAATATTGTGTTCTTCGTTATATGGCATAACATTGTCCGACACAAGTTATAATAAGTGGACTATTTAAATATGATTGTGGAAATCAAACTTCTAAAATCTTTTTTAATTTGTTCTAATATTTAACTATTTATTATAGAATTCATTGAATTTGGACCAAACTTTAACAAAATCGCCCTATTTACGAGTTTTCAGTTAAAACTTTATCAATCTGGTTAAAACACAGATCCTATTTCGTTTCGTTTTTATATAGTTCAAAATTTCGTTTTACTTGTCTTTACTACACTTGTGTAGTGTAGGCAATCGAAAGTATATAAAAACGAAATGAAATATAGATCTGTATTTTAATCAGATTGAAACTTTACTGACATCATATTTCAAAATATATACTATTCAAAAAAAGTAGGGGATATTTGATTTTGGGGGCATAATACTAAAATATGCAAATGACTACGAAAAAAGTCACTATAGAACCTAACAGAAGAAACATTTCCAGTTACATGTGACGCCCAAACGCACCAATAGCTACCGCATGGAATGCAGGTGATGCTTGGGATCATCATGGGGGTCCAACCCAAGATTTGCACGACTCTGACTTTGAATGTTACAGTCATTGTGGCATTGAATTCCAGGGTGGAAACATCAGTTTAATTGTTTTAGTGACCAGAAAACAAATTTTGATATGCGTCGGCTTACCCAAAATGAATGGTTACGTGCCCTTGGCATGCTACAGATCGGCACAACACAGGCGGTTGTGGCGCAGACGATGAATGTTTCTCAGTCTGTCATAAGCAGGCTATGGTCCAGATACCGTGATACACAATCTGTACAGGACAGACCACGCTCAGGTCGACCAAGGGCGACAACTCAAGCCCAGGATCGATTTATCCGTACCTTGGCCTTGAGAAATCGTGTCATCACAGCAAATCAGATCAGCGCTCGTCTTCAAACAGACACTGGTGTGAGAGTGAGTGGCCAGACGATTCGGAATCGACTGCATAGGGGTCACCTTCGCGCCCGACGTCCTCGCGTGATCCCTTGTTTGAGAGATCATCACATTCAGGCAAGACGTCGTTGGTGTAGGGATCGTCAACACTGGGATAATCGACGCTGGAGCAATGTGATGTTTTCAGTTGATTTTTTGGACAGACGTAGGAGGGTGTGGCGTCGTCGAAACGAGCGCTTCCAAGACGTTAACGTCATCAGACATGATCGATTTGGGGGTGGTTCTGTTATGGTGTGGGGAGGCATCACTGTTGCTGGAAGAACGGCTTTACATGTTGTTGCAGGGCGTGTACAGGCCAGTACTACCGGGACAACATCTTGGCAGTCCGTGTTGTGCCGTTCGCACGACGTCATGGCCGCCGTTTCATCTTCCAGGATGACAACGCAAGATGTCACAGGGCCAGGATCGTTACAGGTTACCTCCAACAACAGAACATCACCACATTACTTTGGCCAGCACTGAGTCCCGACCTCTCCCCCATCGAGCATGTCTGGGACATGCTTGGACAGAGGTTACGTCAACATCAACAACGTCCTGCCAATGTCCAAGAACTTGCTGCTGCGTTGCAACAGGAATGGGACAATCTGGACCAAAATGACCTTAGACGTCTCATTAGGAGTATGCCACGTCGGATCAATGCTTATTTGGCAAACAGAGGAGGATTTACCCGTTACTGACTTGGTTGTGATGCTGTGGTAACTTTGCTGTTTGACCCCGGGTATCATTTTACCCTTATAATGGTCAGTCTGTGCCTTACTTAGTCTAACGATCATTTGGAATAAATCGATGAATGTGAACTTCATTTCATTTTGTCATTTGTTTCTTCGTCAGTTTCATTAGGTGACTTTAATAACACTTAAAAATCAAATATCCCCTACTTTTTTTGAATAGTATACTTATAAATATATCAAGGTAGAAAAGGAGGCAGGGGTCTTAGACAGTGGCGAGAGTTCTCTGCTTTTTATCATTCTTTGCTCCGTTTCGACCAGGCCACGAGGATTCTCTCCTTTTTATCATTATTTGCTTCGTTTCGTGGATTGTTATTTTCTTTGTTTTTCATTCTCTGCCTCTTTCGGTGAAATGAAATGAAACTGGGTTTAACGTCCTACTGTTCTGCTCCTATACTGGGCTAATGAAGACGGGCATATGCCATACAGTGTGCTATGAGGGAAATTTTGCCCGGACATCGGCACTATCGCCTACTCTTATATCGAATTCCAACTGCCAAGGGATCTTTTACGTGCATTCCAATGTATACACGGGACCTCGGTTTTTCGTCTCATCCGAAGGACTAGACAGCTGTCCTTGTCAGGACCTCCGTTCTGCACCACTGACAAGGGGAAACCACGTCGGTCTTTCGATGAAGGTGTCGTTATTTGCTTGTTAAAGACGAGAGAACATCTATAAATTGTAACTTGTATTCCATATTGTCATGAGTGCATTAAATAGCCTACATAATTGAAGCGTTTTCACTTGATTTCAAGGAACCGAGCGAGACCGGATACAAAACATTGTTTATGTGTATGTTACAAATCTTAACCTACAACACTTATATATTTTTTCGAATGGCGCGCATGCCCCTTTGAATCGCACGCATGCACATAATTAGCATACGAACGATTGAGATCGCCTACGTCACGGGTTTCGACCAATCTATGAGAAGGTTAAGGGATTGCAGACTCACCGAGTCTCCGCCCATAGCGCAGCTAGTCCGATGAGTTGAACTGGAATTTAAAAGTTTTTGTCACTTTTTGCCATGGCATGAACCATCGGGCCCCCTAAACCACAGGCAGGGCCCTGGGCTTAGCTCCGACAATGTATGTTACCATCATCCTCTCCAAATTACGTAGGCATACATGATACACTACTGAGCTTTTTAAAGAGAGAAATCCAACACCCCACTTGACGTCACTTTTTATAATAAATTAATGGGATAACATTGTGATTCAATTTCATTGATGCAAAGCATTAATTGTTATATTACATATGTCAGAATCATTATATCGCGCTTTGAATGCCCATCCCATCCCACCCCATCTGAGGATAAAGCACACGACCGTGACACTTTTCTCATAAAAATATTGTTTTAAGGTGGAGAGGGGGACCCCAATCCCCCGCCCCCTCCGGATCCGCCCCTGAAACGATAACGAAGCCGAAAGCCGAGACAGTTGGAATTCGATGACGAATGGTGCAAAAGCCGCTTTTCGGATAAAATAAACTCATTACACACTGTATGGCGTTTTTCCTTTTAAATTATAATCCGGTTTGTGTAGAAACGTAATCCCCGATTTCATTAATCAGTTCATTTCCACACATATCTGGTTTCGATTCCCCGTTTGTAGGTGACAATGAGTAGGGTTGCCTGTCCAACCCTACGATTTCCTGCCATTGCTAAAGACGCCTACGCGCAAGAGAATTATTGAAATAAAATTGAAGCACGTGTTTGTCTGCAAATGACCTAATTTGTGTCGAGTGGACGTTAAACTCTCTCTCTCTCTCTACTTATCAGCCGTTTACATGTACACCTGTACTAGGTCTTTCAACACAATGCAGCGTATACATTATATTATATTCACGTTAAGTTATATTCACGTTAAGTGATTTCCCCAACCCATTTTAAATTGACCTGTAATGGTAAAATATATAGGACTTTATACTTAACATTTGTCAAATGAATTATTTATATAATGAACTGTATAGATAGGCCTCCTACGCGGGTGCTGCAGCAAAATCGAAAGATTACAAAATTACGACATTCCATATATTGTTGTGACAGTTACCGTACAAACAACACTCCTTTTATCCTGAGAAAAACACAATCTACGTTGATTATAGATCCTGAATTGATTCAATACGCACCCTTTTCTTAAAACTGACTATATGTAATACGACGTAATTAATCATACATATTATGATCAAATGTATTCAACTGAGAAATTAAACGAAAATTTATATATATTTTATGACATCATTTATTCAATAAATTAATATAAATAAACCTTATACATGTATAAAACTTTAAAACACAACATACCCATCCATACATCCACACAACATGGTATAATAGAATATGACCAATTGACTCGGGTGATAATCCGAAAAATTTAAAGCTTAGTGATGACAAAAAAAAAACAAAACCAATAAATGAAACAAAAGTTGTTGGGCTTTAAAATACATTTTTAAGATCGTTACCACAGAAATTGTTTAGCTTTTAAAATACACTGAATTAAAGATCTTTTCCATATAAAGTTTTGATTATTAAAGAATAAATATAGTCAGTTCAAAGTCGGTATATATATTCTCGTAAATAAAGTTTTAGACACTGTGGAATCGGTAATAAATCCGTAGATATTTCGGGTATATGGATATCACTTTGACATGCGTTAACGGCAATCCTCGCTAAATGTTTTAAAGAGTCCGGTTTACGTAACTTAGGTTTATGAAACAGAACAGGCAGACTCTTTTTGCCGGACGGTTCTAGCCACAAACACTTGTTTTCTTTGTCATTTTTTGATAAAGTACTATGAAAGTTGACTAGAGCTACAACGTTTTCGAATTTGGGCAATTTACCACTCAATCCGTCTTCACAGTCCAACTGAAATAATCCCCCGGAATATTTAATTCGCACACTTGTTGGTCCACGCTGTGTTTTTACACTGAGACTAAATAAACACTTGGGATCAGAACTATTTCGAAGTAGAAAAGTTCCAACATCGGCGGATTTCAACAGCTTTCTAGCTTCACTACTGGAACATTCGGGGTAGTACCAGGTACAATGGTTTACTAAACTATCATTTCTAGATAAAATATAGAATTCATCTCGACTATCAATGCGTTCACTAGACACATAATTTACTGGTTTATTTCTGTATGATTTCATATCTTTTTTACCCTTTGCAGTCGGGCTCATGCCTCTCACTTGCTTGTTGAAAGCACTGGAACTTAACAGAGGCACGTCGAATATGGTACCGCCACACATCTGATACGATCACTTAGAATCCAAGAACAGTAACTATGGATGCTGTATATAGAAAATTGTTAACCTGCTCTCATCGATGCGTCTTGACCAAACTGTAGTCAACATACAAACTGTCTTCATTTTAAATTGTCCCTGATATTTGTAAAAGTAAAACGATCCCTTTTCAGTTCCACTAAAACTGAACTAAACCTATACAACATAGTGGGTTGTAGTTTCCTAGAAATGAGCTATTAACGCGAATTTATCCGGGTTCAACCAGACGTAAATCTATTTTTAGATACAACACGGCAAAATAGTGTGGGATATCCCCGTTCATGCGTGGACTTTCTGAAAAAGGTTGTTGTAAATTGCTATGTATCCGCGGAATAAAAACAGGAATTGATGAATTTGTATCAAGGATACGTTTGAACAGGAGATTTTGTTTTAGATACCGTGTTTCAAACATAACTTTCATGGTTGAATATATAGGTCAACGTCAGTAACAGGAAAGGCGACATGTGATTCAGGTATCTGACTGATCACAGGGTTTCTTGGAATTGATGTGTATTTTTCATACTGTTTCTGTTAAATTCAGGTATTATCATGGTTAAGTTAAAATCGATTTAAACTGCTATAGGCCTACATAATCCACCATGGATTAAATGAGTAATGTGGATGATTAATAAAAGAAATGGTGTAAGCATGGTCCATGGTGTAAGCTTATATTTTTAGTACGACGTAGCAGCTATAAAATAGTATAGGCTATGTTAATAGTAGCCATAGGTTTTGTTTGGTCTTCGTCAAATTATGACCGATTGCAGTTTTTCAAATAAATAAAATATATACGTGTGTAAGCTTATATTTTTAGTACGACGTAGTAGCTATAAAATAGTATAGGCTATGTTAATAGTAGCCATAGGTTTTGTTTGGTCTTCGTCAAATTATGACCGATTGCAGTTTTTCAAATAAATAAAATATATACGTTTGATTTATTTAGCTAGTTTTCTAGAACTTCGTGATAATCACAAGATATCTGACCAATAAAGTATATATAAATGATATCAGTTAGTGACAGCCTATAGTTGTAGATCCGTAACCTTTGTCATACTTTATCATTGAACGGGTGGTTCTATTGGGTGAGCTCAACCAATAAAATAAGCAATGTCAATTTTACTTTCAGTTTTTACTTCCCGATTGACCTTTTTTGGAAAAATATTATCTTAGATTCGGGAAGACGGGCATACGCCATACAATGTGCTGTTAGAGATATTGCCCGAATAGCAGGGCTTCTCCCTATACTCTATTCGTCGAATTTGTCAAGGGATCTTTTACGTGCATACAGATTGACCTATTGTAATGACCGGGCGATTGTCTGTCTTGCACCACCGACAACGGCTGGTAATGAGCTACGACATTACATCTACATCTCCGTATCAAATTTTCCATGTAAATAGTAAAATTAATTTTATCGATCGGAGGTCTCCAAAAAGACCAGAATAATGCAGTCAAATATAGATTATGCAATCAAACTTAAATGAAATGAAACGTAATGGGTTTAACGTCCTATTGTTCTGAAAACAGGCATACAGGCATAGAAAGAAAAAAAAACCAAAGCGCTTCCTCAAATTATATATAGTTAATTCTATTGATTGTGCTAGTGTCTGGCCAAAATTTAAAACTGTTATTTATTTCGAAATTTTTCTTTGTCACCCAAATTTTCAGAATGAATCAATCATGAAATAAAACGTTTTTTCCACAAAGCTGTGATTTTATGTACTCATTCTCTGATGTTTGTGCCTGAAATACGGAAATACATCGCCCGAAAAATGGACGGTTCACCGAAACGGGGGGGGGGGGGGGGTTCTACGTGCTTAGTTTAGGAATTCACGGAAAACAGTCAAGTTTGATTGGTACATCGAAATAATACAGGTGAGCACAAGGACGCAAGATATTTAGACATATCCTTGAAATCCATTGACATTGTAAAGTTTCAGGAAGGGCGCTATTCACAGAATTCCTTAAAGATATATTTTGGCGAAATTAGGAATTCACGGAAATCAGTCAAGTATGATAGATTCACCGAAATCCATTGACATTGTGAAGTTTCAGGAAGGACCGCAACTCACAAAATTCCTGAAAACATATTTTGGTGAAATAACTAAATATTATCATGTAGAACTTTATTTCGGACAATATTTCACTTTTAAAGTTCGAAAGACATGATTGCGACTGAGTGTATTGCTAGAGGTTGTGTCGTGTGGTTCTGGCGTTTGCCGCCCCGCCCTTTTAGTGTTCTACTGGGTCTCGTATGCGGTTGTAAATTGTCTTCACCTCCGTGCGTTCGCAATTTCTGGTGAACACTATACAGATTTCATTATCGTGCGATACTATATATACATGTATAATTCCAATCTGTTTCACAGAGCATTACGAAAGTCTTGCCAATATTCACTGCTGATCAGTGTGGTATAATTCATGTTGTCGCCGCCTTTCGATCGATGAAGGGGGCTATTTAAAATGGGTTCCTTCGTCTATCTGTCCGTTACACCTTTTGGGACACACAATAACTGATTCTAATTGAGGTAGATATATTCAACACGTCATTGCCGTAATTTAATTTGTCCATAGCTCTGTTTTTAATTAAGTGAGTGATGGAACTGGTGTATATAATGAACATTTTCTACACAGGTTAGGCATAGTGATAAGTAATTTGATTATTCGGTGTTTTATAAAATGATAAATTTGCAAGTAATTAATGAGGGTCATCTATTTATTGTGGGATTAGGGCTGGGAAATATCAGCCTCACTGTTTACATGTGGAGTTTGGCCCTTATTCAATTCAATATATGGCCTTACTTACATCCAACAGTGCAGATTTGAATGTGATAGTCTTCATTTTCCATGTGATTATTAGCATGTGGCTTTTTTCATTGTTGTTATTTTTACTTAGGCACTTTGGCATTTTGAGTGAATGTGTATATATACTGCTTGTCTTGTTAGTAAATGTAGACTATTAAAATTATCATTTATTTTGTTTGTAAATGAATACATGTTATTTGTATATTGTATGTAGTCCTTAATGGATGTTTCAGTGCAATAAAATTTTATCAAATCTTATCTCTGATATATAATTAACAGTGGCAGTGCTAAATCCTGGCAATTATTCACAGCATTATGGGCAATAAATTAAGACAAAATATAACTATTGATGCCATATATCTACTGATTTAAATGAAATTTGATGTGTCAAATATATATCAAGTAATCAAACATCACCTTTGACTTCATAAAAAGCATGAGAACGCTTACTGGTCCATATTTTCATCCAAATTGAACCAAACTTACTGGTAATACAGATTACCAATTTAAAGAAGAGAAATACATGCATCACTTTAAAGTCTAATTATTTGTGTTTAATAATAAATACTTTGATAAAACAGTTACAGACAGACAATATGTATTTACAATAATACTGAATAAATAATTTTTATATACAGTCAAAGAGATATCTTTTCTGAGTTTAAAAATCTTCCAATTTAATTTAAATAATAAAAAAAATGTATTTCTATTATGAACAGATATAAGTGTTCGTGAACATACTCTTAATGGGATTCAAAATTTGATATTTAATTTAAAGTGTGTATATTCAATAAAAAATTAAGATATAAGTTTATAAATAATAAATAATCATAACAGTGATGTTCTTTTAAAAATATTTTCTATATATTATTTGATTTTTTTTCAAGAATTATTACGCTTGCCCCATTCTAGCTTGCTCTATCTTTCGCCTAACTTGGTTACAGTTTAAGGCTAATTCTGCATGCAGAGAACGGAGCTCTTCTAATTTTATCTTTAGGTCATCACTCTCGTCCTTTCTTTCTTCAAAGTCTCTTAAAAGGGGTTCATTTCCAAGAAGACCACAATTCTGGCGTAATCTGTGATTATCTATACGTAAGGAATCTCTTGCTTGTTTAGTTCTTGATAAAATATCCCTTTTCTGTTAATAGAAATTTAAAAAATACATTTATATATTACAAGAAAAGACAGGTATGAGAGGCACTAAAATTTACAAGTTAAAGCTGAACTCCCGATTACAAAACTATAGAAATAATTAAATGAAAAAAGTTAACGCCCTAAACAGTCTCCATACTCGTTTTCAATTTGTAGAACAACATAGCTACTGATTAAGGTGTATAACAAGAGAGGCAGACCATGCCCACATCCAGTATATGCCTTGTCTGATCAGGTGCATATTATTTTACTAATTAGATGAAATAAGGACATTAACCTTTTTAATTTAAAAAAGACATTATGCAAGAGCTAAATCTGCCTATAGCAAGTCTTTCTTTAGGCCTGAAATGTTATCTAAATTATTAATTAGACATTAATTAACTTATCTATTTGCGTTATCTATTTTTTAACCATATAGTATTGTAGCGAGAACTATCAACTCTTTATCTAATCTCCTATAATGCCTATTAAATTATTTCTGTAGTTTTGTAATCAGAGTTCAACTTTAAAGGACAATTTCTTTAATAAATTGCATTTTTATGAAACACAAGAATCACTATGAATAAGTAGTAGGAATAATTAAGCTTTCTATTCAACTACTTCTTAAACATAATTTTATGTGGATGAATGATCATAAAGATTACATTATCTGCTGACAACTGAACAGGAACAAGAAGTATAAAATGATAACCACTTTGATTGGTTAAAAAAAAAACGATGGTAAACTGTAGTAGGAAACAGGAAAGTGAATTAAGCAATCACTATAAGCATGACATTTAACATAAAAACGCCAGGAACAGAACAACTGTTAAAAACATATCCATAAATATAGTTAAGTTCTGGGAACCAGAAGTCACAATCTATTACAACATTTTTTACCTTTATTACTGCTGTATTTCAACATATATTTTATCAAAGGAAAACTGTATTTAACTGGAAAAAAGAGTCTTACGAAATATCAGTTGCAATATTAAGTTTACGATTTCTTAAAATAAATTTGAAGCTGTTTACCTGGCCAACAAAAGACTCTACATCTTGTAATTTTTTCTTTTGAACCTGATTTTCTGCTTGAACGAACTGTAATTTTTCTTTTAAATGTGTTAACACTTGAACAGTGCTTGTTATCTTCTTTCTTAATTTTAACAATTCCTGGAGAATAAATAAAATGTCTAGGAGATACTGTATATATACCCAATCTTTAGAATTATAATATTTACCAGTATTCAGCTTTGGTTTAAGTGACCCTTAAGCAAAGTAAAATTTGTGCCTGATTCCCATATCAAAAGAATGTTTTGTTTGGCTTGAAATCTGTCTGGGTACTCTCCCATTCAACTACAAGGCACTTTTAACCACTGACACCATATGTTCCCTTTAAGACAGACGCCAAGTTAAATGATTAGACAAGGCAGGAAAGTAATCTGGCTTAGAGTAGTTACAAGACTGAAAAGCATACTTAAATACTTCATATAAATTCCCTCAAAACTTGTTCCTGTGTGGCCATCAATGATTGTTCTATTTTAGCAACCCTGACCTGGTTATAGTCTCCTACTGTTACAAATATGTGAAGGTTATTGGTGAACTGAAAGGCTTTACTAGCTAATAGTTCCGCTGGACCTCTTCACAAGTATAACATTCAAGTACCAGTACAACTAAGTAACGGGTATATAGAATAAATAACAATAAAGATAGAAATCACCATTACATAGACACATCAGTCTTATAGGACTGGCAGGACTTTTCACAAGAATAATATTCATGTACCAGTACAATGGTTAGCACGTGTACGCTATATCACGAGGCCTGTCATTGAGTCAACTAGCGTGGTTTAGAATCCCCGGTTGTACGTGACAAGGAGTAGGGTTGCCTGTCCAACCTCGTGGGGTCCTCCGGTTTCCTCCCACTGCTAAAGCGAATTATTGAAATAAAATTAAAACCATGTTAGTCCTGAAATGACATAGTCTGTGTAGGGTGGACGTTAAACCCCATTTCTCTCTCTCTCTCTCCATTACAAAGACACATCAGTCTTATAGGACTGGCAGGTAATAAAACTGTCTTGCAGTCTGGTTCCCCATAAAACATGGATGACATTTAAAATAAAATCATGGGGCTAATATATAATGTAGATTTAATGTAACAGCAGGTAGAACAAAAAAATCAGCTGTAAATTAGATGATGATTTTAAGATTGTTAAGAGAGAGAGAGAGGTTCACTTGACACAAACAAGGTCATTTCGGGACTTTTGCTAGCGCATAGGGGTCTTTATCAGTGGGCAGGCGACCCTACTCCTTGCCAAGTACACAATGACAGACCTTGTGATCAAAAGCGCCCGCGCTGTTAACCATTCGGCCATCCAACCCTCATACATTCATCTATTTATAAACACACTATTAAAGACTTGTGCATAATGGAACAATCTACCAGAAATCATTAAATCATCTCCAACTCTCTCTTGTTTTAAATCAAGACTTAAAACCCATCTTTTTCAGAAATGTTATCATGATTAATCAAATTAATTAACTGTATGCACTGTGAGCATGCCTCTGTGCATGGAGTACTAGCGCTATATAAATGTACATATTATTATTTTATTATATTCTGACTATATGTTAGATATTGTGTAGTGTTAAAAATCAGAACAGTGCATGAAGACAAAATGAAATAAAACTATAATATTAATAGATTAAGTCATTATTGCAGGACATTCATTACATGTACACAATGTTTACTGGTATCAGTTGATGAACACAACCATATTTACCTCATTTCTTTCCTCTATTTTCTCGTTATAAGTTTGATTTTCTATCTTCAGCTGTTCAAAATCTATCAGATGTAATCCTTCTGCTAATTCTTCCTACAAGCAAAGAAAGTTAAAGAAAAATATTTACCACACTTTGCCCTTAAAATGAGCTGATATATACTATTCAAAAAAAGTAGGGGATATTTGATTTTGGGGGCATAATACTAAAATATGCAAATGACTACGAAAAAAGTCACTATAGAACCTAACAGAAGAAACATTTCCAGTTACATGTGACGCCCAAACGCACCAATAGCTATCGCATGGAATGCAGGTGATGCTTGGGATCATCATGGGGGTCCAACCCAAGATTTGCACGACTCTGACTTTGAATGTTACAGTCATTGTGGCATTGAATTCCAGGGTGGAAACATCAGTTTAATTGTTTTAGTGACCAGAAAACAAATTTTGATATGCGTCGGCTTACCCAAAATGAAAGGTTACGTGCCCTTGGCATGCTACAGATCGGCACAACACAGGCGGTTGTGGCGCGGACGATGAATTTTTCTCAGTCTGTCATAAGCAGGCTATGGTCCAGATACCGTGATACACAATCTGTACAGGACAGACCACGCTCAGGTCGACCAAAGGCGACAACTCAAGCCCAGGATCGATTTATCGGCACCTTGGCCTTGAGAAATCGTGTCATCACAGCAAATCAGATCAGCGCTTATCTTCAAACAGACACTGGTGTGAGAGTGAGTGGCCAGACGATTCGGAATCGACTGCATAGGCGTCACCTTCGCGCCCTCGCGTGATCCCTTGTTTGAGAGATCATCACATTCAGGCAAGACGTCGTTGGTGTAGGGATCGTCAACACTGGGATAATCGACGCTGGAGCAATGTGATGTTTTCAGATGAGTCAAGGTTCACTGTTGATTTTTTGGACAGACGTAGGAGGGTGTGGCGTCGTCGAAACGAGCGCTTCCAAGACGTTAACGTCATCAGACATGATCGATTTGGGGGTGGTTCTGTTATGGTGTGGGGAGGCATCACTGTTGCTGGAAGAACGGCTTTACATGTTGTTGCAGGGCGTGTTACAGGCCAGTACTACCGGGACAACATCTTGGCAGTCCATGTTGTGCTGTTCGCACGACGTCATGGCCGCCGTTTCATCTTCCAGGATGATAACGCAAGATGTCACAGGGCCAGGATCGTTACAGGTTACCTCCAACAACAGAACATCACCACATTACCTTGGCCAGCACTGAGTCCCGACCTCTCCCCCATCGAGCATGTCTGGGACATGCTTGGACAGAGGTTACGTCAACGTCAACAACGTCCTGCCAATGTCCAAGAACTTGCTGCTGCGTTGCAACAGGAATGGGACAATCTGGACCAAAATGACCTTAGACGTCTCATTAGGAGTATGCCACGTCGGATCAATGCTTGTTTGGCAAACAGAGGAGTATTTACCCGTTACTGACTTGGTTGTGATGCTGTGGTAACTTTGCTGTTTGACCCCGGGTATCATTTTACCCTTATAATGGTCAGTCTGTGTCTTACTTAGTCTAACGATCATTTGGAATAAATCGATGAATGTGAACTTCATTTCATTTTGTCATTTGTTTCTTCGTCAGTTTCATTAGGTGACTTTAATAACACTTAAAAATCAAATATCCCCTACTTTTTTTGAATAGTATATATAGGAGTGATAAAGAGGTTATAGCCTAATAAACAATCATCACTTTGAGACTAAAATAACTATTTCTCTCGTCTTTTTAGGGGAGAATGTGCACTTACACAAATTTCATGTGAAAGTATCAGAATTCGTAATACCAATACAAAAGTTCATATACAGTCTATTGCCCTGTCTTCTTTAGCCCTGCTGGTTGAGAAAAGTAGGTTGTTATACCTCATCATTTCATTTCTATCACTTACTTGAGGGGAGACTACATGTACTAGATAACAATACTTAAACATTGAAAATTCTTAAAAACTGTACTGTGTGCAGACAGACAAATGGATGAATGAATAATAGATTGTGTACATATGAACATCATAATTTAATCTTGTAAGAGGTACCTCCCATATTTACACAAGTATACAACAGTTTTACAAAGTTTTATTTATGGTATGTAAATATACTTTAAGATGTAAGCGTATTATTTATATTTACATATCGTAAATAAAAAATCGTGTGCTCAACTGGTAGAAACTGTCTCGATTTTGTTCATTACATAATAGTTTATAAAATATTTCAATAAAATTGCTTAGGGGTAAATTTTGCCTCCCTAAAAACTGTTACCTTTGATTTTAACTGTTGTTCTTTTTTCTTTAACTTATTTTTAGATCTGATATTCTCCAGTCTAACAAATACAACTTCTGCTTCCTTTTTTTCTTCATTAGCAATATACTGTTCTATATCCTTTAAACAAAAAATTGTCAAGCTACTTTGGGCAAAAAATCATGCTAAAAATAAATTACTCTAGAAACCCTCTAGATACGATGTCACAGCTGAACAGAATACCAACTGTTTTTTCTACAACCCAGAAGACCAGTAAAGGCACTAATTAGTTAAACATACATTATGCAAGAGCTAAACCTGCTTATTGAAGGTCTTTCTTTAGGCCTGAAATGTATTCTAAATTATTAATTAGACATTAATTAACTTATCCAGGCCATAATCAACTCTCGATATCATCGGATTTCTCCGATATTAAATAGATTAGAACAGTTCAGCCATATTTTGATTTAAGCTAAAAATGGAGAGAGACTTTGCTTCGAACAACCAGTACGGTGGTTGAAATTATTGCACACGTCTTGTCAAACCTTCAAAGGCAATTATCTTCGCTCGCAATAGAGTAATTTGAATGAAATTTTCAAATTATTCATTTTACATTATCTATTTTCGAACTATTATAACAAGAATAGCTAGCTCTTTATCTAAATCTTACATAATGTATCTTTAAACGTTTATCATCAAATGAGATAGTTAATAGTTATCATAAATTTGATTAAAATACAGATCTATATTTCATTTCGTTTTTTTTTTACTTTCGTTGACCTTCACTGCATGAAGATCTGACCAGTTGTAGTGGGAGGTCATGACAGGGATCATACGAACGGCTTTTGACCCTATGTCAGACTTTTGATTAACTAATCAGCGTCGATGTTGCTACTGGGATACCCACAGTTTGTGCACAGCACACTTAGAATTCACTGCAACAGACTGTTTCATTGGCTAATCTCTCATATCAACCAGAACGTGGGTTATATAACAACTCTTTTAGATCCTAGTGTAGTAGACAAGTAAAATGAAATTTTGAACTATAAAAAACAAAATGAAATAGGATCTGTGTTTTAATCAGATGGTAATGTAATGTTATCATCTATTTAACTCGCAAGGTATTTCCGATCAAGTTTACCTTTTCTCTAGTTGTCCCTCAATTTCATCAAGCCAACACTGAGGATGATGTGTCCCCCACCTCAATCCCAAAATAAATAGTTGACAATTGCACATCTATCTTTTTATAAAGCATTGGACAATCAAACAGATTATCTATACTTATCCTAAACAGAAAATCCTAAACATCACTCTCCTATGATTAGAATCAAAGTCATTATGTTTCAGAGCATTAAAAAATCTAATTGCTTATCGCTGTTTAACCATAGTGGGATATGTTAACATCAAACTCAGTCAAGACATTCGATTAATGAGCATTTACACCAAGTTTGAGTATTCTAATTCAATTAAAAGCAGATTTATTGTTTTCCATAGCCTTTACTGCTTTACCAATCAAATCGCCTATTGCTACTTATCCTATAAAAATTCTCATCACAGAACTTAGTCAAAGTTGTAGTGTTCCATAGTCTCAACTAAATGAACTAATCAAATTGTTTATTTTTGCTTAGCCTTAGGAGAGATATTGTGTCTGAAAGCATCAACCAGGTGTGCCAAATGCTCATAAAAAATCAAAATAAACATCAATAAAAAGCAGACGATTAAGCCTTCAAGCTTTAAAAACTTAAACACTGTTAGCCGCTAACCAATACTTAAACTTTAGAGAGCTAACTTCGTTCGCGACAGTGTGACATTGGTTACCAAAATTTAAAATGATTTCAGCTAGATTCAGTCACCCAATCTCCTTGAATAGAGTTAGGGGTGGGGAGAGGTCAGAGTTCAAATTATATTCCCACCCCCACAGAAGAAATAATTTTCATATGATGATTTAAATAATTTGAAGTATGAAACACAAAAGACATTGTAAACTGTATAATAAGCTAACCTTAGGTGGTATTGATTTTCCGGAACGACTATTCAAAGAATTTAATGCAACTTGTTGTTTGAAATCTATAAATTTTTTCTTTTCTTCATCCACTCTTTCTTTTCTTTCCATACATTTGTCATTTAAATCACTAATTTGTAATCTGTAATTCTCCTTTTCTCTCTTGGCTTGCTTCTGCAGTTCTTGAAGCTGGTCTGTTGGGAGATTAAAGGGAGAAAACTCATTATTATGGGGGACAAAAAAAAAAAAATGTATATCTGATCAAAAACAAACCAGTATGTTTTAAAATGATGACTAAAATTGGTCTCAGTTGTTAGTTGAATACTTTATCCATTGAAATATAAAGGGAGTTGAGGAATTGGGTATGAAATTGACTTCTGTAACCTCACATATTCTTATATATACCACTACCCAACCAAGACCAAGATATGACTGGAAACCAACAAGAATGGGATATTTAAAGAATGTATTTTATTATTGATTGAGGTTAAATGGGATTCATCGATATTTAAATGTTTTTGAAATCAAACACAAAGTGGCATGGGCTGTTCTTAGATGGAACGTTTGGAGAGCCATTTTTTGAGAGTGATATGAAAGTGAAAGTGGGCCTTTAATTTATTTAGTTCTTTACAAAATATGAAAGAACACAGCATGAACTGGTATCTTACCCATATATTTAAGGTATCTCTGTTCTTGATCTGTAACATTTTTATCATAATCAGCTCGATCATCAGACTTCTTCTTACGGAAATATTCAGCTAGTTTGTGTTGTAATTGATAATTCTGTTGCTTTAACTGTTCACGTTCTGCAAGAGCAGCCTTAAATATAGAATCAAATGCCAATCAGTTACAGGACAGAAGTGTGTGTACATTGATAACACTTATTTCTGTGATAAGCGTTGTAGATTTAAGGTCTGTCGTTGATGTCTAGTGTTAGGATTTTGACCATACACTTGAACATGACATGGTGTAGGGGCATCTGTCTATTCCACTGGTTTTATTGATAGTTATTGGAATTAAATAAGCTAATACCATGTTATTCCCATTTCGGTGATAGAACCAGGGGAGGGATAATGTATACATCTTTTTTTGGAATGTGTACCTTTTTAGTATATCCATACTTGCATTTTTCAACTTTTGTAAAGAAAAAGGTTCAAAACAGAATTGGAGAAAACAATTTCAACTATCAAGGTACCAAGGAACATGCAATTTATATTATGTAAAACTTAAAAGAACTTTAAAGGTAACTAAATGGAACATACATTATATTTTTCTATAAGAAATTCTCTATCAAACTCTGGTTCTGGTGACATTTCTTCTACTTGCTGTGTGTCTGGACCCGTTTCACCCTCTGTATCTGTTCCTTCAAATAAACAGAAAGAGCTAAAAGAATTTGTATTGCCTGTATATCATAATTAATCAGATAATGAAGCATAAATTCAAGGGAGAGAATTACTTTCCAAGAGAAACCACTTGCTCCTGTGTGGTTTTGCAGACATTTTATTTTTATTGAAAATTACCTGGTATTTCTGGAGTTCCCGGAACTAATAACTCTGTCTGTGTATCTTGTCTGGACGTTTCATCAAAGGATGGTGTAGGTTCTCTTGATAACTTCTCACCAACAGTTTGTGGGACAGGGCTTTCAGCTCTTTCGCCCTCTGTAAACGTATCACTCTGTAAAAAAATATTTTCAATGAAATTTTTGTTGAATCAATGATAAAATGTTTTTAAGTAAAACGACGAATTTTCACATTTTTAGGAAATATGAATATTTTTATAATTAAAGTGTACTAATTCCAAATAAACTAGAATATATGTTGCTATAAGAAATCTGGTTTCCTCCCACTGCTAAAGACCCCTACACGCAAGCGAATTATTGAAATAAAATTGAACCATATGTTAGTCCCAAAATGACCTAGTTTGTGTCAATTGGACGTTAAACCCCATTTCTCTCTCTCTCTGCTATAGAAAAAAAATGGATTAACCGAGATTATCAAAATGGGCTAAGAATATCAGCAGTATCAGGAGACTGCATGCAACACATTAAACGGGGAAAAAACATATGTTGTCAGAATGAGATATAAAGCGTCCACTCCACAGTTACATAAACAATGTTATTTCGGGATATCCGGTATATTTTTATTTAAAAAATTCACTTGCACACAAAGTGGTCTTTAGCAGTGGGATGACACTGAATGTGGAGAAAACCCACATCCTAGGTTTGATAGACCTTATAATGATCTAAAGTGCAGGTGTTTAGACCATTTGACCAACCGCCGTCAGACACGTGACAGACAGTTTGGTCGGGCCAGTGTTGAGTGAGATTTATAGAATAAAAAATTTTAAAAGAAGAAAATGTTTTTGTTCATACTTGGGGTAGAGGCGATTTGGGTGTTTCAGCATTTTCTTCACCCTCTGTTGGAACTTGTTCACCTGCTGGAGGAGCATCTCCTTCAACTGGAGCAGCATCTCCTTCAACTGGAGCAGCTTCATCTCCTTCCTTTATATCAGTCAATTCAGCTTCAGGTTGCCCGTCTTCTGTTTCTTTAGCGGTTTCTTCACCAGGTGTTACTTCAGCAGCAACAGCTCCTTCTTGTGACTCACCTTCTTCTGTTGGCGGCACATCTGCTTGAGTTTCTCCAACTTCTGCTTCACCAGTGGCCTGCTGTTCCTCAGTTTCTGGTGTACTTTTTGTTTCATTATCATCGACTTGATATGTGGCAAAAATTAAAAAAAAAATCAATACATTATGACCATCTATTGCTACTTATGTTACGGCTTGGCACTTGACTGTAATATATGGCCTCAAAAATTTTATTTTATTACATTCAAACATTTTACTGAATGTTCATGCTTAATAAAACATTTCAAACTGCAGTGAATCTGAATATTTATGAAGTATTTCGATTTATTAGATAAAAATGCATTAAAATTGGAAATCATCTGAGATCCAATGGATATAAATACACAGTGATGTATATCTTCAATGTATACATAAGTACACATTTATTTGTCATTTTACAAAGTAATTATAACACAGATATTATTGATTCTTATTCCAATATATTAAAGGTGAGGTCCAGCTGTTACAAATAAATATATATGTTAATCATTATCCAGGATAAAAATGTAATTAACAAGTGTAGAAACAAATGTTTTCAGATTATGACGAATATCTATCATAGCTTTGTAAGACGAAAAGAAACAAAATTTGTGAAAAAGAAATAAAATAAAGATAAAATGGAATTAATCAGAAATAACCAAGAATGAAATAAGAGGTCACCTGAAGGAAACATCTTTTACAAATAGGACCTACCAAATAGTTACTGACATATCAGCAGTGGACACTTACAACTAGCTCCCAGATCCATTAACTAGATCTGATATCTGTGTATATTGTGTCCTGTCCATAGGTTTCTCGTGTAATTGTATGTGTGTGGGTCAGTCTCCCTGCACTTACTATTAAGCTTATGTCGTACAAATCGCTGTTAAATCAAGTTTGGAACTTAAGCTGTCAGACAGAACTCAGTTTAGATATGAAATAAATATAAAGTGTCAATTAAATACCACGATGCTTTCAAATAGATTATATTAAAGGTGACTGTCAACAAAACTGACTTCACTACAGGCTTCAGTACAGGGTGATAACACAGATTATGACGCATTATAAGCCAGCAGCCATGATCTAATAACACTGATGTCACAACATGAACTTGTTCTCGCACTGTTCGAAACATTGTTGTAATTTGGATTTTTAACATGCAGTACGTACCTTCTTCAAAAATAAATATTTTTTCTGTGTTATTCACAAATGCTAAAGCTATAGACTACAGCTAAAATAAATATTTTTACAAATTGTTTTTTGTGTGTTATTCACAAATGCTAAAGCTATAGACTATAGCTTAATTAAATATTTTTACAATTTGTTTTCTGTGTGTTATTCACAAATGCTATAGCCATGGGCTTACAGCTAAAATAAAAATTTTGTAGGCTTGATGTCTTCACTTATAGTCTTATGCCTCTCGAAAATTATTGGCATATTACTAGACTAATTCAGAAATTATTTAGTAGGTCACATTTTTGTTTGATATACTGCATTTCATTTCACAGTTTATGTATTTTGATTCATTTTGCTTGATTTTGTACTGGTACATTTTATTCCTTTTTACATGATATTGTTTTATTACGTTTCAGCTGATATCATTTTGTAATGGCAGATTTCGATTAGTTCCGGCAGATTTTGTTCGTTTCATTTTAGCAGACTTTGTTCATTTTATTTCCACTTTGCACTCTATACATAAGGTACCTAGTCTAGGTCACCCAGAACCTCCTAGTCTTCAACGAACAGATAGAATATTTTTCTGGATGATAGAGACTAATAATAGGTATAATCTTTATACTTTAAACTTTTAGGTTTAAACTTTATATTACAAAATGCTACTCATTTCAAAATATGTGAATTCAATCTAGTTACTATATTACACACTACTACTGAGATTGTTTCTAAATATTTACCATACAGCATTCAAACTATTTACAACACAAATAATACTAAAGACATATGTACTTGATATAAACTAAACAAAAAACCTAACTCATATTAAGACCAATATAAACATGGCTCTATTAATTTGTATGCAAGCAGGCCTCTTTACGAGTCACAGGAAACTAAGACCACTGGAGAAAAAACAGGATTTAGCACACAATTCAGCAAATGGAGTTGAAAGGGGTGATATTAGTTTAAGCTTGCTAAATTGAATGCGGACATGCAAGGTTGCTTTTTGGGTGTTTCTGGAACAGCAAGAAAATAATAAATACCAGTAATGAATTGCTTTGACTCAAATGTTAATAAATGGGGTAGTTGAATACATATCCAAGCTTGCCGTCGAAAATGCAGACAGAGTGATGTGAACAGTGAGCTAAATATGACGTTATATCATTTTTTTCCTCAAGTATTTTTACTACATTGACTAGACCATGACTAAACAACTTGTGGTTACTGCAAAATATTTACTTTACAGGCCATTGACTACCGGTCTTCATGCTAGATTTTACTACAGAAATATCTAAACATTATCCATCATACCATAAATAATCTTACTATACAGGGTTCAATATTAGTTACAATTACTACAAACGACCATCTAAAACTACTAGTACTATCCACTATAAGCTACCAAGTAATTTGGTAAATTACCTTTAACAGTTGTACCTAACTGTTGACCATCACCAGAGTTAACTGTTATAGTCTCAGGATCCCCAGTCTCAACCTTATCATTTTCAGTAACCTCTCCAGTCTCAATTGTATTATTCCCATTATTAACAGTAACATTTTCAACATTAGCAACATCCTCATCGGTTACCTCAACATTACTAGAATCAGTACCTACAACATTTCTAGCCTTGTCGACATCACCAGCTTCATCATTATTAGCTCTAACATTATCAGAGTCTACAACATTACCAGCCTCAACATTACCAGACTCAACAACATTACCAGCCTCAACAACATTACCAGTCTCTAAATCGCCACCCCTTACAACATCATTTTTAACATAATCGCTGTCAACAAGCTGGTGATTGCTATCCTCACCTTTTACTTCCTCGCCCTCATTTACTTCTGCAGACCCTGTTGCATCCTCAGCTGGTGACGTTTCTTCTTGTTTAGGATCTAAAATAAGTAAAATAACTAATAATAAATGCATAAACAGTTAATTTTCAATATCACATAGCTACATTCAGTGTTTAAAATCCATATCGGTCAGACACCGACATTTTTTCATTTGGAACTTATTTGGAAGACATTTGAAAATATCAGGATTATTATTTTGTGTCCATGACTATGGCATGTGTTGTGATATTTGATATGTGGTTGGCGCTTAGAGCATAGGTGTCAAAAATGTTTTGTTTCAATAAATTTCCTTTGAAAATATTTATATGCTACCATATGTCATTTTTGCAATTATTTTATCTACATATTGTTGTTTATTTCATTAGCCAAAATAAAAATAAATTTGTCAACCAGAAATAGGTAGCCCATAAAATGAGGTTGTGCTCGCAAATTTCAGCCGAAAAGGGACGTTTGTGTTTGTCAGATATTGGATACGTACCTAATTCAGACTTATATTTCTTATGTTTATGCATTTGGGTATTTCAAACCATAAATAATATGTTACATTAATTACATGCCTAGCAGTTCCTATCGTCTTAATACATTAATAAAGAGGTTTTTATGTTTCGAACTATTATTAGTACAACAATATATCCAACATAGCTGGCTTTCAAAACATCCTATTTAGATACATATCTTACTAGATACTACCACCACCCTCAAAATATTAGTTGGCTGAGATAAAGATTTCTGAAAATAAGAGTAATTTTGGAAAGAATCTCTTGTTCTTCATAAGCTTACCGACCCGGTACTATAATAAGTGAATAACAATGATACTAATTTGATCAGATAATGAGGTAATAAATTTTAACGGACCGTCATTGGCAGCTTGTCCATCTTTATTTTCGACTTCAGATGTCTGTTCTGGATTGGTTGCTTCTTGGGTTGTAGTTTCAGGTTGCTCTTCAGTTGTTTCACTCACTTCAGCTGGCTTTCCCTCTTCTTCCTTCAGTTAAGACACAAAACAAAATTTTACTATTTTCTTCTAAATTAAAGCTGAGGTTTAATTATTATATATTTGCTACTTAAACACCTACTTATTATGCAATATTACCCAATACATGAACATTTGCTATATTATGTTTTATTGGCCGATCAAGGAATTTACATGTTTTGTGCTCACAATAGTTTTTCTCTGAGTGCTACATTTCAGAGAACATTTATCATTTTGAATGGAAAAGAAATAACAAAAAGTAATGGATGTGTTCTTTCGAAGTTTAAATCTTCACATATTCTTTACCGGTACTTTAAAATGGGGTTAAAATTAAATTTGTTATATTTTGATGTAAAAAAATTGCATAAGCTTATATTATCTGCCAGTTGAGTACAAAGTACAAGAAAGGTTATTTTGCAACTGAACGTCTTGTGAATCTTTCCAGTTAAACATAGACCTATGGCTATGATGTACTAGTAGGCCTACTGTATGTAGTTTTCTTGTACAGTACTTGGCATTGCCTCACCGTGATTTAATCCCACTACTGGCACTACCTTTATTAGTAACTATTGACTGCAGTGAGTAAGATTTAATTAACAACATTTGAAAATCGATTACTATTAGTATTATAACCTACTGTTACTATAAATATAGTATAAATATAGTATAAATAATACAATAAGTACTTTTTATTTAGTACTAGTCGCACTAGCAGTAGTACTAGGCCCTATATAGTATTAATAGCCTAGCCAAGAGTAGATCTAATAATATTTTTATTTCGTCCCACTAAACTACATTTGACTTCCTATTACATTATTATATATATCATATTACGATAAAACCTGTTTAACAAACCATGATGAAAATTTCACTGGTATCCTTGTTATGTGCTTGTTTTCCAACGTAAATTGGGTTTATTTTTTGATGTAGTAACTAAATTGGAGCCATCTTTAATTCGTTGTTATGGAAAACATAAATAGATAACTCTGGTGTAATGGACGTAGACTAGATTTACATGAATTTTCTAAGACACGAGTAATTCATTCCATTTTTGGTAATTTTAATGGGGTTTAATGTCCCATTTTTGTGCACCATCCGTCTCAATGAAAACGGCCATAAGGGCAATTTTGTATAGACATCTAAGGTTCTCCGTCCCTATTCACAATCTACTGACACAGATCATAATATAGCGCTTCTAGATATGTACAATTCATCGTATATAACGGTCCATGGTTCTATTTACCATTTGATATGAATCATTCGCGTTAAAAGTTTCCATTGTAGACTAGATTGCCCAGCTATCAAAAACGGCGGGAAAGATAAGAAAACCAAATTTCTATTACTTTGTCTGTATTTAATTTACAAATTATAGTTTTAAAATGAATTCGAAGACTGCTAACCACACACATTCTATTCCTACAATCAAGACCATGAAAAAGGGTGAAATTCAGGTGTGTATATATAAGCTTATTGATCATACACTAGATTATAATTTATATTTCAATGTAATGACAATGTTTGTCCGTCTTCACTTGGTTCCAGACCAGGCCCCAAGTTCACAAAGCATTCTCAGCTTTCAATCACTGTTTAAGAGAAATATCTTTGATCCAGAAATACAAAACTTTGCACACAGTTTCTTATTGATGTATTTGATACATTATAAAACAAAAAGGTTTTATAAAGAAAATATGGCGAACTTAAAGATACCGGTACATTATTAGTTAAGAGTTTAGAGTTGGTCATTCTTGCTATAATATATAAAATGAAGTGGATATTTAACCGTATACGGCAAAGTATCTACTTCCGCTATTTTACCTTAAATCGTTTCGCCGCAGAAGCACGATTTTACGGGAAAAACATAAACCACTGACAGTCTTAGTACTTAAATTAAAGGCAGTGGATATTTAACCGTACAGCACTTTACTTTATTGCCGTACGGTACGCTTCCGTTTAACATGCACAGGTCTCTGATACCTGGACTTAGCAGTTTTCGCTTTGGCATCTGACATTAACCCATAACCCAAACCCCTAACCTAACCCTAACCCAACAGTTCTATTCATTCTTTGTCTAACATTGCTTCTTTTTCCGTTTCTTATAAAGGAACGAAATAGCCATACTTGAATTTCTATGGTAGAAACTGGAGAATTATTTTTAAAAGAAAATAAGATAATAAATGTAAATTGTAGAAAAGCATTTAGAATATATTCTATTTTGGTCGAGGGCGCATTTCTGCGGATTTTGGTTTTAATTTGCACTGAAAGTGAGGGTGCAGCTATTCTTGTATCATGAAAATATGCAGAAAATGATCGAAAGTAATCACTCTTTCAATAAAAATGTCAGGCAATTTGACTAATGACATACAATGAATTTTATCTACTTGTAGGTGATATTTGGTCCAATGTTTTCTGGCAAAACGTAAGTACTATACATAATACATGAATATATCGTATTCATTCCAGTTTGTTGAGATTGTTTACAGGGTCTTTACAGGGAACCCTGTCTTAATCCAGAATATTTCTACATGTATGGTATATTTTGGAGTTATCCCCATGTTTATTCACAAAATCTTGCAAACCTGACAAAGGACAGAGTTCTCAATTACACTTTTTATGACTTGATGATATTATTCTTTTTGGCCTAAGGAAGAACTCTAATCAATTTCAAACTTTAGGCTTGGTAATTTTTTAACTCATCTCATTTCGTAGAGTTGTCTGTCCCTTTAAAGCTTAGTAAAGATTTCAAATTAGATTTTTTTTACTGCTGATGAGTATAGGAGGCTAACAAACCACATTTTGTATGAGAAAAGATAAAGTACTTTAAATGTTTCAAAAATTAATTTCACACAAATCAGAATTTTTGTTCTTCGAAAACATTGTAAAATTTTGCTTACTATTTCTTTGGTGGGAAAAAATTTAGAAATTATAAACAAAACACCATCTTTAAGACTTGAATAGCTCTTTAATTTTCAGGACCCTAATAAACTAAAAATCGAATGGGTTTGGCAATTGACCTGACATCTTCGCTGGCCAAGGGTTACAATTCGCTTCTCTTCAACTTCAAGTTGGCCAGAGAAGATGTTGGCCTGATGTCTTACTTCTTATTTATAGGACTGAATTAGTGAGAAGATTAAAACGCTACCAGATTGCTAATTATAATTGTTTAGTTGTTAAATATGCTAAAGATGATAGATATGATGCAGATGGGGTAGCTACACATGATAAGTAAGTATTGTTATATGGTCAGTAATAAACATAAGTACAAAATTCTGTAATTACAGACTTTAGAAGAGAGAAAGATCACCACAAACTAGGTCATTTCAGGACTAACATGTGGTTCAGTTATAGAAGACTTAGTATAAAGTAATGAAAAATAATAAAGTCACTTTTATGTTTTAACTGTCCAGAACAAAAGAATTATTTTTAGCATTATATGGTAGCTGTATTTTACATTAACTTAGACATTGTTTTTTATACGCCCACATTGAAATGTGGTCGTATATTGTCGCCGCCCCCGTACGTCCGTCCCACGTCCACAATTGCTTGTCGACGCTCTAGAGGCTAAAGTTAATATCTGATTGACTTTAAATTTATATACAGTGTTTAAAGCCATGAGACGAAGAAGCCTATTGATTTTCAGCAATTTCCGATAATTACTGCCAGAGTTATGGCCCTTGATCACTTCAAAAAATCTTGTGGATGCTCTAGAGGCCAAAGTTAATATCCGCTTGACTTTAAATTTATACACAGTGCTTAAGGTCATGAGACGAAGAATCCTATTGATTTTCAGCGATTTCCGATAATTACTGCCAGAGTTATGGCCCTTGATCACTTCAAAAAATCTTGTGGACGCTCTAGAGGCCAAAGTTAATATCCGATTGACTTTAAATTTATACACAGTGTTTAAGGTCATGAGACAAAGAAGCCTATTGATTTTCAGCGATTTCCGATAATTACTGCCAGAGTTCTGGCCCTTGATCACTTCAAAAAATCTTGTGGACGTTCTAGAGGCCAAAGTTAATATCCGATTGACTTTAAATTTATACACAGTGCTTAAGGTCATGAGACGAAGAAACCTATTGATTTTAAGCGATTTCCGATAATTACTGCCAGAGTTATGACCCTTGATCACTTCAAAAAATCTTGTGGACGCTCTAGAGGCCAAAGTTAATATCCGATTGACTTTAAATTTATACACAATGTTTGAGGTCATGAGGCGAAGAATGCTATGGATTTTCAAAGATTTCTGATAATTACTGCCAAAGTTATGGCCCTTGATCACTTTGAAAAATCTTGTGGACGCTCTAGAGGCCAAAATTAATATCCGATTGACTTCAGATTGATACACAGAGTTTAAGATCTTGAGACGAACAAGTATATTGATTTTCAATGAATTTTTATGACTTGGAACAGCTAAATCCATGATACAGTATTAAAAGTTTTGTATACAAAACGTAAGCATGGTTTTCTGAGTTGTTGCTCTTAATCAGATTTTAGTGTATTATAAATGTTTCATTACCGAAAAAAGTAGAAATATGCGACAACTCTTGTTGACTGCCCGGACGATTTAGCTGCTGTGGGCGTATGTTTCGTTGCCTGGCAACCTATCTTATAAGGTGCTTGAGCACCTTACAGGTTTTTACTTGACACAAATTAAGAAGATCTTTTTTCTCAGCTCAGCAGCCAAATGAAGAAAACAAATGACTGATAACTCAAAACTTCATTTACAACTGTCAAGGTTCAATTTGATTGACTTTTATTTTAATATTTTTCACTGGACACCACTTAATGATATTATTATAATATTTTCAGACAAAGCTTACCAGCTGTATCAGCAGAAATACTATCAACACTAAGATCAACTGCATTAAAATATGATGTTATAGGCATTGATGAAGGCCAGTTTGTAAGTTGAAAGAACTTAGTTTGATTTCATTCACTTTACAGAATAACCCTGTAGTAAATTAGAACTAGGTTTAAGAGAATTAAAATAAGGCCTAACCGAATTTTATTATTAGGTCGGTTTGTTACCCATATAAACAGGTGTTGTGTATGACTTACAATATGCTTTTTTCGTCCAGTCAGCCCATCGGTTAAATCAATTTTTCATTTAACTTGATTCATTTTATCTCTGATGTATTGATGTTTTGTGTTTCTGGACCAGGAACTGGTCCCCAAGCATTACTCAGCTTGCACTTGTTGTTCTTTGGGTTGAGGCTCTTTGGAAAAAAAAAAGCCTAAGACTGACAATTCAAGTATGATCAACAAGAAACTTAGCATGCTTGTTCCTTGGACAATTGCGCATTTATTGATGGACTTTGATATTTGATATGACGTCACAGTTCCAGCATGGTGGCTTGGTTCCAGTTCCATAATAGGCTCAGATATTGTCGTCGCCCCTGTCCATCCATGTGTCCGTACACATTTTGTTTGTGAACACTCAACAGGTCATAATTTTTTATCCTATTTTGATGTGAAACTTGAATTATAGGTTTATCTCCCAAAGATCTTGGTTCCTTTCGATATTTGCACATATCGGACCTTAACTTACAGGTAGACCCTGATTGTACGAAAAATCACGTCTTTAGCTTGTGAACACTCTAAGAGGTCACAATTTTGATTCGATTTTGATGAAACTTAAAACGTATGTTTACAACCCAAAGATCTCGGTTCCTTTCGATATTCATATATACCAGACTATAACTTCATGTTTTATGGTTCCTGATTGTACGAAAAATCGTGTTTTTTAGCTTGTGGATCCTAGAGGTTACAATTTTTACCCGATTTTAAAAACTGTTCAAATGTGTCACTGTTATACCATGGTGATGGTTGCATTCGAATTTTGTGAAAATCGGACCGAAATTGTCTGACAAAATGGCTGCTCCTCAAAGGCAAATAGTGTAAAATACTAAGATTGTGGACCATCTAGAGCCCACAATTTGGATTATGGCCCCTGATTTTCAAAAATTGTGTTTTTTGTCTTGTGGAATATTGTGGAACCTCTAGAGGTCAAAACTTTTATCCGATTTAAAACAACGTTCAAATATATCACCTAATGATATTTTAGTGTGAATTTCGTGAAAATCTGACCGAAACTGCCCGACAAAATGGCCGCTCCCTTTGCGCAAATAGTCTAAAAGTATGTAAAACCATGATTGTGGAGCCTCTAGAGGTTACAATTTTGAACAGATTTTGATGAAAGTTTTAAGTATATGTTTATATCCCAAAGATCTTGTTTCTTTTCGAAAACATCCTGGATTATGGCCCCTGATTGTACGAAAAAACATGCTTTTATCTTGTTTTCTGTCCATCTCTTGCAAATATGGACCTATCTTCCATGGCAACTGCTTGTTTTTGAATGAAATGGGATTTAAGTTTCTTCTTTTTTGCACAAACAGGGCTAATGAAGATGGACCTACATATGGAGTATAATATAAGGGAAATTTTGTCTGGACAGCATTTGCACCTACTTTTCAGCAAAATGCAACTCATGTCATGGGCTATTTTTTTTACATGCATCTCCTTTGTTCATCCCATCCAGTGTAAATTTTGTTTGTTGAGGTCCCAGACTCAATCGCGGGATTTTCCCTGTCTGGTTTCTTCTTTTCAGTAGTGCAGTATGGAGGGTATGACAAGGAAGATTAGCTAATCGCTTGGATGGGCACATAAATGAACCCTCGGCAGTTGAAATTCCAAGCAAAATTTCTTTCACAGCTATCTTTATATCGGCAGTTGAAATTCCAAGCACAATTTCTTTCACAGCAGTCTTTATCTTTCTAGTTTCCAGATATTGTAAATTTTTGTGAAGAAATGGCAAATGATGGTATAACTGTTGTAGTTGCAGCTCTAGATGGAACTTTTCAAAAACAGGTACTATCGAAAAATATATCACTAAGATGCAATGAAAACACACCACTTTTATTAAGGATACATTATTTAAGAGCCAAATCTGCCTATTGCAGGTTTTCTTCAGGCCTTAGTTATTAATTAGACATATATTAACATGACAAGACCATAATCAACTCTCTAGGTTAACGGATGGCTTGATTTTAAGTAGATTAGAACAGTTCAGCCATTTAATGATTTAATTTAAAAATTGGCTTGAATATGCCTGTACCGTGGTTACGATAATAAACAATGCACATATCTTGAAATACTCCAAACAGTGATAGCATGGCTTAGAATAAAGTAATTTGAATGAAGTTTTCAGTATGTTCATTTTGCATTATCTGTTTTTGAACTATTATAGCAAGAACGGCCAGCACGTTTTCTAAATCTTACACAATGTATCTATAATGTATAAGAGAATGTCATAACTTCAGATTAGAAAGATAACACATGAGAAGGATGTTTTCATGATCCTATAAATAAACCACATCTCAAACACAAGAAATTTAATTAAAAAAACTATTCAATATTTTGCAAAGCTTCATACAATCAATCAACAACTGTTTGTCGATTTACCCATTCAGTTTTTATGTTCAGTGCAGAAATCAAAACCTTCATTGTTTGGTGTATAGTTTCGTTACATAAATACCTTGACTAAGGTCGATAATAAGCATTTTCTACTTAGGCTAATTAGATTTCAATGTGATTTTCCTGCTAAAGCCAACACTGGGTTCGAACGCCTACGATATAATTTGTTTAATATCAAATGGGTGAGGACGACAATGTGTAATTTAATTAAAGCTGCTAATCTTCATTGGTTAGATTTTGAATCCCTTGTAAACTACAATAATGTTAAAGTTGAATCTCTAATTGAAAATCAATCCATACAGCTTAGTCAGCATGACCCCGACTATCTTATCACAGGTTTGATTTAAAAGCATCTTGAAGATGTCAACACAAACTCACATACTTTACAGACCATGTCTGGGACAAAATAGTGATTATCTGTAGATATTGCCCACATATCTTTATGTAGAATATAGTACTGGGTATTGCCACTGCAGTCAGGATACAATACGTATTGCGATTCAGGTGCTACTATATGATTCGTATCACAATTCATAACCCAGTCAATATTTACCAAGAAAACAACAGGATAAATGAAAAATTGATATTTTTAGCCAATAAGACTGTTTTAAAAAAGGATATTGATGTGGATCAAAATAAGGATCAAAACAAGTTAAAGGTGTTTATGTACCTATAAATAATGATTGACTACATAGATAATCAAGAGTGACAGGTTACTTAACGACAAATGACACATAAAAAGTAATCGTTTCAGTGTCTCTCGATTCAATACACAAATCGTGAGAAGGTGAATCAGGATACATTGAACGATATATCGTGCCAGCACTAGTAGAATACTTCATTAAACATATCTATTAATATTTATTTGTTTCAGGGATTTGGTAATATTTTAAATTTAGTACCTTTAGCTGAACATGTTATGAAATTAACTGCTGTTTGTATGATGTGTTATAATGAGGCATCTTTTACAAAGAGGAAAGGCAATGAAACACAGGTAATAGAAAGAACAATTATTCTTAGAAACAAATTTCTGAATTTACAGCCAGAACCATATAATATAAAGATAGTCTGGCAAATGACCATTTCATTTACCCAATCTGATAATTACAGCCAGAACCATATAATGATGGTCTGGCAAATTGCCATTTCGTTACCCAATCTGATAATTACAGCCAGAACCATATATACTATTCAAAAAAAGTAGGGGATATTTGATTTTGGGGGCATAATACTAAAATATGCAAATGACTACGAAAAAAGTCACTATAGAACCTAACAGAAGAAACATTTCCAGTTACATGTGACGCCCAAACGCACCAATAGCTATCGCATGGAATGCAGGTGATGCTTGGGATTATCATGGGGGTCCAACCAAAGATTTGCACGACTCTGACTTTGAATGTTACAGTTATTGTGGCATTGAATTTCAGGGTGGAAACATCAATTTAATTGTTTTAGTGACCAGAAAACAAATTTTGATATGTGTCGGCTTACCCAAAATGAAAGGTTACGTGCCCTTGGCATGCTACAGATCGGCACAACACAGGCGGTTGTGGCGCGGATGATGAATGTTTCTCAGTCTGTCATAAGCAGGCTATGGTCCAGATACCGTGATACACAATCTGTACAGGACAGACCACGCTCAGGTCGACCAAGGGCGAGAACTCAAGCCCAGGATCGATTTATCCGTACCTTGGCCTTGAGAAATCGTGTCATCACAGCAAATCAGATCAGCACTCGTCTTCAAACAGACACTGGTGTGAGAGTGAGTGGCCAGACGATTCGGAATCGACTGCATAGGGGTCACCTTCGCGCCCGACGTCCTCGCGTGATCCCTTGTTTGAGAGATCATCACATTCAGGCAAGACGTCGTTGGTGTAGGGATCGTCAACACTGGGATAATCGACGCTGGAGCAATGTGATGTTTTCAGATGAGTCAAGGTTCACTGTTGATTTTTTGGACAGACGTAGGAGGGTGTGGCATCGTCGAAACGAGCGCTTCCAAGACGTTAACGTCATCAGACATGATCGATTTGGGGGTGGTTCTGTTATGGTGTGGGGAGGCATCACTGTTGCTGGAAGAACGGCTTTACATGTTGTTGCAGGGCGTGTTACAGGCCAGTACTACCGGGACAACATCTTGGCAGTCCATGTTGTGCCGTTCGCACGACGTCATGGCCGCCGTTTCATCTTCCAGGATGACAACGCAAGATGTCACAGGGCCAGGATCGTTACAGGTTACCTCCAACAACAGAACATCACCACATTACCTTTGCCAGCACTGAGTCCCGACCTCTCCCCCATCGAGCATGTCTGGGACATGCTTGGACAGAGGTTACGTCAACAACGTCCTGCCAATGTCCAAGAACTTGCTGCTGCGTTGCAACAGGAATGGGACAATCTGGACCAAAATGACCTTAGACGTCTCATTAGGAGTATGCCACGTCGGATCAATGCTTGTTTGGCAAACAGAGGAGGATTTACCCGTTACTGACTTGGTTGTGATGCTGTGGTAACTTTGCTGTTTGACCCCGGGTATCATTTTACCCTTATAATGGTCAGTCTGTGCCTTACTTAGTCTAACGATCATTTGGAATAAATCGATGAATGTGAACTTATTTCATTTTGTCATTTGTTTATTCGTCAGTTTCATTAGGTGACTTTAATAACACTTAAAAATCAAATATCCCCTACTTTTTTTGAATAGTATATAATGATGGTCTGGCAAATTGCCATTTCGTTACACAATAGATTAACATTAGAACAAAATTGATAATAAACAATTAGTGTTAGTGAAAATGAAAGGCACAAATGGTCTGGTCTGGATGGATTAGATATAGTGGGTCAAAGGCAGGAACTGTATAAGAATGTGTAATAGCATAGCGTATTAGATTAGACAAAATAGTCATTTTATTACCCAATCACAGTTCAGGGTTGAGACAATAGTTGACCAAACATTTCTCTATATGGCTCTGATTATAAGAATTTTAATCCCACTTTAATTTTCTTTAATAATACAATGATTTATTGTTGTATGCCTTGGTGGAAATTAAGAATGAGTCAAACCAAAAGTAACCAAGAAAGTATTGTTTTGATCAATTCTTGTTTGGCTATTTATTTAATCAACTATCCAGAGTAAGAAGAAAATTATTGGAACAATTCTTCATTGACTGCTAAATTTGTCAAATTTATTTTATTTGTAACTTTCTAGGTTGAAGTTATTGGTGGAGCTGATAAATATTTAGCTGTGTGTCGGTCATGTTATACAAAACCTAACAAACAATCACCACGCAAACGATCTCCTTTAAAACAACTAAATAATATGCAGCATTTAAGGTCTTCATCACCCGGAAAATCAGAAACAACTCGTAGATTATTTGAAAAACACCTGCAAGTTTGAAATATATGAAGTATTGTAAATCTGTTTGTTAATTATGATCATGTATTTTTTTTTTCATTTTGAGATTGCATGTATGCTCTTATATTTTTTTTAATTAGATTTTTTTTTTTTCTAACAAACAATTGTATTTCGATTTCTTTTTTTTATTTAAACTTATTTATCATTCTATATAAATTTTCATCCATCTAAACCACATGTTGTATTTTTAATGCCAATGTTTGTTGTCTACAATTTTTTAAGTCTACACAATTATTGTTCTTATTTTTTTATATGGTTTTTAAATGAGTAAGGTGAAGAATCCCATTGATAATCTCTTGTTAAAAACTCAGGTCATAGCATTGTATTAGATGAAAACAAATAGTGTCTATTACTGTCTATTTATATTTAGTGTGTCAGTTTGTTTTGCAAGATGAGTGTCTTTCACTATTCAATTAAACAATTATGATTTAATAAATGAATCACAACAGTTCTATGCAAAATGGGGGTTGGATGGCTGAATGGTTAGCGTGTGCGCGCTGTATCATAAGGACTGTCATTGAGTCAACAGTCAAAACTAAAAAAACTCCCAATTTGGTTGAAAACAATTAGGCTATCTGGTGTTTAGGAAAATATGACAAAAAATAGGAATAAATTGTAGGTGGATAAGAGAGTCCAAAACAAACCAACTATAACATAGAACTTACTCTATTATTAATGGAAATAACAAATCAGATCAAACTAATTCCTTTAAATGTGCAGATGGTTTTTTTAGACTAGTCACAATAATAATGAATTAACTATTTCACATACTGAAACATTTCAAAGAGTACTCTCTCAATGTTATCACCGAAATGCCTCTAGAATAACACTAATGGATTGTTCCATATTTAATTATATCAGTGAAATTGCTATTATTTTTTTCTAAGGAGCTAAGGCGAGGACCATGCCTAGCAACTCGATATGTTTATTGATTTTATACATAATATTTTTATTGCATGTTTTTATTAATATTACAGAACTCTTTTTTTTTTTTGATTTTATCAAAATTTGTACTTATGTCAATGTGCTTATAATAGTTTTAGTAATCAGCAAATGAGAATGCGATGTGTTTTGTAAATGTAAATAAGAAAAGATCTGTCATGTAAATTGTGCAAATAAAGACAGAAAGTGCTAAGCATATTATGCCATTAATCTATTTTACAAATGTCAATGATAACTCTTTGTTTTAATATTGATGTTATAATATTGATGAAATGTCTCTACTTCTTTTTAGTGAGTTCAATAAATTATATTTAATTTTTCACTATTTTTTCAACACAATATGTTTGTGGCCGGTCGTTCAAAGCTCTGTAAACTTATAATGACTTGTTAACGTGGAGTTAATGGATCGTTAACTTTAACAGAGAGAAAGTCTGTTGCTGGAAGCCCTGTTAACTTCAGTGGCATGAGTTGGCTGTCAGTATACCCTTAGCAAAAAGTACTATAGAATACCAGTTTAGTTTTTTTTATAGAATTCTATAGAAAATTCTTGAGAGTCTGGTGGGAGGGGGTGGTGGGGTATCTACCCCATTTTCTATAGGATGAAATTCTATAGTATTCTACAGAATTTTGGGGGGCCTGTAAGAATTTATATTCTACAGTTTTTCCTTCAGATTTATGGTAAAATGTGTATAGGAAAATACCTTAGTATTCTATAGATTTCCTCATATAATAGTGTTTTCTGTGGGAAATTCTACAGTTATCTTTATCAAGTGTTTTGAACAGACTGCACAGTTGTCCCACTTCAGTTTCTTGTTAAATAATATATGAAGTTGTTATACATGTACATGTATATTAAATTTAATAATCAGCCATTGATTAAATTTAATCAGTCTGTTAGCTAAGGATAATGAAATTCACTTTCCAGCAACAGAAATCTAACCGAGAGTTAATAAACCAGAAGTTGCAAGATAACAGATTGTTAAAATAACTGAGTTTTAAACAACTGGCCCCAGGTTTCAGGGCCCTTATTCACGAAAACTTAAACTAAGATACAATCGAAATTTTAAGAAATACTGCAATTCGATTGGCTGACCAATATGCAAATTGGATATATGCAAATTGATTTTACTGGTCAGCCAATTGAATTGCAGTATTTCTTAAAATTTCGATTGTATCTTAGTTTAAGTTTTCGTGAATAAGGGCCCAGATTGATTAATTACTAGTCCTTAAAGGAGTGAGACAGAAAACAAAGTGAATTTTATAGAAACTATTCCAAAAATGAAACGGGATTTGATCCCATTTGTCTGCACCAATGGGTTAATGAAGACCGAAATGCAGCATGCAGTGTGCTATGGGGGAAATTTTGCCAATACAGCGGCACCACTGTCTACTTTTTTTTTTCGAATACCAACTCTTCAGTTTTGCGTTCTATTCAATTGACTAGATGCTGTTCCATCCGACACAGGGGAAAACCATAATGAATAATCCTGAGGAACTTTCCAGCAGCAGATCTTGAAGCTATGAATGGAGGGTGGGGTGGTTTAAATCCAGAGCGCCATTCACAATCCTACCCCACAATGAATGTCGATGTCAACAAAATACTAATAAAATGCCCTCCCCCTTAATCCGTGCCTAGAACTTTCTCACCAACACTCTAAGCAAACCCGGCCAGAACCTCCTGGTTAATGAGCCAGTGCCTTACTGAGCAACCATGCCACTCCAACCACCCCTTATTCCAAACTAACGGCAAATTACCTGTTATATTTCAAAATTACTGTATTTGAAATGACTACCAACACCTTAGTCTAAATATTGGAAAATATAGATATGTGGGTGTAATGTGTAGCTGTAATTATGTGTTTGCAGATTTGCAAAAACTTGACTAGATAAACATTTTGTAGTCTTTCTTTTTATATAACGTTTTAAAACACAATGCCATGTGCTGAACAGAAGGCTTAACTTTTTCAAAACACAAGAACATATGCTGCATGTCAGAAGGCTTAACTTTTTTTTCAAAACAAAAGACCCTATGCTACACAGAAGTAGCATGTGCGTGCTGCATCATAAGCTCTGTCATTGAGTCAACTGGTATGGTTTCGATTCCCTGGTTGTACATGACAAGGAATTGGGTCGTCTGTCCACCCTTGTGGGTTTTCTCTGTGTCCTCCGGTTTCCCCCCACTGCTAAAGACCTCTACGCATAGGCGTACAGGCTCGATGACAGTTAGGGGGGGGGGGGGGGCAGAACCCGAAATGCCCGAAAAAATTTCGGGTTTACAGACAGCGGCGCCGGTCTTTTCCTCGTGAGGCGAAGAAGCGGAGCTTACCTATTATCCCCCCCCCCCCACCTACAAAGAAATTTTTGGAATATTTGACGGCTGCAAACACGTTTTTCTGCTATTTCAGCCCGTGAACAAAGCATCTTCAAAGTGGTTTAATATAGCCGAATTAAGGTGGCTGAATCGAATTCCAATCAATCGTTTACAGTCCACAGGACCGTTGGGAGAACATTTGGAAAATTTAACTGCCACAAACGCGTTTTCCTGCTATTCCAGCCTGTGAATACAGCAACTTCAATTTGGTCCAATATAGCCTACCTGGTTGACCCGAATTCCAAACAACCAATCAATCGTCGCGGGGTATGGGGGTCTCTCCTTCCCGGAGAAAATTTTGAAAATTTAACCACCGTAAATGCGTTTTCTGCTATTCTAGCCCGTGTAAGCAACTCCAAAAGTATCCAATGGTTTTTATCCGAAATCCCATTCTGAATTCCAATCATCCAATCAGACTGTTGCAGCTGCATTCACAAATAATAATCGATGCCCGAAAAATGTCGCACAAAGTAGAGTGGCTCCAGACAAAATGTTTTAATCCATAGTGAACTCAGTACAATTCGTGGTATTCAATTAAAAGAAAAGTAAAATTAGTGTTTTATTAGGGCTCGATGACAGTTAGGGAAGCAAAACTAGAAATGCCCGAAAAAATTTCAGGTTTACAGACAGCGGCACCGGTTTTCTTTGAGAGGCGAAGAAGCGGAGCGGACGTATGGACCCCCCAAGAAATTTTGGAATACTTGACGGCCGCAAACGCGTTTAACTGCTATTCCAGCCCGTAAAATTAGTGTTTTATTAGATTTCGAGCACTTTATTTTGCCAAGTAGATGAAATAATTTTTTTTTTCCCCGTTTACCCGTCTGCCCGAAAAGTCAGCTTGCCCGAAAGTTAAGGGGGCAGCTGCCCCCCCCCGCCCCCCTGGGTCGTACGCCTATGCTGGCCCTACGTGCAAATGAATTATTGAAATTAAATTGAACCATGTTAGTCCCGAATTGACATAGTTTGTCGATTGGATGCTAAACCCCATTTCTCTCTCTATCTACACAGAAGGCTTGACAAATATTTAACTTGTAACTATGAATCAGTATGAAAGATGTTTTCTTTCGAATTATTTTTGTGATTATTTGTAAATTAATCTTTACAGTGTAACAGATGTTAGGTTTTTTGTAACGGGTGTTAGTGTTTCAGTAGTGGACATATTTATTGACAAGTTTGCAGATTATACAATAACAATGTACATATATCAAATTTATCCATTATTTATTCATTTTTCTACACTTGCATTCATAACGCCTAGCCTATCGTTTCTTGGGGATCACGTGGCTAAGTGGGTAAGACGCTAGCTCGCTAACCTGGAGGTCGGGTGTTCGATCCCTGCAGTGGCCGAGAAAGTTCATCCAGATTTTCCGGCGTGGTTCTCCCTTGTCAGTGATGCAGGACGGAGGGGCTGACAAGGAAAGCTGTCTAGTCGTTCGGATGGGACGAAAAACCGAGGTCCCGTGTACACATTGGCGTGCACGTAAAAGATCCCTTGGCAGTTGGAATTCGGTATAAGAGTAGGCCGTAGTGCCGCTGTCCGGGCAAAATTTCCCTCATAGCACACTGTATGGCGGGCGTATGCCCGTCTTCATTAGTCCAGGTTAGGAGCAGAACAGTAGGACGTTAAACTCCATTTCATTTCATTTCATTTCTACCGTTTCTTTGTCATTAAGTTTTGTATCGTTCAGAGATGTGACCACAGAATAACAGTTGTCTGACCACAGACCATAAAAAAATTTCACCGGTCTTTAGCTGGCTCACACACAAATCTTGTTGCCTTATTTATGCCCGGGAACCAATAAATATGCAACTCCGCTACAATAAATATGCAACTCCGCTACCCTTATAACTTTGCTAACGTACTCATTGATGTGACAACTTTCTTTTATGCCCATATTTCCCGCGGTCGTATGCCGTCGTCATCCTATTCAACCGTCAGTCCCTCAAAACAAATGTAAATGCACAATGTCTTCAACATCTTCCGTCCACATTTTTTTTGTGTCCACATGTCGGAGCTCCAGGTAGTTTTTGTCATGACGTGTACTGATCTACATTTAACGTGGGGATCACGTGGCTAAGTGGGTAAGACGGTGGCTCGCTAGCCTGGAGGTCGGGTGTTCGATCCCTGCATTGGCCGAGAAAGTTCATCCATATTTTCCGGTGTGGTTCCCCTTGTCAGTGATGCAGGTTGGAGGGCTTGACAAGGACAGCTGTCTAGTCGTTCGGATGGGACGAAAAACCGAGGTCCCGTGTACACATTGGCGTGCACGTAAAAGATACCTTGGCAGTTGGAATTCGATATAAGAGTAGGCGATAGTGCCGCTGCCCGGGCAAAATTTCGCTCATAGCACACTGTATGGCGTATGCCCGTCTTCATTAGCCCAGGTTAGGAGCAGTAGGACGTTAAACCCATTTCATTTCCATTTAACGTAACTATACCGCGCAGAGTGCTCAATGAATTCAGGCACCACCAGTTACTAATTACCTTTACTTTACAGAATTTTGTCGTGACTCAAGTTATTTCATCTATAGTGTTTTTATGCATGCATTGATCAGTTGAGTGAGAAAACGGTGCTGATAGAATTCCAACGATTTCCAATGACTTTTAGATTTATTGCCCATTTTGTACAATCCTGAACATTATACATGTCATCATCGATCGGCTTGAAATTAAAATGTAATATTCAGATGATTACGAAATGAAATGGGGTTTAACATCCTACCTTTCTGCACCGACTGGAGTAATGAAGACGGAGAGGATTCAGATGAAGACGGCTTGTGGAATCTGAACAATTAATAATTATTAAATTTATAGCTATTGCTCTTGATAACTTTGTAATTGTCCTAACTCGGATTGTACTCTAGTACCAATCATACCATTGCCTTCGCCAATTCTGTAAAAACTTGCAAATACCTAAATTCCTCATTAGGTTTTTTTCATCCATCGGCGAGAAACCCACTTACACTTGGCCTACTTTTCTGCGCCAACCAAGCTAATGAAGATGGGCATACGCCATGCAGTGTGCCATAAGGAAACTTTAAGCCGAACAGCTGTGTTTCCGCCTAATCTTCACAGAATTCCAACTTTTATGTGAAATTCTAAGTTTACTTGGGACCTCGTTTTTTGTCCAATCTGCACGACTAGACCATCCTCCTTACAGGACTGGAGGTCAGTGGAAACCTGCTGGAAAATCTCAGAACGTTCTCAACCAACACTGGGTTCGATCAAGGGACTGCGACTTAGTCACTGTGCTACCGAAGTAGATTAAAAACACAAGATTTTAAATAATAGTAACAGTTTATTATAATAACAATTAAATAAAACCATATAATATAATTTATATGACAGTTGTAAAACAAGTAATTATTTACAAATATAATTATGACCAAATCCCCGTCGATGGTCCAGATTTTATCTTATCTATTTTCTGTTGACTTCAACATTTAGCAATAGCAATTTGATTCATCAACATGTTTCGATATGTCACAGCATGAATATTAATTGTATGGTAATATTATAGGTCGAAACCGACCCACGGTTCATGATATATAATGCCTGAAGGAAATCAATTACGAAAGCTTCGGTCTGAGATGAAGATTAAGTGTGATAAAGTCAACATCATTAGGCAGTGTAAAGCTTTTTTGTTCGTTAGATCTATAATAATATATCAATGGCACGATGTTATTAAAAGTCTGGATAGTATTTGGAGCTTCGTCTCCAAGATGTCAACAATCTTTGTAAAGGGAACATTTGCCAAATCGGGAAAGTATTACATTTTGGATACATTTAAGATTTGCTCGTTTTTCGCCTTTATGTTTAACTAAAACGGCGAGACCATTGATTGACTCGACATCATTGTGACGGAGTTCTAGAAGACCATGGTTTCGTTGATAATATTTGATACTACACTCCATCCTTACATGGACGTACTTGGTAATCGCAACATTGACGCATTCCGTCGATTCTTCTTCTTGTTCATCCATGATCGATTCGACAAGGACCTCGCCAACGGCTTCCATCTGAGCCGTGTAAATGACGAATTTTTGATTACCTTGAACCGCTACTAGACTAAAAGCAAATCCCTCTGGGTGACTGTCAGACCAGAAAACACAGTCGTCGTTAGGTGTATCACCAGCAAAGGTCAGACGTTTACCATATCCCATACCAATAGATTTAAGACATCGAGCTTCGCCATTAAACAGGTATCGTTGAGAGTTGTTATACCGAACTAGGTATGGAAAACCAGGGCTGATTTGTCGATGTACATAAACTCCTGTTCAAGAAAAAAACAATAGAACTTATGAGAATGAGATCATGAATTATTTTGTGAAGGAGGGAGGTATAAATAGATTTTATTTATGATTAAAATTCGTGATATTTGTAAATTGAAACATAATCTGTGAAGAGTTATTTTACTAAAGAACCAAAGAGTAGCAAGTGCTCACAGTTTGTAAACGCGTATTCCACACTATTTTAGGGTGGGACCCGATATTCTACAACCGAATAGATGATCCAAAACTTGATACATGTATATACCGAAACGCATATCTTGATAACTGTTATCTCGGAAACGTAATGTGCTACACATTATCCCCGAAGGATCTCAATGACTTATCTTTATTGACACTTAATTTCCCACAACTGATATTTAAATGTTGGTTAAATTAACGATGGTGACCTCTGACATCGAAAGTTTTTGATCGATTTGCTTTGGAAATGGGGCGCTTTGTTTTCAAATAGGCATAACATTCCCCACGAATCTTATAAGAAATGTATTTTAAGTCTGCATTTGGAGTGCGTCTTTAAATTAATATTTAGTGTGGAACTACACAAATGACATTAATCAGGTTGATCCTCTGTGATAAGTAATACACCGTTACCTTCTACAGCCAGCTAGTGAATGCCAGCAATAGAACTTCAAAACTGCTTTTTTTTCTTCTCTTTAGATCAGTTTAAATATAGCCAGAAAGCTTCTGTTTTCAGAACACATCTGTAAAGTGTGCCCATGTTAGAACAACAATTTTAACATCCTAACAAATGAAAATGTCCCTATACTTAGATCTTCTACTTTATTATGATTAAAATTCTTCACATATTTCCTTAAATCGAGTAATCGTATAACACATGTTAATGACTATGTTGCAATAAGCTGCACCAGCAGGCAGGTCCATTGAATATTAACAGGAATGCCGCTGCCATGGCAACCGTAGAGTATTCTATGACGTCTACAGCCACAGGTATCAAGGTTAAACAATACGGCTTGGTCGTCCATAATTATACCGGACAATCCTTCGAACTTTAAAGGTACTGTATCGATTTATTTTGTCTTGCGTTGATTGGGCATTTAACAATATATTATCTCTTTTCAAAATGCTTCATCCATTAATGTAACGTACATCTTGAACACGTGTCCAGTATTTTGTGTACTGAAACGTTTCTCCGCTAAACATTAAACAAATGAAATGTGCTTGTTTGATTAACTTGTTGCCAGCCTGCTACCTATTATAGTTTGCATTAGAGATCGTGACGGTAACCTTGCCAACGTGCGATGAGGTCTAGAAAAAGTCCATGGAAATGAGAAGCGGCATAGAAAGTAGAAATCAATAACTTGAGTGCGGCGATGAGTCATTCCGTAACACCAATTGTGCAAGACATAATATATATATATATATATATATATATATATATATATATATATATAATATTGGCTCCACTATTATTATTATCATTAGTTTAAAGGGAAAATTAAGAATCCTTTATTGTTATGATATAAAGACAGTATAAGCATTATGAAATAATTAATCCAGTATGTGGAATTAGATCAAATAGAATAGTTCACTTTACTTACGTAAACTATGTGTATTAGAAAACCTTAATATTTACTAAAACAAAACAAAACCTTACCTATGACGGGTAGTTCGTGTGGTTTCAACCCTTTCACCAAATATTCAGCTGGTACATCATTATTTTCGGACCCATTTACTACCACATTTCTAGAAGTCGGCTCCTTGGAGTTGGTTCTGAAATTGGTGTGTTCTTCTTCCTCACTTATTCCATTTTCAGGGTATTTAGAAGTAAATCGATCAAGAAGGAGATCTTCAAAGTGGTTTGTCCAAACATTTCCGTCCCCGAGCCGTAAGGACTGTAAATCCTGTGGTCGCATGGTGGCATATGGTGTCAAACGTCGTATAAGTAAATCTTGTTCTTCAAACACTTCCTCTTCTATCACGACTGACACATCTGAATCAATAACGGCAGTCATTTTGTTTCTTAAAGCTTGTCTGTGGTAATGAGAAAATCCGTGCTTGAATTTTTTCGACCGGATATTTGTAGTGTCTTGACCCTTTGATCAGTTGTCCAAATAGTATAGCCTTTGTTTCAATAATTACTTTAGGGGGTACGTCCACACTGGGTTGTAATGTTGATAAACTGTACAAGTTGGTGGTTCAAAACCTTTTGCTGTCAAAATGACGATAAACGGAATTTCCTTGCAAAATTGATTTGCTTTCCCTTCGTATGTTTATCGTTGTTTTCCCTCCTCGTGCACAACCCAATCTTTATATGGGTTTGTACGTCAGTTGTATTACGTTGACCAATCAGAATAGCCAGTTCTGTACCTATCACTCATTTGATTGGACAGATTACCCGCCGAATTGTCCACGTGCCTCGAGCGTGTTTCATTGTGAAAGAATATTCCATTATCGCACGCTACATTCCAGCTGAGGCTCGTGTTATCACTGAAAGTTTCCCGTGGAAAAAAACGGAACCCACTTACGCGGATTTTGGGGCGGTGAAAGTCCAATCTTCCAAAATGTCTCTAAAGTTTAAAAGATATGTAAAAGTCGAGCTAAATAAACCATATTTGCAGAAAATATGCCATTTTCGACTGATAGTTCAAAATAATTGTGTTATTTGTGTAAGACCATTCTTTATTTTTCAAACTGCAACAGCCTACTACACATAAAAAATAACTGTTTCTCTCTGCGCATGTTACCGGTAGTATAATTTATCCACCTCAGCATCATAGAACTGTACTATACGATCCATGCTCAGCATAATATTTGGTAATAGGCTACTCACGAATATGTAAATAAAATCTAAAATGAATTAATTAAATCATTATCTTTATTATAAAACAAGAAATTGGGATGGGGTCTTGATAACGGTATCGGTCGACAAAACAGTATTTAACTCACCCTTTGCCGAAAATGAATTATTCCACACCAGCCAATCAACTGGCAGACGATTTATTTACGGCACGCGCTATTCACATGCGTCAAGAAACATGTTTATGTTCACGTTTGTTGGATAAATAAATTGACACATAATGCAAAATAACCGTTCTTTTGTTGTGTGAATGCTCGAAGAATCACATGCCTACATTTTGATTGCTGGAAATTTAAATTTACATAAAACAGTTATTAATAGTCAGTCAATAGACAGTGGCTTGTGGACTGTGGGTGAGTATAATTCTAATTGTTGTAGTACATACACGTCCACACTGAGTTGTGCACAGTTTCTGACATGTGCCATGTAGGAAGTTTATTTTGCCAGTGAATAAATAATGAAACCAAATAATATTCAATAATATATGGGTTAAGGAAGGCTGCAGTAACTGGTACAGCTTTACAATGTCAATGAGTTTAGCAGATTTTGTTAAGCTACAGGAATTATCCGAATGTATAGGCTACATGTATGAAGTATGAAACAAATGCACTCGTTGCACTAATCCCAGCATCGAGACAGCGAAAACTATATGATATAACTCTAACAAAATTTGTATAGGTATAACCCAATGTTATCAGTAATATTCCACATTAACAAATATTATTTGAATTCAATAGACTTAATACTAACCTTGTCATTGTGTAAATGACTGTCATTCAATTTGGACTGCTTATCACCAAACATAAATGATTAGTAATTGCATACAGAATTTAAAAATTGAATGGAAAATCGGTTTATAAACTCGTACATTCTTTTCGACCCCTTCGTCTTGTTTAGGTTCCAAAGAATAGAGCTATACACCCTTAAATTTGTATATATAGCCATACATTTTAAGTCCTTCAAAACTATATTTGAGACAGACCCCTTGTTCCATGCACATTACAGGTAATGTTTAGCGGTGGATAGATTCTGATACCTAGTAACCAATAATTCCCATTTAAGTGTTCTACAAAGCATATTATACAGTTAAGATATATGATATATCATATCATAGATTACCACAGACAAGAAGTATGTGTAACGGGACATTGCCCGATTGGATGACCTTGAGATATTGCACTGGTGATATCAAGTTTACTGAAAATAACAAAAATAATAGGTTTATTTCCTTTTTAAAAAATGATCTGTAAGAAAGATTTGATTTATGTAACTTAACACTTTTGAAATAGATAATGGCTGGATAAGTTAAGCTATAAGTTTCCTCAGGTTGTAACATTTGACCAATTGTTACAATTAGAGCAGTGGTTCTCAACCTTTTTTTGCCAACAGCACACCTTGGAACACTTGAAAAAATAGCGGTACACCTGGCTAAATCATTTTCAAAATATAAACATGGTAAGTCGGACGTCATACAACGGTAGACAGAGACAAATCAGACATATATAATGACTAAAACTAAATGAAGAAAAACACCAATGAATACTCAATTGTTTTTCCACATTTTCTTAGTGTGCCGTTCAAAATTTTGCATCACACTTAATAAGATCTTGCGGCACACTGGTTGAGAATCACTGAACTAGAGCATAGTGTAGTTATCTAGAAATGGCCTAGTCATATTGAGAAAATCACAGAACTTGTGTGATCCCCATGAGGAATTGTACCATGATTGCATGAGTGTGTAATGAAGTCTTTTGATAGTCATAGGTCATAAAATTATAGAAAGATAGAATCGGGCAGAGCAGGTTGAATTATATAGTTGTCTCCCTTGTCCGTCCATCAGTCTATAAATCGATCTAGCTATGTCCTTTGAGATGTCTTTTGAAACTTTCCTTGATTTGCTTCCTGTCTATACAGAGATATTGCCCATGTTTTCATATACTGTTTTTTAAACTTACTGGATTTGTTTTGTTTAACTGGCCATTCGAAACAGGAGGAACCTGCAAGGTCGGATCCATGAATTTTTGCAGGAGGTGGGTTTGCCAGGTTCCTGAGACAATATATTTTAGGGGGACGGGGACGGGGGGGGGAGCCTCCCCCCGCATCCATACAGTCTCGAAAATTTTTTGGAAATACATGTTCTCTATCATCGTTTTCACGTATATACATACACACTGAGCCTTTTAAAGAGAAAAATCCAACACCCCGTTTGATGTCAATTTTTATTATGAATAATACGATCACTTTGTGAATCATTCAATTTCATCAATACAAAGCGTAAATTGTGATATCTATATCATTATCTTGTGCTATGAATGCCCATCCCATCCCACTATGATAAAGGATATAGCACACGACCCTGACACTTTACAAAAAGTTTTCTGTAACAGAGCAGGGGGCTTGCACCCCCCCACCCCCACATCTCCCCCTGAGAACTCTTTTGAAACTAAATATTCTGCGTAAGTTTTATGCTGGGATCGTTTGGCTGTTGGTCACACTTCATTATTAGAGACATTTTGGTACACAATAATTAATTTTGATCATTGGCATTTTCTGTTCAGGCTAAGTACAGATCAGCAATTTGATTGCTCAATGCTTTACAAAAAAAAATGTGCAGTAAATTAATGTGTCATTATTTATTTTGGAGTGAGGGGAGTGCGGGGGATGGGGACATCAGCCTCACTGTTGGATAGTTTGGCTCTTCGTAAACTCGTAGCCGTATTGAATTCAGGCACACATTGATTTTATGCAGAGATATTGACCTCGGCAGGTTATAATCAGAGCTTAGAAATTCGGGATCACACATTTATTTTTTACTAAGTAATTACTCCAGTCGCCAAAAGCATACTTATTCCATCTCCTGTGCATTTGGTATGGAGATATTTATTGCCTTTGTTGTACTTTAGTAATATCATGTAATATTCAGAAAGCTGTTGGTAGGCATATTTTTTTTTTTTTTTTTTTTAAATAATTCACAGTTCCTGTACTTGTCTACTAATAGTAATGAAATGGGGTTTAATGTCCTAGTGTTCTGCTCTGACTGGGCTAACGAGGACAGGGTGTACTAAAAGAGAAAAGTTTTTGTTAGTTCCATACATGTATGTACGGTACACCGATTCACAAGTCCTTGATAAATTTTCTGATTGATATTTCACGTGACAAAGGGGTGTTACTTTGTATTTGACGGTGTTAGCTACTAAGCTTATTTGAATCTCATACTCATAAATATATAGGTTATAAATTGATTATCATAACAGGTTTTTCATTCACTACGACACTAAATTTTAAGCCATACCCTAACTGGTTAAGATTTTACCATTTTTGAAAACATTCCTCATAAAGCTTTTGTTGTTTGACTTTATTTACTATACCTTATGAATGTGTTCTATTTTCCTGTTTGTCATAATGACCTTCAAATAAATATCTTATCGCATGTTGTAGTAAAAGTTGTAGTTTTGAAGGTTAACTATTTGGCCTTACCATAGATTAAAACTCTTTTCGATCATTGTATTAATACATGTACGCTCAGTATCTCCAACTCGCTATCAAACTGGGACACATTTTCTGGATGTCTTTCATCCTAGTTCACCTGCCCTGTTTTTCATGGCTGATTTTTTCTCATCTGCATTACTTTCTGACAGTTTTTTCTACAATGTGTGATTATCTGTCTATCTTTCCACCTTTTTTTTATCTGTCTTTTCCTCTTATTTATCTGTCTTTTCCCCCTGTGTTTATCTGACTGCCTTCCTATGCCCCCTTGTTTATCTGCTTGACTCTTCCTGTCTCCCCTCCCCCCACACACACATACATACATATCCCACTTTGTTCAGCTGTCTTACACTTCCTTACTGATTTTTACCCTTTATTCTTCTGTCTTTCCACATGTGTTCATCGGTTTACTCATCTATTTGTCATCATTAGCAATTTTGTCTCCTTTGCACCTTGGCTTCTTCAGCTTCAGTGTATCTTTTTAATGTTTATCTGAAGTGAATGATATTACAATTTTCTATTACATTTCATTTACAAAATTAAATATAATTTCCCTGCTTCTACAAATTACTTCATTCAACGATATATTGCATTGGGGGAAAAACCTCGCAAAAATTTAATAGCTGGACAGATGGGCTTATTGCAACATTCGTTTTAACACCATATGGTATGGTGCTATAATTACTAAATCTAGTCGGATCTATAGAGTAAAACTGGTTTCCCCTTGTCAGTGATGCAGGATGGAGGGCCTGACAAGGACAGCTCTCCCGTCAAAAGGCAAAACCTAGTAACTCACTTTTTTATCAAAATTGAGTTAGGACCAAATTTGTAGTTACTAGGGTATGTGCTTCCTGTTTTTGTACTAGATATTCCAATCTTTTGATTTTGTAAGCAGTTACACCCATGACACAACCTAGCAACTTCCTTCATTTGCCTAGTATAGCACAGCAAAACCTAGTAACTCAATAGTCAAATCAATGGATGAGCTGCCGTTTAATATTCATTCATTACGTTTTCCTTTGTTTTCTCAAAATAAGAAAAAAGTGAGTTACTGGGTTTTGCCTTTTGACGGGAGAGCTGTCTAGTCATTCGGATGGGACGAAAACCGAGGTCCCGTGTACACATTGGCGTGCACGTAAAAGATCCCTTGGCAGTTGGAATTCGATATAAGAGTAGGCGGTAGTGCCGCTGCCCAAGCAAAATTTCCCTCATAGCACACTGTATGGCGTATGCCCGTCTTTATTAGCCAGTTTAGGAGCAGAACAGTAGGTCGTTAAATAGGCTTTGTGAAACATACCTCAGACGTATATAGAGTCTAAATAAAACAAAAACACTTGAAAGACCTTATCAAGCAAGGGTAACAGGGCTTTTCTTAATCAATATGAAGCTTTTTACCCCAAAGTATGAAATTAGTTAGAAAATTATGTAATAATTCATGATTCATTAATTCATAGCTTATTTATGTTACATTATATATTTAGAATATGTAGCTTTATGTTACAATATTTTAACAATAATTTAACACTGAATAAATATGAACAAGTTTCGGGTTACGAGTAATAAATATTTTTTTTATATTTATTTACTGTAGGGTAAAGAAAACACCTGTTTTACCAATAGAAGTTGGCTGTTAGTGTTATGTACATATAAATAGATTAAGAATATGTGAAGTAACCTTCGGATACAAACCAGAATTACAGGACAGACAGAAATATATATACATACTGTTGAAATTCTTGTCTGTTGATGGAGTAGCCTAACCTAAAGACTTTATTCATCTAATCATTTATCTAGAGGAAGAAAATATTAAGGATTTACAGAGGACCATTTTGTTTTAGGTAAATCAATGTTTATGTTAAGCATGTAGTCACATGCTACATGTAGTGTATTTAAAGTAGTCTTATTGTTTAAATTATCAATTTAAAAAAAAAACAAACCACATCCAGTCTTATTATGGCCATCTAAAAACATAATGAATATTACCAACCTGAACATTCCTAAAAAAAAATGACTTTGAAGACTAATTCTTTCGTCAACAAAACTAACATTTGTTTACTGTAAGCTACATGTACAGAATATCAACAGATAGATATAAACTATGGGTATTATTGCATGTACCAGAGTTGGAAGTATTAGAAATTCAAATTCAATATTTAGTTTGATATAAAGCTATTTAATGACAACCAATTCCAACTTACATGAACTCACTGCTGTCTTTGTTTTCAAACTTGTGTGAAGTCTGTGTCACTACAGGGCAGGCCCGGGACTGTACAGCGCAGTGGTTACGGCTGGCCCCCAGATCCATTCACTTGATTTGATATTTGTTTGTTTGGTGCAATGTCTATTTTCTGTCTTGTCTGCAGGTTTATCTTGTAGATTTTTGTTTTACCCGTAGTGCCGTCCTCCTGCACTTACTATTAGGGGGGTTGGATGGCCGAATGGTTATAAGGTCTGTCATTGAGTCAACTGGCGTGGTTTCGGTTCCCCAGTTGTATATATGACAAGGAGTAGGGTCTCCTGTCCAACCTCATGGGTTTTCTCCAGGTCCTCCGGTTCCCTCCCACTGCTAAAAGACCCCTACGCGCAAGCAAATTATTGAAATAAAATTTAACCATGTATTAGTCCTGTAATGACCTAGTTTGTGTCAGTGGATGTTAAACTCTCTCTCTCTCTCTCTCTCTCTCTCATTGCTACTTTAATTAAGAAATTTACATGATCATTATATAAAGGAGGATAATGTCTATGAAAGAATGTACTGGTAGATAGACATAATTATTTATAGATGTACAGTCAGATTTTTGAACAAAACATCTCCGCACTTTATGGAATTTATTTTTTGTCCCCCGCCTTTCGAAGAAAGCAGGGGACTATTAAAATGGGTTCGTCCGTCTGTCCGTCTGTCTGTCTGTCTGTCCGTCTGTCTGTCCGTCTGTCTGTCTGTCCGTCACACTTTTTGGGACACAATAACTCTCTTCCTAATTGAGCTAGAATGTTCAAACTTGGTGTATGTGTTTATTAGGTCAATGCCTTGATGGAGTTCGAAGATGAGCATTTTCCGCTTAGGGTAAGCAGAGATAAGCAATTTGATTGGTTGATGCTTTGGGACACGATAACTCTCTTCCTAATTGGGCTAGAATGTTCAAACTTGGTGTATGTGTTGATTAGGTCAATGCCTTGATGAAGTTCGAAGATGAGCATTTTCCGCTTAGGGTAAGCAGAGATAAGCAATTTGATTGGTTGATGCTTTGGGACACGATAACTTTTAATTGAGCTAGAATGTTCAAACTTGGTGTATGTGTTTATTAGGTCAATGCCTTGATGGAGTTCGAAGATGAGCATTTTCCGCTTAGGGTAAGCAGAGATAAGCAATTTGATTGGTTGATACTTTGGGGCACGATAACTCTCTTCCTAATTGAGCTAGAATGTTCAAACTTGGTGTATGTGTTGATTAGGTCAATGCCTTGCTGGAGTTCGAAGATGAGCATTTTCCGCTTAGGGTAAGCAGAGATAAGCAATTTGATTGGTTGATGCTTTGGGACACGATAACTTTAGTTCTAATTAAGTGAGATTGATGAAACTTGGTGTATAGATTTATTATATGAATACCTTAACTAAGTTCGATAATGAACATTTTTTGCTGAGGGTAAGCAGAGTGATAAGCAATTTGATTGGTAGAAACTTTGGAACACAATAACTCCTTCTAATTGAGGTAGAATGTTCAAACTTGGCATAGGTGTCTATTAGGTGAATGTTTAAACTTGATGTATATGTAGATGTTCATTAGGTGAATGTCTTGACTGAGTTCAATAATTAACATTTCGAGCTGAAGCTAAGCAGAGCTAATCGATTTCATTTGTCGATGGTTTGGGACAAGATAATCTTGATTCTATCTGATAGAGAGTGATGAAACTTAGTGAAAAAAATAAATGTGCGATTAATTAATATGTGTCATCTATTTATTTTGCAATTTCGGCGGGGGACATCAGCCTCACTGTTGGCTTGTTGAAATTAGAGTCAGAGTCTGAAGACATACATGTTGTAAGATGTTTAGTCATTTTGATGCAAATCGGAGAGTATTATTTCTGACCATTTTTCTAAACTTAACCTACAGAGTAACTCTTTTTACATCACAGATTGTGATTATATATAGTAATGGATTATTTTTTCCTGTTGGGAAGTCCACCAGATTGTCACTGCATATTGTATTATCTACATTGAGATGTCTGCCCTGAATGGCCACCATGTTGAAAAAATAGTGTATTTTATTTTGTTACACAATTTTAATCCATTTTACATCTTTCACCCACACATAACTAAATAACCATGTTCCATGAAAATTGAAGCCTAATAAATACTTCAAATTATCAAGGTAGCCTATACTTTCGAGTAAAAATCATTGATGTAGGAATTAAATGTTGATCAGCTAAATTCTTGCCTGTTCTCAAGCAGAGCTTATTTTATAGAGGCAGCATTAGTTTTGTATGTGTATATTGAACAACATTAATCTGTTGGGAAATCCACCAGATTGTCACTGCATATTGTATTATCTACATTGAGATGTCTGCCCTGAATGGCCACCATGTTGAAAAAATAGTGTATTTTATTTTGTTACACAATTTTAATCCATTTTACATCTTTCACCCACACATAACTAAATAACCATGTTCCATGAAAATTGAAGCCTAATAAATACTTCAAATTATCAAGGTAGCCTATACTTTCGAGTAAAAATCATTGATGTAGGAATTAAATGTTGATCAGCTAAATTCTTGCCTGTTCTCAAGCAGAGCTTATTTTATAGAGGCAGCATTAGTTTTGTATGTGTATATTGAACAACATTAATCTGTTGAATTCTAAATTACTGTATATTTTTATTGATTGGTATTTTCCATAGTACATAAAATTTTGTGATATTTATACATTAAGCAGGCCACATTTCTGATTAAATCTTATTATTGTAAAACGCAATCCTATTATCGTTAATTATATGAGCTTAGCATTTAGCAAGGGCGGATACTGAATATTTCATAATTGGGTCGTTGGGGGTCTGAGGCGGAAAGTGCAAAGAAAGCTTGTTTAACATAGCGAATCAAACCATTTTTTTTTATAATGTGGTCGAATATTGTTGTCACCTCTTGGATGTTGGGTGGTCTAACACGTGTGCATGAAACCATAAGATCTGTCAATGAGTCGGGTGGCGTGGTTTTGATTCCCCACTTGTACGTGACAAGGAGTAGGGTCGCCTCTCTAACCCCCTGGGTTTTCTCTGGGTCCTCCCACTGCTGAAGACCCCTAAGTGCAAGCGAATTATTGCAATGAAATTTAACCATATGATTCCCGAAATGACCTAGTTTTTGTCGAGTGGATGTTGAACCCCATTTCTCTCTCTCTGTTGTCACACCTGTCCTTCAGTCGGTACTTTCATCCGTTTTCCACAAATGCCTGTGGTGTAATGTGAACGTTTGAGGCTAAAGTTAATTTCCGATTGACTGTAAATCTATGCACAGTAGCCTACTTGAAAGGGAAATTTGGTTCTATTAAGTTTGCACGTTGATGCACTTGGCTACTGTTACTCCATTGACTTGTTATGATATGTTTCGGAAATTAACAACTCTGAGTAGAGTAGGAATATTCCCATGAGCTATGAAATTGCAAGTCAATGACTGTAGTAGTCAAGGTTACGATATAGTTTATATTTAGCTCTCCTGTTTTTGTGGGCCTAAGTGGTTCCATAGCATGAATAGTAACCCCATTTACAATACACATCTGGTTATCATTATATAATTATTAGGCAATTTTGTCTATAAATTATGTCAATATGGTGTCATTATCCTTTATCTGTGTTATAATAATAATAATAAGCGACACAATCTTTATAGTTATCAAAATGCCACTGAAATAATACATTTGGCCAACAATCAAACTTGTCTGCTGCTCTTAGATCATTGCTCTTGAAAAAATATTCCAATTTTTATACGCCCACATTGAAAAGTAAAAATATGCGACAACACTTGTTGACTGCCCGGACGATTTAGCTGCTGTGTGTGTATGTTTCGTTGCCTGGCAACCTATCTTTTGATTGATTATTTGTACAGTTTGATCATGTACAAAGAACATTACAAATGTGTAGTTACCATTATAGACAGTCTACAGATAACTATAAAAAAAAGCTTTTAAGATCTACAGATTTTCGTTTTACATGTCTCTCTAACATTTAAAGTTAATGAAGATTAGTTGAATCCTCTTTAAGGTTGCCTCAGTAAAGTAATCTGGTTTCTGGCTTTTGAAGCGAATGGAGTATTGATTTTTGTTCTATTCTTAATATTAAGCAGAATGGCAATCGTTATGAACATTCTTATCTAGCACCGCTTTTATTTCATACAATTTCTAGCTTTGATATAAGCAGTCATAAAATATACTTTTAATAGTTTTGATATTAGAAAGTTTGCTGAATTTGTAGAGTCAGTTCAGGAAATTGGTTACCGGCATATCTCAACGCAACATTGGCTTCCTTGTCTATTGATGTAAAGTTTCCAACTAAACAGATTGTTATACAAGTAGACAAATCAACATTGTTTTAAAACCCAACAAAATCAACAAGTTTTATAGTTTACCCAAATCAAAGATTTTATTATTTTTTAGGTGTGAGAGATTCTCATAAAGAATCAAGATGCCTTGTGCCCCAGGAAAAGTATATGGTCAGCCTGAAGCTGTAGGACTGTATGATCCAACATATGAAAGTGATGCTTGTGGTGTGGGATATGTAGTTAATATTGATGGCATCCCATCGCATCGGGTAAGTAAACATTGTTTAAAACTTTAGTTTTTTGTTACAGTTGTTACGAAGATTCCCTGGACCATTGTCTAGAGTATTTTTTTCTCGCCCAGAAAACTGAAGTTACTTGATTTTCAAAATTGGAAAGCATGACTTATTTAAATGAAATGAAATGGGGTTTAACAAAGACAGGCATTCACCATGCAGTGGGCTATGAGAAAATTTTTACCCGGACAGCTGTATGAAAAATCGCTTTTTTTCATTTAGCTTGTTTTCTGTCCATCTCTTGCAAAATGGCAACCGCTTGTTGGTTAAATTATAAATTAAGGTGCTTTTAATCTTTATACATGTATGTATTTATCAAGATGCACCCAAGTAACTTATCTAGTACGGAAATGTGAAGTAAATATCACAATGGTCAAGGTGAAGATGATGTTAAATAATAACCCATTGTGTGCCAGAAACGGTACATACTTACCTTGTTTATAACAGGTGTTATCATTCTTATGTTTCTTAAAATGGCATAATAAAACTTAGCAGACAAACACAATTCTGTACAAAATATATAAATTATTTAAATAAAAACAAATTAAGAAATCTAATTGAATTGACTACTTTAAGAGATAATTTTAGTAAGAAAATATTAGTTCTTTTAAAAGTAATAATATGCTACATAAGATAACACAGATTACTTTAGTAAGAAAAACATCAGTACATTAAAATTATATGTAAAAGTAATAATATGTTATATGAGATAAAACAGATAAATATTTTTAGACTAATTAAATAGTGTAATGTTTTAATTGTGTAAACATTCACTGTATTCTTCTTGATCAGTCTTCATTATCAATACTAATCTGTAGTATTTTATATCCTCTATCCCCTGAAATGTCAGATCTTTATTGATCAAAAGTGTTTACGTAGGCTGAGTTTTCTCCCGGTGACATTAATACTCCCTTTGAGCAGAATTGATTATTTTTAGCGTCTGTAACCCAATAGAATTGTGCTCCTGATCAGTTCGCTATTCTTTAGTGATAACCTAATCGAATAGAGTAGATGATTAATGACAAAGTTAAAATTAATTTGTTTTATATAAGATGTTAGAAAGCTACGCATAACATTTATAGTGTAGTAGTTCTTGTGAAATTAAAGTTGACTGTGTTCAAAATGCTTTTGAGAGAGTTAAATTGGAGGAATTGTACTCCTGATCAGTTCACTATTCAGTTCACACATTATCCATAGGCACACAAATATTAATGACAAAGTTAAAATTAATTTGATAAGATGTTAGAAAGCTACGCATAACATTTATAGTTTTGTAGTTCTTGTGAAATTAAAGTCGATTTTGTTCAAAATGCCTTGAGAGAGTTGAATTGGGGGAATGGTCGGGTAGATAGATACCTTATCATTGTACATAAGAACGTTTCTTAATATCTTCCATAGTCTTAAATCTACTCTTGTACGGGTGTTTGATCTTATTAATAGGTGTAACAAATTTTTGGTTTGTGCTTGGCCAAACTAATTCCAGCTTTCAGCACAAGTGGACTGGTGAAGCAAGTGTTCTCTGTGTGTCGTGACAAAGACACTTTAGGCACCCCAACAAGGGTAGTATTAATTGATAGGTATTATCGGCCAGCATCCATAGAAAAATTTGTGCACCTCCATATGACATTAGTACTGGCACAGTATATCGTTGAATAGATGTATCACCATTCACCTTCTCACGATCCATGTATTGATTCGTGAGACGCTGAATTGGCGTATCGCGATTCTTTTTTATGTTGTTTTTTTTTTATTGCTTCAGTAAGTAACCTGTCACGTCACACATTATCCATAGGTACACGAACACTCTTAAATTGTTTTGGTCCTTATTTCTTCGACATCGGCCGGACTAAAATTATCAATATTAATTTATTCTGTTTTCTTGGTAAATATTGACCTGTTGTGAATCGTGATACGAATCATATTGTGGCACCTGAATCGCAATACGTAATGTATCGTATCGTGACTGCAGTGGCAATACTCAGCACTGCCACATGGCTACGTACCTGTTCAAAAAAGGGACATTGCAGTCACATCAACTATCGCTTTACACTTTTTGACAAATTCCAATTCATTATTTAAAGTTACAAGATAATTAAGGTACAATCTCAGTTTTTTCACACTGTTTAAAACTGGAAGATGGTTCTTTGCCAGTTACATTAAACTTACATTAAATAATGTGTTCTTAACCATGTGGTTACTTTCGATATTCGCACATATCGGACCGTAACTTCCTGTACTGATTGTATGAAACATCGCGTTTTTAGCTTGTGGACCCTGTAGAGATCACAATTTTATCTAATTTAAACAAACGTTCAAATTTATCACCGTTACACCAAAATGACAAAATGGCCACACCCCTTATGCAAATAGTGTAGAAGTATGTAATACCAAGGTTGTGGACCCACTAGAGATCATAATTTTTATCCGATTTTAATGAAACTTAAATATATGTATATATCCCAAAGATCTGGGTTCCTTTCGATACTTGCAAGTATGGCCCCTGATTGTCCGAAAAATCGCTTTTTTTGTAGCTAGTTCTCTGTCCATCTCTTACAAAATGTGGGCGTATCTTGCTGGGCTACCACTGGTTACGATAATTATCTTGTGCCAATTTCTATGATGGGCTATTCTAATATTAAAATGTGACCAGATAACTGGGTCATACGGAAAGTTTATGTAATGTGTGATAAATAACCCAGTTACTGGACTTCCGGTAATGACAGTTTGCTATTGGTTCATAAGTTGTTCTAGGCTATTGTAATAATACACTTGGATGACTTGGCCCATAAAACCATTCACATACATTTTAAGAATGATTACTTGGTTGTGGAATGTTGTCATAAATTAAAGAGTACTATAATGGGTCATGGTTACTAAAGGTACAAGGGTCAAGCTTGACATGATCTAGCTCATTTATTATCTTCTGACAAAATTATTTATGCCATGTATAAAAATAAAATAAAGCTATTGTTATTATAGTCCAGGAGTTAATGACAAAATAATATGGTCATCAGTTACAAAAGGTTTGACCCCCAACATTTTTAGTGGGTGTTCATACCAGTAAAAATCAACTGGTCAGATCGGGTACAGCTGGGGCATATAGCCACAGCAGCATCTTAAAGTATCCCTCAAAGGGGCCAAAAATTAACAAAATGGTTTCAGTAAGATCTTTCTTAATTAAGTGCACAACATGACAGAGAGCCATTCAAAATTTTAATAAATTACATGAAACAAAAATAAGGGCAGAGACTGTTAGTAATTGAGTAGATTAAAACAATAATTGTAGTTTAATGGAAACATATCAAATATGCTTGACTCTATGACAGTGTTACAGTTGCATAGCCTAATAATGATGAAATCCCTTTACTTAAAATGTCTTAGATTTATAAGATGTGGGGCTGTGATTTTTTATATTCCCTCCTTTCTATATCTCAATGAAATATAAATAAAACATAACTTTTATAAGCCCACATTGAAATATGGTCATATACTGTCGTCAGTTCATCATCCACAAGCAATAGAGGACATGAGACAAATAACAGCTAAATACATCACAGTACATGCTTTGTAAATGTCAGCATTGGGAAGAACTAGAAACCCAAACAATTCTAATGATTTGTGATAATTACTTTAATGGGTAATTACTCTTAATCGGTTTTTAGTGTCTTGTGCTTTCATTTTGGACAAAAGAAAAATATGGAACAACCCCTGTGGACTGTTTGGAGGACTTAGCTGCTCTGGGCATGTTTTGTTGTCTGGGAAAGAGTCGCTGTGTAACATTTTCCAATTAAATGAGCAAATATCTGAATTTCTGAATCTAAATGATGTCTTTGATGTTGAATTTGAATAACTCTTGTATCATATTTTCTGTGATATGTCAAATGTTCAATCCATCAAGTAGACACTCACCCGTCTTTTAATAAAATACTTGCGGGGTGGAGAATGTTGGCCAAAAGATTAACAATATCAGCTTGAATTAATTATTTACATTTGCTGGGAAATCTGCCAAATTTTAGAGATATATATATATATGAGGCGTATGTTGAGTTAAGTTTGGTTGGAAATCAATAAGTGTCTCTGGACAATTTCATTAAGTTTCCAACAGTTCTTCTAATTTGACACTGTGATATTCCAAATTGCAGCATAGAATAACATTAGCAATACATCTGCCTTCAAAGATAACATTATAAAGTAATACACTAGGGTATGGTAGACATGGTTATAATATCCATTAACTTATATCTTATACTGTATGTCTGATATCAGACTGAACCTAAGCATTAAGTTCTAATTATAACTTAATTTAAATACGGCACCATACAAAAACTATTTATGAAATATTGTACTCAGTAATATGTTATTGTACATAGCTAAATGTCCAAAATTAGATTTATGCTCAACAAAAACACAGACAATCTGGATTATCAGAGATAATGGCAAAACCGTTGACATTGACATACAATAATCATAATAAAGAGCCAAAAGTAGCCTAAATCTAAATACCAAGCTGAAAATATTACTAATCAGTTTGATATTTAAGCACTTCTTTTGAATAACAAAATAAAGCCCCACTATCTCTGATTGAAACAGGTTTTCCACTGGCAAGAAATTTCAAATGTTCCAAACTTACTGAGTGATGATATTTGATAAAAAAGAAAATGGTAAAGGTGACCACGCTGTCATATCTATTATCAATTGACAAATTTTAATCCTGTTTTCTTCACATTGACTGGATTATTTGTTGATTACCACAATTTTGTTTCTAGTATTCTGATCTGGATATAAATATTTGGTATTGCTCTTTCTTTTATGCAGGTTTTGCGAGATGCTCAGACTATGTTGATTAGAATGGAACATAGAGGTGCATGTGGATGTGATAATGATACTGGTGATGGTGCTGGTGTTCTTACAGCTATACCCCATAAGATGTATGCCAGAATGATCAAGTAGGTTTTTCTTAGACTGTCTCATCCTCACATTTAGTAGACTAAAATGTATGGGAGCATGACACCTTGTACACTAGAAACCGCTTAGTGAATCAATATCATACGGAATTAATCTCGTAGTTAGTTGATTTTTACTTAAAATATATTTTGTACTCAATTTATCTTATTATTTCATTAAGATTTCGTCTTTTAACACTAATCATGAATATTGGCGGTTTTGTTTTGTCTTCTACAAAATAATTGTTATTTTTATGAACTAAGAACAATTAGCTTGAATAGCAGTGCCATCAATATTGGCATTTTTAATGCCTACATTTTCATGTGGACGTATATTGTCGTCGCTCCTGTCTCTCTGTCCACATTTTGTTTGTGGACACTCTACAGGTCACAATTTTTATCCGATTTTGATTCAACTTTAAATGTACCCAAAGATCTTTGTGCCTTTCTATATCGGCGATATCGGAGAATAACATCCTGGATTATGGCCCCTGATTGTACGAAAGATCGCGTTTATCCAATTTTAAAAAACGTTCAGATATATCACCGTTACACCATAATGATGGTTGAGCTCGAAAATCAGACCGAAACTGCCCGACAAAATGGACGCTCCTAAATAGAAATTACAGAATATTCAATTTTGTTGATTTCAGATCTCAAGGTGTCGAGTTACCTGAAGCAGGTCTGTATGCAACTGGTATGATCTTCATGGATGCTAACGATTGTGAAAAAGCTCAGGGTATCTTTTCTGAAATTGCTAAAGAGCAAGGGACTGAGGTTTGTTTCTGTTGGCTTTTTTCCTTAAACATGTAAATGTTGAATGGTTTATTTTTTAATCTTAAGATACAAAAAATAAAACACATAAATGAACAATAAAACATTGTGGGGTTTTTTTTTCATAAAAATTTGCTTTTGGAAATTAGTGATGTGTGAACTATTAAAATGATAAAATCAGCGAATTACACATAAATAGAAACTTAAGAAAAAAGAAAGAAATATACCTCCTATTTTGTTTTTAACAGAACCTGTTTATTTAACTTTACACATGAAAATCATTTGCGAAGAAAACAACAACACTTAAAACAGATATTATTGTAGTTATAGCTAAAAATTCTGAATATGAACTGACTTGAATTTAATTTTTTTTATCCTTTGATAACTGTTGTATTTTTTGCAAGAATTTGCTAGTTTTTTTACGCCAACATTGAAATGTGGTAATATATTGTTGTCGCTTGTGGACGCTCTAGAGGATTCAGTTAATATCCAATTGACTATAAATTTATACACAGTGTTTAAGGTCATGAGCTGACAACGCCTATCGATTTCCGATAATTACTGCCAGAGTTATGGCCCTTGATCACTTTGAAAAATCTTGTTCATAACTTATGGCCAGGAAACTAATTTGATTTCAGTTTTTGAATATCGATATTTTAATAAATAAAACAGATCTAGAAACAGAAAAACCAAAAATGTAGTAAGTACTAGATCTGTGTTTACACCAAGGATTTGTAGGGCACTAAACATTAAACAACTAAAAATATGGCATCAAACCAAGAAATAAGGTGCTAAATAAGCCCGGGCCACTCATATACATTGGCAGTTAAATAAGTGATCTCACACTTTGTGTATTCTAAAGCCTTGTATTTTATGAAGTGTAAACCCATTCGGCACCAAAATAAAGTTGAGTCGATCTTTGTACAACAAAAGTTTCATTTCTGCGTCTGTGTTCTACTGCCGTCTTTACATTTGCAATCAATTGAGAAGATCACGCAACAGTCTTTAACGCCTGGCTAATTGAGCTCTGTATTACAGTGTAAACTTTCAGAGATGAATACACACATGGGGCCAAAAATGGGCATAAAAATAATATGGCACCTAGATGATTAAGTGTAAAAGCAGACATATAGTTTCGATATTGTACATTGTGTTGTTATTGGTGAACATTAGGGTGATTGATATTAACGCTAATATTGAACAGAATTTGGATAAAACTTTAAAAGTATGGTTACAATTTATTTTTCATAGAATATTAATGTGTGATCTTTTGTTGTTCCTCACTGTTCTATTAAACATACATTATGCAAAAGCTGAATCTACTTAACTGTTGCAGGTCTTTCTTTAGTCCTGAAATGATATCTAAATTATTAATTAGACATTAATTAACTTATCCAGACCATAATCAACTCTTGATGTAATCGCTAGCCTGGGATATTTACTGGATTGGAATCTGATCTGCTGCTCAACGCTCACTGATGATTAAATCAAAAAATGGATAATCAAGACTATGTTTTTTGTCGTACCGACTTTAATAATGATGATCGATTCTAGGCCTAAGATTCAATCGCTACTTTCTCGGTTCAAAGTGGATCAATTTGACTGAAATTTTCAACATATTCCCTTTACATTGTCTAGTTTTTAACTATTATAGTGAGAATTGCCAGCTCTTTATCTAATCTTATCTTTAACCTGTATGTTTTTATTATAGATTTTAGCATGGCGAGATGTTCCAGTGTATAATAATACAATTGGGTCGAACGCCAAGACATCTGAGCCAGTTATTAAACAGGTATGAACACCTACTTAAATTTTAAATGTAAATAAGAAAGATAAAAATTGAAACCATTCAGGTGCCTGTTTATGTTATTCAGACATGAAAAGATAACAACTCATTGAATATTTTATTGATTTCAATATGCCGTTAATGTCAAGATAAGAATATTCATAAAATATGGTATGGTGGCAGGAGTTGATTTGAATATGATATACACAGGAGAATAGTTATAAACTTGACTACACTATTTATCTTAGGACATTAAATTGTTTTAAATTAAAAAATGTTACGGGTAAACCCACATGTCATAAAATATTGCCTTCATGCAAATTGGTTGTGAACAATAACACACATTCCTAGTCATGTTCTAGTCATTGAAACAAGCTAATGCTATTAACATGCATTATTAAACACTGTTGCTCTTTAACTTGATCATTATTGCTGTCAAGAGATTTTCTTAGAAATAAAAAAAAGTTGAAAATCTCTTTAACACTACAGTCTATACAATTTCTATCAGCACGATCAGCTGAAATTGAACCATGTAGATATACAACACCACCAGCAGTTTTTGATTCATGCTAATATCTAAACGATTGTTCTTATTCACCTATTTAAATGCTTTCAATATGATTTCGTTTCTTGATTGCTTAGTGAAATTTGCAGTCAAATAAACATACTTTTACTTTGTAAACATAGTTTTACTTTGTAGAAAGCTTAAATGTTGCTCATTTAGTAAAAACAATTCTATCACTTTACAGTCATCTAGTCTACAAACATAAAACCATCCATGTAATCCAAATTTTTATTTTTTTTTTTCAAAATTATTATCATTGTCGATACCTTACCTACCCTTCCGTGCTTTTCATATTCATGTTAATCTTGGCATATCAGAGGAATCTAAATAATGAACTGTCTTTAGGGACATATCTATTATTTTTAAAATACCTGTATGAAATAAGAACAATTCATAACCCATTATCCAAGTTAATTATTTCTAGAATTTCCAAAAATATCCTAAGTTGTTCTTTTATTTTTGAAATATTTTTTGTAAGAAATGTAAAGATATGAATTTTATTTTTGTGTATAATAAATTGTGTAGATGATAATATATTAGAGTAGGTGATTTGTTTGTTGTTTCGATGTAGGTTAATATTAACTATTTTTTCAGTGGTTAACCTGCTTACATCTCTAGAAGCACTCACTAAATCCGGAGTGAGGCCTCGATATAGGGGATCGCGGCTCTAATCCAAGTTGATGATTGGTTTGTTAGTACCCTCTGTTAAATATTGTCCTTAATTTCAGCCTCAGTTCATATTTCAATTCATTTTATTCATGTTATATTGTCTATCATATCTGATCATTTGTCTTTAATTGTCTGTTGATGTCAAAATATTGTACATAATATGCACAAGATGCTGCAAACATACCTTTGCATTTGTCATTCATGTCCTCTCAGAACTTGTATTCAGTAGCCCCTCAGTAATTAGCAAAGATTAGAGAGAAATACAAATTATTGTCCCCTGCCTTTTGAAGAAATAGGGATACTGTTAAAATGAGTTCGTCTGTCTGTCCATCCATCACACTTATGGTACACAATAACTATGCTTCTAATTTAATTGAGCTTGGAATGTTCAAACTTAGTGTATTTGTTTTTGAATTAATGTATTGACAGAGTTTGATGATGAGCATCTTCTGCTTAGTCTGAGTAAAGATAAGCAATTTGATTGTTTGAGACTTTGGAATATAATAACTTTGATTCTAATTCAGTGAGAGTGATGAAACTTCATTGTATAATTTCACTGCACCAATACCTTAGCAATATTCCCTGATGAGTATTTTCTACTTAGTCCAAGTAGAAATAAGCAATTTGCCCATTGCAGGTCTTTCTTTAGACCTGAAATGTTATTAAAATTATTAATTAACATATCCAGACCATAATCATTTCTCGATGCCATTGTTAGCCTGCGATATTTAGTGGATTTGAATACATTTTGTGATTGATAATTTAACGTAAAAATGGATAATCGAGACCTTGTTTATTATCGTACCAACGTTAGTAATGACGATCGAGGCTAGCCTAAAATTGAATCGTTAATATCTCGATTCAGACTCGGAGTGAAACAATTTGACTGAAATTTTGAGCATATTCTGTTTTCATTATCCTTTTTTAGCTATTATAGCGAGAACTGTCAGCTCTTTATCTAATCTTGCCTTATGACCCTTTAAATAGATTGATAAACAATTTGATTGTTAGAACTTGTCTTAAATAGGATGATAAACAATTTGATTGCTAGATGCTTTATAAAAAGTTTTTAAAAAGATAAATATATATATATCTAATTATTGAGTGTCATCTGTCTATTTTGGGATTGAGGCGGGGGACCATCAGCCTCACTGTTAGCTTGTTTACTAATCCTTGAGCACATGATCCATCCAAAAAGTAAGCTTTACTTAAAATTTAAGCCATCATTAGGAATGTTTAGATAGACTTGTTCAGTAACCATGTACTCGTTCTTAGGAGATAAGAAATATGTATTTATTTCATGAAATAGAATGACATTGATAAATATTGTTGTCAAGAATAACAAGGTAGATTTGACATTTTAGCTTTACTCAAATTAAGGTTATCCATTGCCTGCCAAGTATTTTGGATAAAAATGCTTGAAATCTGTTGTCAGTGACTAGTGTTAGACATGTCTTGTAGATAAATAAAATATTCAGTAATATCCATTAGTTCATGTTACAGTAAAAAGTTCATTTGCAAATAATGTGCACTACAGGACATCCATCTTCAGTATTTGGAGTTTAAATAAAAATCTCATATTAGATCTCAAATTTTGATTTCAACCAACAAAGGTCTGTAAGTAGCAAAAGAAATTGTAACCTAGTTTTTACAACTAAAGCTATAACCCCACCCCATAAGAATATCGTATTTGTAACTGTATTGGAAGTCTTAGTTTTGTATTTATTTAAAGGGTATGGCAACTGTTGCCATTCTGAAACTTGGGCAGGCAATGGGTTAATGTTTTTAAGATTAATAAAAAGGTAATAACTGAAAGAAAAAGAGGTATGCTTTTTCTATTTAGTCAGTTGAAGCTGTTTCTTCTATTAGTAATGTTCACATTCTTAACTATCTGCTGAGAATGTTAAGTTATTTTATCTAAACTTGAGAAATTAGAATACCGGTAAATCTACATTTTGAGGTGATTAGCCAACTTTGAATTAAAGACTTTTGCTATAAGAATACAAATCTTTCAATGTGTGGAACAACATAATACTTATCTGAACTAATATAATCAGAAAATGTTTTTCTGTGTCAACATGTCATTTCTTTTACGGTAGTCAAAATCATTATTAAATAGTTTTTTGTTTGGAATTTTAAGACTGATAATACAGCTGAAAAGTCAAAAGTTAAAGCCAAAATGTCAAATTATACCAACTCCTCATATTGCTAGAGTAAACAAAGCATACATAATATACAAATTACATACACATAATGTAATTATAGGGTTTATGTTATTTATAATTTTACTTTCACTATTTTATTTTGACATTCTCTGAGAATTTTTTAATTAAGAAAGAATGTCTTTTTTATCTACAGGTGTTTGTGAAAGGCTCAGCAGACAAGGAGGAATTCAAGAGACAGGTATGTTTTGGGCTTTTTTGCTTGTATAAACTATCAACTGATTGTAAAGTAAATGCAAAGTTTGCAATACTTTTTCCAATTTTGAATTGTGTCATCCCATCATCAGTCATTGGATTTTTTAATGAAATGAAATAAAATGGGGTTTAATGTCCTGCTGTTTATGCAAACAACTGTTGCTGTGCTTATATTTTTTTGGGTATCTCTTTACTTTAAATTACGAATGAAAGTCGAATGCACAATGAATGACACATTGTCTGATTTTAATCTTCGAAAGTAGCAATATTGTTTTTAGCTTATAAAAACTAACCACGTCCAGTCTTTGTTTGTAGTTAAAACATACTATTATAATAATATTGAATCTTACAAACCTCCTCATTTCACAAATGTGATGTCTTAAATTTGTTTGCTACTAAAAAAGCTTTTGTTGCAGTAAATAACTTTATAGAGGAATAAATATACAATGGGCATTATTCAAGAATGTTGCAAGTATCAAGCTTAAAGATACATTATGCAAGAGCTAAATCTGCCTATTGCAGGTCTTTCTTTAGGCCTGAAATGTTATATAAACTATTAATTAAACATTTATTAACAAAACAAGACATAATTAACTCTCGATGGCATCGGATACTCAAGATTTTAACTAGATTAGAACGGTTTGTCATTTAAAAATTTAATTTAAAAATGAGAAAGCGAGGCTAAGACTTGAATGTACCAGTGCCCTGGGCCCTGTTTCTCGAAATCTTAACTAAAGATAAAATCCAATTTTAGTAGATATTTCAATTTTGATTGGCTAAGCACTAAAATCAATCTAATATTATCCAATCAAATTACTAAAATTTGGATTTTTACCTTAGTTAAAATTTCGTGAAACAAGCCCCTGGTTACCACTATGCACACATTTTGTCAACTACAAACAGTGATGTTGGCTCGGAATGAAGTATTTTGAATGAAATTTTCAATATTTTCATTTTACATTATCTATTCATGGGCTATTATAGCAAGAATCGTCAGCTCATTACCTAAATCTTACATAATGTATCTTTAAACTGTTAGAACTTCTAAATTAATATCAATATTCAACAATTTGTATGACATAAGGCTCATAATAGACGACAAATGTTATGGCTTGCATCTTTTTGCACTAGTTTAAAACAGATTTGAAAGATATCATATTCTATTTCTAACTTTATTGTTACAAAATGTCAGGTAGATAATAATAGCATACTGGTATAGATTGTTTATCTGGACATTAAATAGTAATATACATAATTTGCCTTAGTTGATCTGTTTGCTGTGCACTACAGTGAATAACAGTATTTGTGTTATGTTCGAAAACTAATCAATATTACGCTAATAATATAGAAGTGACTAATACATAATTTACTTCGAGTCTTCCAACACTCTCACGCTAATCTATTTTCATCTTATACCGGTAATCCAAACTTACATTTAACCTTCACATAACCTCTATCATAACCTATATTATTATAGATTTATTAAATATGCATTATGCAAGAGCTAAATCGGCCTAGCGTATAATCCAAACATATATTTAACTATCACATAACCTATATTATTATAGATTTATTAAATATGCAATATAAATGCCTTCAACTCTCTAGATCATTGGATGGCCGAGATATTGAATAGATTTTAACACTTATACCATTATTTTTATTATCTTAACAATGGTGGGGGATTGAATGGCTGAATTGTTAGCATGTGCGTGCTGTTGCATAAGGCCTGGCATTGAGTCAACTGACGGGGTTTCGATTCCCCGGTTGTACGTGACAAGGAGTAGGGTCGTCTGTCCAACCTCGTGGGTTTTCTCCGGTTTCCTCCCACTACTAAAGACCCCTACACGCAAGTGAATTATTGAAATAAGATTGAATCATGTGTTAGTCCCAAAATGACCTACTTTGTGTTGAGTGGATGTTAAACTCTCTCTCTCTCTCTCTCTCTCTCTCTCTCTCGACAGTCAAGATTATTTAGCTGTCTTGTCAAATCCTCAATCTTATCTCAGAATAAAGTAATATTATTGAAATTTTCAATATATTCATGTTTCATGATCTATCTTTGAACTATTATATCAAGAATAGCCAGCTCTTTATCTAAATCTTACATAATGCATCTTTAAAAGAAAAGAAAAGATGTTTATATTAAACTCAATTAATAGAAACTCTTTAGTGTATTAAATAAAGACATAAATTGAGGGTTGGTTTCAGGGGTTTTCACAAAAAAAGATTCCAAAAATAATCGCCAAAATGCAGAAAAGGGCACACGATTGTATTGCACTTACTTTAAGAACACTAGAATGGCAGTTACGCCAATCCTAAATATTCAGCCGTTTATATTTGTGAAAATGACAGTTTAACCCAGATTATGTCATATTGGCATTTAGCTTTAAGAGTATTAATTCACTAAAATGCTAAAGAAGTATGCAAACGGTTTCTATATGTTGTCCAATAAGTTTCAAAGTAGCTTATAATTTGAGTCACATGAATATTGTTAAATGAATTGATTCAAGTTTATTTTGTGTGTAAGATATCCAAATCTGCGAAAGTCTAAAAATTCACAAAACTACATGTTTGAACTAAATGAACTATAAATTATTGTTATTCTTTCATTATACACAGTTGATTTATTATATTAAGCTTATTTTTTTGGCATAAAAATGCAACAGTTTTATCATCAGATCAAAGATTGCATCATATCAGCTTCTCAATTTCATAACACGTATATAGGCCTAATTGAACTCGGTCAGCGTTATAGAATAGGGTATTACAGTTTCTAATTCCGTCCTGACCGATAAAGTGTTAGTTTGACTAAATTAGGTATTTCATAAAGACGTGACCCATTTGATGATCAACAGATTTATTGTCCCTGCATTAAAAAATCTTGCATTTAACGTCTCTGTTCATTGTTTTAGTAGACATGCAAAAGCTATTAAGTTTTTACCAAATTTGACAAAATTTAAATTGTTAGGGTGTATTGTGAAATATTTAGATAATTCATAAGGAATGTCATATATTTAGAAAAGACTCCCATAATGTAGATAAAATACATTTAGAATACAAATTAGATTTATGTTAATGTAAATGGTTGAACAGTGCATTTGCCATTGCATATTCCTGTCGTTTTTTTATCCTGCACTGAACAAAGTTAGAGGTGGATATTGGTATGGGCTTCGTCTGTCCTGCTTCAATTTTGTTTCCAGAGCATATCTCATAAATGGTTCAAGATATTTAGACAAGACTCCCATAATGTAAATATAATACATTTGGAATATATCCATATGGAACTTTGTACATACATTAACCTATTATAGCACATACATTGACCTATTATAGTAGGGGGGGTTGGATGGCCGAATGGTTAGCACGTGCGTGATGTATCATAAGGCCTGTCATTGAGTCAACTGGCGTGGTTTCGAATCCCCGGTTGTACGTGACAAGGAGTAGGGTCGTCTGTCCAACCTCGTGGGTTTTCTCCGGTTTCTTCCCACTGCTAAAGACCCCTACGCGCAAGCGAATTATTGAAATAAAATTGAACCGTGTGTTAGACCCAAAATGACCCGAAATTGAGTGGACAGAAAACCCATTATCTCTCTCTCTATCATAGTAGTTTTGCTAATTAGAAATTTTGAATTTGAATAACTTAGTGTTTCTTCGAAAAACTTTTATTTAGTTTTGGTATACAGTTATTTAATTATGCCAAAGCATGTTTTTATATGCCCACATTTTCATGTGGAAAGATATTGTCATCGTCTCTTTCCATTCAGACGTCCATTCACGTTTTTTATAGGTCACAATTTTTATCTGATTCGATAGTTTCATGTATCAAACTGTAACTTCATTGATTATGGCCCCTGATTGTACAAAAAATCATGTTTTTAGCTTGTGGATACTCTTGAGGTCATAATTTTTTATCTGATTTTGATGAAACTTAAAATATTTGTTTATATTTATATCCCAAAGATCTTGGTTCCTTATTGTACGAAAAATCTCCTATTTTTCATCTCTTTCAAAATGTGGGTGTAGCTTGTGTGGCAACCACTTGTTATGACTTTGCTCTCTTTTAAAAGCTCAGTGTGTATGTATGCCTATGTAATTGGAGATAATGATGCATTGTTAACTATCAAATTTCCTTAACAGGAACCTGGCAAACCCCCTCCTGCAAAAATTCCTGGATCTGACCTTGAATCAATGTCCATTTAAGTGACAAAACAGTTTTAGGTAATAGATATTCCAGCGGTGCATTGACAATTTTGGTTATTCTGACAGCACATGTAGTATACAAATGAAAACAAACAACCATTATTGACATCTCATGTTGTTTAATGGACTGATGCTTGTGACTACTACCTGGGGAATATATGATCATTGTAGAAAATGAATATAAGCTTGTAGTACATGAGTGCTGAAAAATATGAGAATCCTCTTATAAGTGATTAATTCAATAGCAAAGCCCTATTCAAAGCAGACTAGGCATTTTCCTATTAATAGCCCTGAATAACAGACAGTTATAAACCTAGATATTTGCCGGTTGATATAGGAGTCATTTAACCTTCATCTAGAAAATAGGTTGATAGATCAAAGTGATAAGTTTTATTGAAACATTGTATAATAGAATTACTCAAGCGATTACACAGTCTTTTATGGGTGATATACGTAGTTTAAATAATGGTAGACATTAGACAAGCATATTTCTCAATAACAATGATATGTGCAGGACCCTCGTACTACATGCAAATAACTGAGCTTTATTGTTCTAAGCCTGTAATGATACAAGACAAAACTTACCATAAAACAGCAAAAAAATAAAACCCAAAGAAAAAACCTTAACAATGAATTACAAGAAACGATTGCGTTTCTGGACTGAATGACGATAGTCTGCCAGCTGACGTCTTGACTTAGAACGTCACATAATTAACAATAATAAGTGTGATAATCTGAATTGAATTTCGGAAAGCACTAAACAAGTAGTGAGTAAATAGAAGCAAAACCCAACAATCATAACATACTGTGGTGTACATTCCCAGGTCTGTAATGATACAGGCTTCACTCAAAATGAAAAACTACATGTAATAAAGCTGTAAGAAAAACCCCCCAAAACAAATGAAAAAACATAACCATAAATAACAAAAAAAGAGGCAATAGAAATAATATAACTGATAGATATTCTCCCCCAAAATGTTGATGTTCGCACTTTTTGATACAAATTTATTTACGCATTCAAAACTTAAAACTTTTAACTTGGTAGAGTGGAGGTGCATCCATGTGTGACACACTGTGTCAGTTTGACTCAGTCCTGAAGTACCTAGATTGACTCGATACTTTATTCTATTACCGGTACAAAAAGGTGACATTTTAAGACATTGACATTTTTGCAAGTAAAAGAGATTAGACCTTTGATTACATTAAACAAATCTTGTGGATGCTCTAGAGGCTAAGGTTATAGACCGATATTCATGAGACAAAAAACTCGGAAAAAGACTGTTAATCAATAATTGCTGTCTTAGTTGTGCTCTTAATCACTTTGAACAATTTTCTAACCCTCCGATAGGCTAAAGTTATTATACATCTGATTCGAAAGTTATCAACTGTGTTTATGTTCATCAGATAGAAAAGCCTATTGAATTTCAAACACCAAAAGTTACCATTAGATTACATTTACCATTTTAGCGCTAGGGAGAACTAGAAACATGTTAAATTTTTATCATTTCTGATAATTACTCCTTGGATTGTTGCCCTTGATCATTTGTTATTGTCTTGTAAGTGCTTCCAGTTCTATTATCTACAAAAGAAGTAAAATGAGGGGGCAACCTTCGTGGACGGCTCTGACAATTGAGCTGCTGTGGTTGTATGTTTCTTTACCTGGCAACCATTGATCTAACTAAATGTGGTGGGGTTTTTTTTTTTCAATTTCAGGTTTATATTTTAAGAAAGTATTCATGTCACCATGTACCAAAGCAAACGTCAAGATTTTATGTGTGTAGTTTAAGTACAGAAACGATTGTTTACAAGGTAAATCACTTTGTTTACTAGTTGGTAATCATAGAAAGATATATAGTTATGTTGGTCATATTTTCTTGTTTCATAGGCCATAACCTATTATGAGTGTTTAAAAAAATATAGTAGATTATTTCTGTATGACAAAGTAGGAGATAGCTATCTAATTACATATAGTGACAAAACAATATAACAAATAAACTTGGTCAAGGTTACTAAATGTTAAATTAACAAAAAACCTTGTTCTAGTCAACATTATTGTACATGATTTGTTCATATGCTCAATATCGCTTCCAGATAAGACTAATGGTCGGGTTAGCTTTGATGTCAAACTATTTCTTTGAACTATTTTGCGTTGATAATTAAGAAAAAAAAGTGTTTCATAGTTAAAGGGCAGGATATGTGTGGAAAAGCAAAATGTTGAACTACCTAGAACAGATTTAAATAAGGATGGGGTGGGTTGAAAGCAAGGGGTCTGTCACCACTTCCCATAACAAATGTATAGTGCCCTTACTAACAAGTACAAGTGTACTACGGATTAGGAATCAAGCATGACGTTATTGTCAACATCTTGGAATTGTGACATATCAAAATTTGAAGTCTATCGATTAATGCACAATTGTCCAAGTATAACGAAATGACCCTTTTCCTGTGAGGTTTTAGTTGTCTAGATGGTATAGATGAACTAAATGTACAATTCAAACTTGGCGCTATCATCCTCCCTTTGATATTATAAGGGTTAATTTCTGAAGTGAGAAGGATATATCAATATTCATTTAAACATTATCTGAAATAAACAGAAAACTGAAAGTAGTACATAAATAGTCTTATTAAAATTAAAGAATCCACGCTCACCAGAATACACAACAGACTTGTAGAAGTAGAAGATTGTTTAATGGGTCGACGTTTTGGGTGCAATACCCTTTATTAAGATTAAATTATGATGATACATGTAATCTTATACTTCAATTAAATTTAACGATCCTTACTTTGTTTTTTTAACAATCTTTATACTGTACATAAATAAATTTAAAAATCCTGTGACGTCATCACCATTATTGTATATAAGGCGTCGAAGGATCATCATAATTTAATCTTGATAAAGGGTATTGCACTCGAAACGTTGACCCATTAAACAATCTTCTACTTCTACAAGTCTGTTGTCTATTCTGTTGAGCGGGGATTCTCTAATTTTATTTTACTACTCCGCCCCGCCGGTATCATCTTTTGATCCAGTCTCCACGCAGACGTATCAGCCTGTCCAGCTTTAATTACTCTCTAAGGGAGTGTTGCCGTACCCTTTTCCTGTTTCCAAATAGTCTTATTCCTCACACTTTTTGGAAGAAAATAACTCTGCTAATCTAATTAATGTAATGTACGTAGAACTAGAATGTTCAAACCTGGAGTAGACGTTGACTAAGTTCATGTTTTGACTGTGTGTGAAATAGCTTTATTTAACGTCCGCTTCCACCGAAGTTGGCCTGCTTATTTTATATATAAGCTGACATTAGAAAGTTTGAGTGATAAATAATGATATACATAGAGTAATACTGTCATATTGACAAATGACACAGTCGACTGTAATTTGTATATTACGGATAATGTTTATTTGCTGTATTCACCACACCGGTAATAGCTGCCCAGACACACAATAAGCTGGGTGGGTTCTTGGAACAGTAATAATCCCACTCTTTTATATTGTAATGTAATAATGTAGAAGGAATAATAATAAATTTTTACTATACAAGTAGTCATTTACATGCTATATAAGTATAACAATGATAAATGTCAGCTGAATTTAAATGTAGAAATAGTATCAAGATGAATGAATTCATAAAAGAGAAATTTATTCATATTAAAAATGAGTCATACTTTAAAGTGAAGGTTCAATTTACAAAAATTGAAGCATAGTTGATAATAGCAAGTTTAGTACATGCTGGGTGAGACCATGGGAGTCATGTGATTCCATAGATAGTACCAACTGCTATGTCATAATAAATCTGTAGAATATGTGGCCTATAAATCATTATTAAAAGAACGCAATATGGATATGTCATTTATACATGCTATACACATGTCTATTTAGTTGACCTTGGTGAGAGAGTTTTTTTTATAAGACTGATTCAATAAATAAGGTCACTTCAATGTTATTCTTTAATGTAAGATATTGCTTATTGTCTAATTTATAGTATAACTCACTGTAACACAGACACACACATACTTAAGGGGGGAAAGGGGTTGACATTTTATTGAATGTTATAAAAATATGTTCCATGGGAAACAGGGAACCAAATAGATGTATAGTTGATGCAAATCCCATCCCCAAATAACAGAATTAAATCAAGTACTGTAAAGATGATTGTCACTTTGAGTTTAAATAATTATCTTTTATATATTGATTGAATTATTAGCAATTTCAATAGGAGGGATATTGAAATAGACTCAATCTGTCATCCTCTTCAGCCGTCTCTGTCCAATTTTGTACTGGGCATATGCCTTCATAAAACTCTGTAAACACATCAACCTAGTGATTGCAGTTTTACTAATTAGAAATTTCTTGGATTTGATCATTTTTGTGATTCCACTGATAAAAATTTGACATAGATTTTGGTATACAATTTTTTTTTTCTGGAACATATCTCATGGACAGTTCAAGATATCTTTATAAAATTTTGTTTTCAAACTTGCATTATTCCTACATCTGCAATTGAGCATATAACTGTTTAGTCTTTTAATAATTTGTAATACATTTGCTAGTGTACTACAAATTAGTATTCTATAAGTTAACTCTAATTATGTTTACAATAATCAAGTAGCATAATTGGAATGCTTGTTATTATTTGCAATAAATCTTAAATAATGTACACAACTAGTATTTGTTTGTTAATTACCAATAACACTGAGATTGTCTATAATATCTTCCAAAACATGTTCAAGCTCAGGATATTTATGACCGTTTCTTCTTGTCACTTTTATTATTTGTTAACTTAGGCAAATCAGCCAGAACATTACTTAAACACTGTGTAAATGAAACATTTAACAGTTTGAGATAGAAATGTTAAAAAAACACCCCAGCTATGATTAACTTTGTTATTTTATCTTCAGGGTTTATTGACAACCAGTCAGTTATGGCAGTATTTCCCAGATCTTCAAGATCCAGACTTCGAAACACATCTAGCCCTCATTCACAGTCGGTTCTCTACTAACACCTTTCCCTCCTGGGAAAGAGCTCACCCCCAAAGGTACATGTATGATGTATGCTTGTGTTATTTAAGAATATTGAATTACTGATCAACTTTTGCTAGCTTGAGCTAGTCTGGGTCAGAACGTTCTCGCCTTCTGTGCTCTGATTATTGGAAAACTCTATTATGGATTCATGTAGGGCATTGTTACATTAAAAGCAAGATTGAAATTTGAAATGCTATAGAAGTAAGATTGTCTGTTTCCTCCAAAAATAGATTGAAAGTAAATTGAAATTTTGCTGATAATATATAATCAGGAAACAAAATCTTCAGCCAAATTAACTTAAAGGAAGAGATGATTTTCAGTATGGACAACACGTATTATATTCTTAGGTTTGGTTTGGGAAGGGGTGGGGGGACATCATGGTCTGTGAAGTTAAACAGACATTATGTAAGAGCTAAATCTGCCTATGAAAGGTCTTTCTTTGGGCCTTAAATGTTATATTAATTATTAATTAAACATTTATTAACATGATTTTAAGCAGATTAAAACGGTTCAGCCATTTAATGATTTTATTTAAAAATGAAGAGATGAGACTGAGACTCGAATCACCAGTAGGCAGTACGGTGGTTGATCAGTGGCCACATCTTGTCAAAACTACAACCATTGCTAACTTTGCTCAAAATAAACTAATTTGAATGAAAATTTTCAATATATTCATTTTGCATTATCTATTTTTGAAATATAATAGCGAGAAAGGTCAGCTCTTTATCTAAATTGGTTATACGTGACAAGGAGTAGGGTCGCCTGTCCAACCTCATGGGTTTTCTCCGGGTCCTCCGGTTTCCTCCCACTGCTAAAGACCCCTACGCGCAAGCGAATTATGGAAATAAAATTGAACCATATGTTAGTCCCGAAATGACTAGTTTGTGTCGAGTGGACATTAAACCCCATTCCCCTCTCTCTCTCTTTATCTAAATCTTAGATAAAGCCCCTTTAACATTGTCTGACAGTCACCTTATCAACTGAAAATGCTTCCCTTTGTGCAGTCACTGTTAAAGAGATATACACCTTGGAAATGATGTTCATTTAGCTAACACATTACACAATTAGACAATTATATAGATAATTAGACAAGGCTTCAACAATAGATTGAAACACTGATATTTTCATATATCAAAAAACAGTTTTTAGGTATCACATTTTCAATATACAATGGCAGAAAATTGATTTTCCAAGAAACATTTTTACAAACAAATCTTTTTTTTTTTTAACTTTTTCACCAGTTTTTCCTTAATTTGTGACACAATTGTTTTAAGTTCTCTGATACTATACATTCTTTTTTTAAAACATGAGTTCTCCAGGATTATTAACCTGTGTTCATGGAATTTATATTGTAAATGAAACAATACGTGTTGAATATATTTCAAAATACAATATTTATTTATTGTAGAACATTGTGATACAGGCTTGATCAAATTGTTGCAGCCTTAATACTATATGTAGCTGTAATTAATACATTAAATGGAAGTATTTCATTCCAAAGGTCTCCACTGATTTCAGGTGGACTGAACTTGTTAATAGGATGTTCATTACTTTTGTTTTTCTATTAATTTCAGGTATCTAGCCCATAATGGTGAAATTAATACTCTTCGTGGGAACTGTAACGTGATGAAAGCTAGAGAAGGTGTTATGAAGAGTGAAATATTTGCTGATAAACTAAGTACATTGTACCCGGTGGTAGAGGAAGGCATGTCTGACTCTGGTTGTGTAGATAATGTTCTGGAGTTTCTGTGTATGGCTGGAGGCAGAACCTTGCCAGAGGTAGGTTATCAATGGCATATTGGTATTCAAAGTTTGTCTTTTACCGCAGTGTATTAAGTGTCTGAGGCTGTAGGCATGGCTGCAGATTTGCCTCCCAAACAAATTTTCTGCATTATATTATGATAAAATTATTGTTTATGTAATAAAGTACTGATTTATGTGCTGATTATTATATTATAAATATTATTTTAGGCTGTGATGACCATGGTACCAGAGGCCTGGCAGAATGATAAATACATGCCCAAAGAAAAGGAAGCCTTCTATAGATGGAGTGCATTTGGTATGGAACCCTGGGATGGGCCTGGTATGTATAGATTAGATTTCCTCAATTGAATGAAATTTGTGATATTTTAAATATTGAAAACTGATGTTAAGTAAAGCTAATTGTGATACGTGACTTCAAGTTATACTGTTTTATCATTGTCAATAATTATTCTTTTGTTCTATTTTATTACAGCTCTATTGACTTTCACTGATGGTCGATATATTGGTGCTATTCTAGACAGAAATGGTTTACGACCGTCTAGATTCTATGTTACTAAAGATAACTTTATGTACATGTCTAGTGAAGTTGGTGTGACTACAAGACTACCCAGTGAAGTTGTACAGAAGGTGAACTTTTTATTCCCATAATCTAGTCTCTACATTTATCATTTTCTGAGTGTGAACAGAAAGAGATTGTCATTTCATTTTAAAGCAAAAAAACAGTAAGTGCATATCTTTTTTATTGTGTCGATAATAGTTTTTTTGTTTTAATTTTAGGGTAGACTAAAACCAGGAAGAATGTTATTGGTAGATACTCAGGAGAAAGTCTTTAAAAAAGATGAAGATTTGAAGAAAGAGATAGCCAATTTAAGACCTGTTGGCAAATGGCTTTCAGAAGTATGTATTGTAGTTTTTAAATTATTAACTTTGATTGCATTTGCCAATGTAAAAGTCCAATATAAAAGCTACCGATACCGTTATTAAACCAAAGAAATTACAAGTTTGATAAACATGTACATTTATCCTATTACATAGGGAGGGTTGTGTGGCTGAATTGTTAACCCATGCGCGTTGCATCAGTAGGTCTGTCATTGAGTCAAGTGGCATGGTTTTGATTCCCTTCTTGTACGTGACAAGGAATAGGGTCCTCTAGTTTCCTCCCACTGCTGAAGACCCCTACACGCAAGCGAACTAATCAAATAAAATTGAACCATCTGTTAGTCCCGAAATGACCTAGTTTGTACAGAGTGGACGTTAAACCCGTATTTTCTCTCTCTATCCTATTACTTAGAATTTGTATTTTTCAGACTATATCCATGGCTGAATTACGAGGTGCTCATGATCCCAAACATACATTAAAACATACTATAATGTATCAAGATCTCGGTCATGGTGAATGTGTTGAGGAAGACCCTCGTCTGCCTATGTTTGGTTATACTATTGAAGCATTAAATTTATTGGTTTTACCTATGATCAGAGACAAGTAAGATTTGCCAATATTCTGCAACTAAATTAGTTTGAATATAATCTCAGTTAACGAAAAAGTGAATTAGTTTGAATATAATCTCAGTTAAAGATACATTATGTAAGATTTAGAAAAAGATCTAGCCATTCTTGCTATAATAGTTCGAAAATAGATAATGTAAAATGGAAATTTATTCAAATTACTCTATTGTGAGCGAAGATATTAGCCTTTGAAGGTTTGACAAGACGTGTGCAATAATTTCAACCACCTTTAAATCAATGGCTGAACTGTTCTATTCTGTTTAATATCGGAGAAATCTGATGCCATCGAGAGTTGATTATGGCCTGGATAAGTTAATTAATGTCTAATTAATAATTTAGTAAAACAATTTCATGCAAATTTAGCTCTTGCATAATGTATGTTTAATGAAAAAGTGAAGTTTTGTAGTACACTTAGTAATAGATTATCTATTATGGATTGGTTGAAAGTAAAGAGGTGAATATCAGTCAGAAATTGTTGTCTAATTAAACAATGAACAAAATATAAGCCAATGGTTTGACACTTTCTAGATAAAGTCTATGGTTGTTTTGATTGTCTTTAACAATACAAATATTTTAATAGTTTGTCTAAATGTGTATTAATATTTAACTGGCTGTGTATTCAATAATGATAAGTGTCATGTTGCTGTGTATACCATTGTAATAGGTATTGTCTGAGTGTGTATTCAAGAATGATAGGTGTTGTCGGGGTGTGTATTCAATAATGATAGGTCTTATTGGGCTGTGTATCCAATAATGATAGGTGTTATTTGGCTGTGTATTCAATAATGATAGATTATGATAGGTGTCGTTTGGCTGTGTATTCAATAATGATAGGTGTTGTCGGGGTGTGTATTGAATAATGATAGGTGTTATTTGGCTGTGTATCCAGTAATGATAGATAATAATAGGTGTTATTTGGCTGTGTATCCAATAATGATAGGTGTTATTTGGCTGTGTATTCAATAATGATAGGTGTTATTTGGCTGTTTATTCAATAATGATAGATTATGATAGGTGTCGTTTGGCTGTGTATTCAATAATGATAGGTGTTATTTGGTTGTGTATCCAATAATGATAGGTGTATTCAATAATGATAGATTATGATAGGTGTCGTTTGGCCGTGTATTCAATAATGATAGGTGATATATGGCTATGTATACAATCATAATAGGTGTTGTCAGGCCATGTATTCAATAACACTAGGTGTTATCTGGCTGTGTATTAAGTAATATGCAGTGTTATCTGAATGTGTACAGCCAATATGAGTATTATATGTGATGTTGTTCATTCTAAATAAGATTATAATCTGTAATAACATCACCTAAATCACCCTTCTAATTGTATACAATTATAAACTGATGTTAAATATTGAATAATTATAGATTATAAATTATTTTTCAGGAAAGAAGCTTTAGGTTCTATGGGCAATGACACACCATTAGCCTGTCTATCTCAGTTTAATCCACTTGTATTTGAATATTTTAAACAACTGTTTGCTCAAGTTACCAATCCACCAATTGATCCATTTAGAGAAAAGATTGTCATGTCCTTGGTATGTATATATTCCGTTAGTTATACTCTTCTAGCCTTAAAAAAAATCTTAGAATCTGGCTTCATTAAAGACACTATATTCTTAGATATATTTCTTTGACAGTTACGATTCAAAATACGCAACCATTGACAATCTACCAATATTAATGAAGCTGCCACTTGCAAGCCAATGAATAGATGGGTGAAATCAGTTAATTTCTGTTTATCAATATTTTAACATGATACATTTGTCATATAATGTTACAACATTTAGTGCATACAGTAATTCGAGTGCTGTGTTAAAGATATTTTGTATGATATAATTTGATGGTTTTATTTACAGGCATGTCCTGTTGGACCAGAACATAATATATTAGAACCAAGTGCTGAACAATGTCAGAGATTATGGTTAGAACAACCTATTTTATCATTATGGGATATAGAGGTGTTAAAATATACAACACATAAAGGCTGGAAGGTATGTGATTATTGAATTGTCTGCGATATTACTTCTGTGGAAGGCGGTGTTAAATAAAGCTATTTCACACACATGATCATTGAAAGCTAATTGAAAGTTGCAGAAATATTTTTATTGGCTTAGATTTTTAAACAGGAGAATAACACATTCCAAGGCAGAATCTTTTTTTTAAGAATTGATTTTTATATGCTAAAATAATTTTTTCATTTGTGTTTTAGACTAAAGTACTAGATATGATCTATCCAATGGAACATGGTGCTGAAGGTTTGTTACCTGCATTACAACGACTATGTAAAGAGGCAGCCGCTGCAGCAGAAGATCATCAATTGATTATAATGTCTGATAGAAAGGCTGGACCTGAATATCTACCTATCAGGTATTCTCACTTAACTCATACCAACATATAATCATAGTGCAGATCTTAAACCACATCCACTCCAGTAGAATATCTAGAAGCTGTGAATAGGGGGAGTCCAAATCTAGGGTACCATCCACAATCCCTCCCAAAAGCCCCTTTGCCCCCCTTAAATCTGTGCATGGTTCACACATTTGTGATATAAATTAGTGTCCCTGCTCAGTGAATTCTGAAAGTACCATGTGGTAAAAGTATCAAATAGTACAGATGTTGATTTTGAAATTTTCAGTATAAATCCTGATGAAGTCTTTGACATGTCTTGACGTTATTTAAGACTGAAAAGATGCTACTCGCATGACACACTATTTTCAGTATAAATCCTGATGAAGTCTTTGACATGTCTTGACGTTATTTAAGACTGAAAAGATGCTACTCGCATGACACACTATAACTTTATATTTACAGTTCTCTGTTAGCAGTTGGAGCCGTACATCATCATTTGATCAATGAGAAGTTAAGAATGAAAGCTGGTCTTATTGTAGAAACTGGTGAAGCTAGGTAAGATATATTGATGTCAGATTTCATAAATATAACATGCATGTTTTGAATTACAATATTTTATTGTTTTATGATTGAATTGTAGTCAATTATAACTTTTATAGCTGTACGTGTTGAGAACACAGCTAGAGTTGTTTTCCATTCCTACGTCATGTTCTTGTGTTGTTTTTATTTTATAGAGAAGTTCACCATTTCTGCACCCTACTTGGTTATGGTGCTGATGCCATTTGCCCATATTTGGTATTTGAGACCATCAGACGCCTGAGAGAACAAAATCTATTAGATCCACCATTGGCTGATGAAGAAATTTACATGAACTATAGAGCTGCTTGTGCTAGAGGTATCTCTAAAGTTATGGCTAAAATGGGAATCTCTACATTACACAGTTACAAGGTATTACGATTCTTGAGATGATTACTGATTGTTTTTAGTAGATACAAACAAACAAAAACACATGACTATACAGTTTTGTTTACCCTTTATAATTATCTTTTAACAGTTTAACTGTTATGTATATCAAACAATCGGCTTATAACTCAACAGAATCCTTCTGTAAATGTTCATGTTTAAGAACTCCCATTATTCAACAAAACACAGCCCTATATACCAGTATAGACAATTTGTTTGGTCCCTAAGTTCACTTGATCTGAACACTGTCTTGTCTGCAAAGAAATTATGTCATAGATGACACATGTACAAAGGATCTAGGTTTTTCTTACTATCCCAACGACTAGGTTATGTTCATAATTAACGAGAAAGTGAAGGGAGGAAACTCTGGTGATACTTAAGTTAGATTTTACTTGAATGTTTAATCATAATCTAAATATTACAATCTTGATTTTAAACATTTAAACAGTAAGAACCATATCTTTACTTTAATCAAAGGAGATTATTTTATTTCTTGATTCATAATTGTTATTTTTTCTAGTAATACCTTATCCTTTAATATTACAAATCCATTTTATTTTAGGGAGCTCAAATCTTTGAAGCATTAGGATTAAATACAGAGGTTATAGATTTGTGTTTTGAAGGAACGGCATCTCGTATTGGTGGTGTATCATTTAACATCTTATCAGGAGAGGTATATATTCAGTTACAGTATTTTAAATCACTAGAAACCAGATAATACCATGAGGTAGCTCATTAATATACTTAAATTGTCTTTTCTGAATTTGTTTCAATTAATTTCAAAAACCCTCAAATCATTTAAATAAAGGATTGAATATTCTTGAACAGATTATTTTACATTGTAAAGACTTGAAATGTTTTTTGTTATTGTTATAATATGTATTCTCTTGTTAACAGACAATAAAACGTCATGAGGTAGCCTATGGACGTAGAAATTGTGATAATATACTGGTTATGAATCCTGGATTTTATCATTGGAGAGATGGAGGAGAAAAACATATCAATGATCCTATGTCTATAGCTAATCTACAGGTAATAATAAAATAATAGCAAGTTATTTTTCTGAGTTCATATAATATAGATTTAATTGTAAAACATTTTACTTTGAAATTCTGATCTATAAATTTGATGTTGCATTTGTTGAAATAAAAATAAAATGTGTTAAAGATCTTCATATTAATTTTTATATATTTTTTTTCTAGGAAGCTGCCAAGAATAACAGTAAAGATGCATATGCTAGATTTAGCCAGACAGCATGGGAAAGTACAAAGAAATGTTCTTTACGTGGTCAATTAGATTTTAATAACTCTGATAAACCTCTTGATATCTCAGAAGTGGAAGAAGCTAAATACATAGTTAGAAGATTCTGTACAGGTGAGTACACGGAGCCATTGTGGCTCAGTGAGTAAGACATTGGGTCACTAACTTGGAGGTCCTGTGTTCGATCACTGCATTGGCCGAGAATGTTCATCTGGATATTCTGTCATGGGTCCTCCTTGTCCAGCAAATTTTCTGTCTTTATTAGCCCAGTTGGAGCAGAACAGTAGGACGTTAAACCCCATTTCATTTCATTTCATTTCTATGTCAACTTTCACGCATACACACAGATATAAAAATCTAAAGCACATCTCCAGTAAGAGGCACTTTATACATTTATGGGCGGTTAGTTGACTGAGGGGTGTAGATGTGTCATTTTTTAACTTCAAAAGCAGACTTTATTATGTTAATTTGACATTTTCAAGTTTAAGTCATTTCAATTTCTGAATTTAGAAGTTAGTGTTTGTACACTTGTACTGTCATGATTAACACTGTGTTTAATATTTTTATTTAATTTTAGGTGCTATGAGTTTTGGTAGTATATCTCTAGAAGCACATTCAACTCTAGCTATAGCCATGAATAGAATTGGTGGTAAATCTAATACTGGTGAAGGTGGTGAGAATCCAGAACGTTATCTCAACGAAGATTCAGAATTTAACGCTCGTTCTAAAATAAAACAGGTAATATTGTCTTGATGAGTTGATACTGATCACACCAAAATTTAAGAGGAGGTACCAAATGATTTGTACCTGGGAAGTGGGGATCAAAATCGTATTTATTTAGAAACTGAAAAACACTTCGTTCATGTGATGAAAATGGTGTCATTTACACTGAGAAAAAGTCTATAAAAATCATACCTGAATCCTATGACTCTGTGTGTTCACTGTGTTGCTATGAAATCTTTGAAGATGAATGAATTTATATACCTGATGTTATATTTTGTAGGTCGCATCAGGTAGATTTGGTGTAACAAGTTCGTATTTAACACATGCTGATGAACTACAGATTAAAATGGCGCAAGGTGCTAAACCTGGTGAAGGTGGTGAATTACCTGGTTATAAGGTAAGACTGTTTTAACAAAAAAAATTGATCACACTTGATTAATAGAAAAGATGGAAATGGTAAAAGCCTGAAATGGCACATGATAGTAAAGGTTATAGTTGACAAATCTCCTCCCAAAATTTGTTTTTATTTAAAGAACTACTTTTACAGACACAGTGGTTTTAACTAATGGAATAATTTATATAACAAATAAACCAAATAATGGTGTCTTGCCTATAATAGGTACACATATCTATGGTAAAATAACAGACATAATGTTTATAGTTTTGCTCATTGGTTTTTAATTTTAATTGATTTATTTTATTAAAGGTAACAAAAGATATAGCTAAAACCCGTCATTCTATACCTGGTGTAGGTTTAATCAGTCCACCACCACATCATGATATTTACTCTATTGAAGATTTAGCTGAGGTAAGAGTTTAAACATAATATTCTAAATAGACGCCAACTGAGATTTAGACTTATCTACGATTATTTTATAACTAATCTACAGTATGTTAAATAGACGCAAACTGAGGTTTGGACTTATCTACGATTACATATTTGACTAATCTACAGTATGTTAAATAGACGCAAACTGAGTTTTAGACTTATCTATGATTATTTTATAACTAATCTACAGTATGTTAAATAGACGCAAACTGAGGTTTGGACTTATCTACGATTACATATTTGACTAATCTACAGTATGTTAAATAGACGCAAACTGAGGTTTGGACTTATCTACGATTACATATTTGACTAATCTACAGTATGTTAAATAGACGCAAACTGAGATTTAGACTTATCTACGATTATTTTATAACTAATCTACAGTATGTTAAATAGACGCAAACTGAGGTTTGGACTTATCTACGATTACATATTTGACTAATCTACAGTATGTTAAATAGACGCAAACTGAGATTTAGACTTATCTACGATTATGTTATGTCTAATCTACAGTATGTTAAATAGACGCAAACTGAGGTTAGAATTATCTACGATTATTTTATGTCTAATCTACAGTATGTTAAAAAGCTTATTTTTGTATATTTGTAGTTGATATATGATTTGAAGGCTGCTAATCCTGAAGCTAGAATCAGTGTTAAGTTGGTGTCTGAGATGGGTGTAGGAATAGTTGCATCTGGTGTAGCTAAGGTATAGTATAGTTTACATCTTCTTCAGTTCAAACAGTGTGTGTGTGTTGGGGGGGGGGGGGGGTTACCTGTTTCATAAAGTGTACATAAAGTTACTCCTGCGAATGATGATGATTGAGTAAAAACGACAGGACAATATTGCAATCAATCCCTAGAATTATCATCAAACATATCTCAAAACAATAACTAATTATTTGATAATGCTAATGAACAACTTTGATAACATAACTATTGATTAATTATCTGATATTTATAAACTAGTGTATATACTTATAACAAGTTGTCTAGTATAGAATGGTTACATTAATTTCAATATAGAAACAGGTGGACCATCTCCTTCAATTTTGTCTTTTAGAGTATTCAATCAAAAAATTTAAAGATGGTTTTAAAACTTAAATTATTTTAATAATATGAAAATATTTATTTAAAGGGTAAAGCTGAACATATTACTATATCTGGACATGATGGTGGTACTGGTGCTAGTAGTTGGACTGGTATTAAAAATGCTGGTTTACCCTGGGAACTGGGTATATCTGAAACTCATCAGACTTTGGTATTAAATAATCTTCGTTCTAGAGTTGTACTACAAGCTGATGGACAAATTAGATCTGGTGAGTAACTTTATCTAAAGGTAAATTGGATTGTAGTGACCACACATCTAGATTCTCTATTGCAATTATAGTCAAAAATAAACATTTCTAAAACCTCAAATTGTAAATCACCAGTGTCCTATTTCCAAAGATAAATAATTTAAATGTGGATTCACTGTTGTTAATTGGATGCACCATTTTAGTGCTATAGGAATCCCTTGCAAACTACAATATTGTGAAGAACGGATCTCTAATAGGAATATCAGTCCAAAAATGGTTCAATTCCATTCAGTATTTACAAAGATATGTGAATTGAAATTTCATTGATCTATGCTGCTCGCTATGTAATAAGCTCGCTGCCATTATGTTATACAGAAAACTTTATTGGTAGGTAGGCCTATTTTAAATCTGATTGAATCCAAGCCGGGACATAATCTATCATTAGTATTTTGATTTTGTTTTCTTAATTAGCTATTAAATATTCAGTTTAAGTACATAATAGCGTGAATAAATTTGATATTTTAGCGAAAAATGCAAATAGCGCATCGTTACTTTGTGTCAAATGCCATGTGTAAAATGCCATGGGTATATTTCAGATCGGCATAATTAAATATGAACATAACACTTATTACAGAAATTGTCTATTTTTATAGGTAGAGATATTGTAATGGCAGCATTATTAGGAGCAGATGAGTTTGGTTTTAGTACAGCACCATTGATAACTATTGGTTGTACTATGATGAGAAAATGTCATCTAAATACATGTCCAGTTGGTGTAGCCACACAGGTTAGTTTATCTTATAACTGTCTGTTGGTGTACGCGACATTTTATTTTTAGATAATTATATACCTTTTGCCTGTAGTTTTGGATGAAAACTGTTCAAAAATAAAACGAAAAGTGAAAAATAATTGTTTAAAAATCAACTTAAGGATGAAAATTGTTGTGAAATTAAAGTTTTAAAGATAACTGTTATTCTGTTATTTATTTTTTAACAGGATCCTGTTTTAAGAAAGAAGTTTGCTGGTAAACCAGAATATGTTGTTAATTATCTTTTCCTTCTAGCAGAAGAGGTAAGTACCACTGAATTAAGATATGTAGTAAATAATTTGAATTATCATCTTAAGATATCCATACCCTTGTGTTTGGAATATTGCGTTTATAAAAAGTAGATATATCGCATGTGATAATGACACTGTTGGGAGCAAGGATCTTAACCGGCAGCTTTTTGTTAGCTTTAGCAGCTTGAAGTTCAATCAAGCCGATTGGTAAAACAATGAACCTACCACTATGGTATCATAAATCAATCTACTTTCGGTTAATTATTACTTGTTAATTTAGTAGTCAATCAACTTGCTTGTCGGCTACCTTAAAATTTTAAAACCCAGTTCCTACCGGGATCTCATTTTACCCAATTCTGGCCGGTTCGTTTCAAAATGGATCAAGAACTCAACTTGGGAGTCATATTGACCTCCTAATTATGTTGAAACCTGGGAAGTATGTGTATAACGATGACTGTTTGTTTACATCATAGGTAAGAGAAGTTTTAGCCAAGATGGGATTTAGAAGTCTGCAGGAAGCAATAGGACGTACAGATAAATTAAAATTCGATCCTGATTCACAAAACCCAAAAGCTAAACTGCTGGACCTCTCCAAAATCTTAACCAATGCCCTTGACATTCGACCTAAAGTCAATATAGTTGGTGGAAGTGTAAAACAGATCTTTGATACAGAGAAGAGATTGGACAATGCTGTTATTGCCAAGTCTGTTGAGGTCTTGGAAGGTAGACAGAAGCAGGTTGTCATGGATTTGAAAATAACTAATGAGGACAGAGCTTTTGCTTCAACACTGAGTTGGCAGGTCTCAAGGTACTTCTTCTTATTTTCCTACCAGCGACCCCAGAGCAGATTATAGGTTTTCTCTCTGTCGGTTTTGTTTCCCCACAATTTTTATAATATATTTAATTAAAATTTTGTACACTGCTGATTATAGCAAAGCTACAGATCAATTTCGTATTTCCTGAGATTTCATTGATTTTTTTACTGAATTCTGTCCCTGTATTGACTTAAAATCAATAAAAATTCTGTTTTTCGACAAAGTTTAATTTAAACTTTGAAGTTAAGCCTTAAATTTTGGAGATAATTAAGAGTTCAAAAGGCCTCAAAGCTCATTAATTTGTATTAGAACACTATGTTTTGTGTTTTTTTTATTAGGAGATTTGTTGAAGTTGGTTTACCAGAGAAAAGTATTATTATTAATCTAACGGGTTCTGGTGGTCAAAGTTTCTGTGCATTTATGGCTAGAGGTATCCATGTAACTCTAGAAGGAGATGCCAATGATTATGTTGGCAAGGTATGTTTATAATAATATATTTAATACTTAGTATCTGTGTGCCATTTGTTTCTTTTGGAAAAGATAACATTTTCCACAGTTTAATCCAAGCTAAAATGTTCTCAAATTCAGAATTTAGCATTTAATTAAAAAAGCAAATTAAAAATATTTAAGGCTTGGATTCTATCAGATAAAAAAGAGGCCCATAAAATGGCTTTAATGAAAATTGTCCACAGGTTTTTATTTTATCATATCTTTGTAAATACTGAATGGAATTGAACCATTTTTAGAATGATATGCCTTTTATTGACCCAACTTTGCAACAGAGTTTCTACACAATTACATTCAATTATTAAGTGAATGTTATTATTCATATTATTAAACCACCTGTTGATTTTTTAGGGTTTGTCAGGAGGAGAAATTATTATTTTCCCACCTAAAGATATGCCAGTTGATTTTAAATCCCAGAATAATATTATTGTTGGTAATGTTTGTCTGTATGGAGCAACTTCTGGTAAAGCTTTCTTCCGTGGTCAAACAGCTGAACGATTCTCAGTTAGAAACTCAGGAGCTACTGCTGTGTGTGAGGTATGTCATAATTGTATGTCTTGAATACAACTCAAATACATGTGCTTATAAAGATGTGGAGTCATATACTCTGACTTGAGCTAGAAGCCTGGTTCCAACTTGTTCGACATAATGCCATTTTGGCTGATGTCGAAAATATGTCTGGTTGTTCCAGATTGGTTAAAATTGGTAATGGGAGTTAATTATCTGCTTTGCAGATGGACTTCAAATAAGAGCAAGTGGAAATGTTAATATCCTTACCATTGCACATGTATCCATAGTAAACATGATGTTAGTTTTTAAATGACCTACTCTGACCTGACAAAATTCAATTACATATGGAATAGCCTATTTGCTATGAAAAACAATTAACTGAGTTTATATATTATATTGTTATGTTATAGGGTTGTGGTGATCATGGTTGTGAATATATGACTGGAGGAAGAGTTGTTGTTCTTGGTTTAACGGGTCGTAACTTTGCTGCTGGTATGTCTGGTGGATTGGCTTATACCTATGATAGGTAAGTTTACATAGATCTAGCTCCGTCTCTCATATAGACAAAATTGCATTTAGTCCTAAGTGTTTAAGAAATAATTTTATTTATTTTCTGACAAAATAATTCTCGGGTCATGAAATGAAATGAATTTGGGTTTAATGTCCCACCTCGTTACTGCACCAAATAGGTTTATGAAGGTGAGCATACGTCCTACAGTGTTCTTGTTCAATGTGGGAGATTATGCCTGGACAGCAGCGTTACAAGCCAAGGGATCTTTTATGTGCACGCTAACATGTACACATGACCTCGATTTTTTGTTCCATCTGAACGACTTTAGACGTTGTTCTTTCTCAGGCACTCCATCCTCCACCACTGACATGGGGATCGATTATGTCGGATATAGCAAGAATATTCATTTTCATATTAATTCCATGTTTTAGAATGAAGCTGTTCCATCAAAGATGTAATCAGGAATCTGTCTCACTGGAACCACTGGAGTTAGAGGAAGATGTCACCTTTGTTTATGAATTGATCAAAGAATTCCAGGAAAAGACAAAGTCTGAATTGGCACTGAATATACTCAACAATTGGGCAGAAGAAAAACAGCATTTTATCAAGGTTGGTAAAATAGTAAACATGTCAGATGAAAAACAAAGAGAGAGAGAGAAATGGGGTTTAATGTCCACTTGACACAAACTATGTCATTTTTGGACTAACACATGGTTCAATTTTATTTCAATAAATCGCGTGAGAGGAAACCGGAGGACCCAGAGTAAACCCACAAGGTTGGACAGGCGACCATATTCCTTGTCACGTACAGCCGGGGAATCGAAACCCAGCCAGTTGACTCAATGACAGACCTTATGATACAGTGCACACATGCTAACCATTCGGCCATCCAACCCCCCCAGATGAAAAATCCATTTATGCGCAGTAAAATTCACTCTTTGAATAGAGAAAGGGAAATAGAAGAATTTGTTAAGTTTAGAGAAACTGTAGTGGATTTAGCAATTAAAAGATACATAAAAGTCTGAAATGTTGTTGGTGTTTTTATTTACAGGTTTTCCCACATGAATATAGAAGAGCTTTAAAAGAAATAGCAGATGAGGAAAAAGCAGCCCAGGAAATCGGAACAAAGACAACTGATAATAATGTTAAAAAGGTAGAAAAAGTCAAATAGGTTTTTTTCTGTCCCTCCCACTTTTAGGGACAAAATAACTCTGCTTCTAATTGATGTAGAATATTCAAATTTAGTGAAAGTCTGTGTAGGCTAAGAAGAAATAAGCAATTTGATTGGTCAAGACTTTAAAACACAATAACTGTGCTTCAATTTGAGCTAGAATTTACAATTTTCTTTGTGTAGATTTTCATTAGGTAAATATCTTGTCAATCGTATAGACTAAATAGAGACTGTTCAAGACTTTGGAACATATTAATTTTGATATAGTCTAATTACATCAATATATTAGGCTAAGCAGTTTGATTTTGCATTGCTTTGGAACACAGTGTAAGCCTACTACTATATGGCACCATATGATGTCTTTTGATATTTATTTTTAAAAAATACCCTTATATTTACATATTAGTAAGGTTTATGATTTAAATTAAAAAATTATAAAATGTTTTTATTCTTTCAAATAATGTAACTGATGTTTGTTTATTTTTTTAGACTAGTGAAAATGTTCAAGATATTGAAGAAACTATACCTGATGATACCCAAAATCAGAAAAACATTGATAAAGTTCTTGATAAAACTAGGTAAGTTTCTTCATCATCATTATTTTATGCTTTCATGCAAATCTACTGTAAGAGTTTAATTATTGTCTTTATTTTAATTAAAATAAAACTATGGGATTATGTTGTATGAAAAGTTAATTATGTGTTTTGCAGGGGATTTGTTAAATACAACCGAGCAACATACCAATATCGAGATCCCGCTAAACGGCAACAGGATTGGGATGAAATCTTTAATCATAAACAAGTGAAAGAAGGTCTTAGGATGCAAGCTGCAAGGTATAAACATTAATATGAAATCTACATGTAACTGTATTGGTATAAGCTTATACAGCATAACTCTTTCACAACTAGCTATGTAAACATTTATCAATTCTAGCTCTCTGATTCTAAGCAGTTGATATAGCCAAGCTGATTCATTAGTAATTAATAATTTTCTCTATGACATTTGAATATTTGTATTAAAGGTGTATGGATTGTGGTGTACCATTCTGTCAATCTGATCATGGATGTCCTCTCAGTAATATTATTCCCAAATGGAATGATCTCGTCTTTCATGTAAGTAATTTCTTGATTTAAATCAACACATGACCATTGAAATATATATGATATGATACGGAATTTAAAAACCTGCATGTTAAATATTATGATTATGTTATAGGAAATCAAGTTTTCTCTAATCCTTATTTGGAGAAGAATAAACAAGAAATTCTGAGATTCTATCCATATTATTGCCCGTATTGTTAAAATTGTTTGACGTTCTAACTCATGATATCAACTGGCAGACTATCGCCATTGAGACGACCACTTTCAAGATCGGTCGCATTATTTCTGTTAGTCTTTTTTGTATTCCTGATTGTTTTCAAATTTGAGTGAAGTCTGTGTCACTACAGACCCGGGACTGTACAGCGCAGTGGACACTTATGGCTGGCCCCCCGGATCCATTCACGTAATTTGATGGGGTTTTTTTTTGGTGCAATGTCTATTTTCTGTCTTGTCCGCAGGTTTATCTTGTAGGTTTTTGTTTTACGTGTAGTGCGGTCCTCCTGTTCTTACTATTAGAATAGTATCTGGTAAATAACCACTGACAATATTTATTCTATATAATCTTACAGATTTGTCTTTATATTACAGAACAAATGGAGGGAGGCATTAGATCAGTTGGAACAAACTAATAATTTCCCTGAATTCACAGGTCGTGTTTGTCCTGCTCCTTGTGAGGTACGTAAACAGTTCATAGTCTTTTTCACATATATAAAAATCATCTGATTTGAAACAAAATAATCAAATATTTAAGAATAGCTAATTTATGAATGGTCATAATAAGAAATTTATTTTTCAGGGTGCATGTGTATTGGGCATTAATCAACCTGCTGTAACTATTAAAAACATAGAAAATACTATTATTGATACTGCTTTTGAGAATGGGTGGATGGTGCCACGACCACCTGCAGAACGTACGGGTAAAAAAATAGCTGTAGTTGGTAGTGGACCATCTGGTTTAGCTGCTGCTGCACAACTTAATAAGGTAAAATTAGAATAGACATATTTAAGCAACTTTATATCTCCCATTAATGCATTTCACCATTGGTTTTGTTTGATTGTTTATAAAAACTTTCTACCCAAATATTTCAAAGGTAATATCCCTTTAACTTATTTAGTGATAAACTACTCTGATTTACACTTATTAAAATTTTCATTAAAGATAAATAAAATCTTGCACACACTCAATTTTTTTTATCCAGTGGATTATATGTGATATAAAAAAAACTAATTTGAGATTCTGTGTGTATCAGCTTCTAGTAAAAATACATTTTAGTTTAATATAGTATAATACTATTATTATTCCTATTATAGGCTGGTCATACTGTAACAGTATATGAGAGAAATGACAGAGTAGGTGGTTTATTAAGATATGGTATACCAACCATGAAACTTGGTAAAGATGTAAGTACAAAAACTTAAGATTAAATTTACACCAATTAGTAGAATAATATCTATATATTCATAGTTTCATGTTAATAAAGAATGTGAGAAAAAATAAAGGAATATGTCTAAATCTATTTATTAATCCAAACTTATTAATCAACAAATTTTATCACTTAACACATTTTGGAGAACATTGCCCAAATGTAAAACTATTAAAATATACTTTATCAGGTTGTACAGAGAAGAGTAGATCTGTTAAATAAAGAAGGTATAGAGTTTAAAACTAACTGTGAAATAGGTGTTACAATGCCAACATCACAACTAGTAAAAGAGAATGATGCTGTTTTATTGACACTTGGTGCTACATGGCCTAGAAATTTACCTATACCAGGTATATGATGTTACAATACATTTTAACTGTCTAATATTTATTATATTCTTACAATTCTACTTAATATCCTGAAAAAAAGTTGGTATATTATATACACAGACTATAGTGAGCCGATTAACATTCCTGGTTGGGAGGCTGTAACTATTTGTAGAATTGTCTGCCTAACCTTTTGGGGTTTCTTAGGATCCTTCAGTTTCCTCCCACTGCTAAAGACTTCAATGGACAAGTTAATTATTGAAATAACAGTCTGAAGGCTAACATGAGATGATTTTTATTTACAGGTCATAATTTAGAAGGAATCCATTTTGCTATGAGTTTTCTGGAGAGATGGCAGAAGAAGCAATCTGGTAATGATATAGAGTTATTAAATTTAGCAGCTAAAGATAAAGATATAATTATTATAGGTGGTGGAGATACGGGTTGTGACTGTATAGCTACATCATTAAGACAGGTAAATATATAGAGGATATTTGTCGTTTTAGAGTGAATAACATATTTTATTTCATGGAGAAGCAAGAAAACTTATATTTTCACGAATGCGTAGCATGAGTGAAAATATAAAGTTTTCTTGCTTAGAGATGAAATAAAATATGTTATTCACGACAAAACGACAAATGTTCTACTTATTTTATGATTTTACAATCATTTTAGGTAAAAACAACATGGACTACTGCTAGCCAGTGGAATAACACTTTTATTTCACTGATAAAATGCGGTATTCCACTACTGATCATAAAATAAAATATTCTCTCCTAACAGTAGATATACTTACAATGGAAATTTTGAAGGTATTATTGGAAATCATGAAGGCAGAAGGGTTAACATAGAGAGATAATTACCCATTAAGATTTAGCTCTTAAATAATACATCTTTAATGGTCACAGTTTTATCATCAAGAAAAAAATGTTGATTTATTATGATCGGGTATATTAATTCCTCAATCAAATTTTCTTGAAATAGATTAGCTTAGATTTTATTAATGCTAATAAATGATTAATTTTATTTTAGGGGGCCAAGAGTATTACTTCATTTGAGATTTTACCAGAACCACCAGCAAGTCGTGCTGATAGCAACCCCTGGCCAACATGGCCGAAAATATTCCGAGTTGACTACGGTCACGAGGAGGTGAAACTCAAGTTTGGACGAGATCCTAGAATCTTCAACATTAAAACTTCAGTGAGTATTACTATCATCTTTTATAATATAAGGTCTGTCATTGAGTCAACTGGCATGGTTTCGATTCCCCGGTTGAATGTAACAAGGAGTAGGATTGACTGTCCAACCTCCTGGGTTTTCTCCTGGTCCTCCCGTTTCCTCTCACTGCTAAAGACCCCTACATGCAAGCAAAGTACTGAAATAAAATTGAACCATGTGTTAGTCCCAAAATGATCTAGTTTGTTTCTAGTGGACGTTAAACCCCATTTCTCTCTCTCTCGCATTTTAAAATATATATTATACTCTATTTATGATAGGAATTTCTTGATGATGGTAAAGGACATGTTTGTGGTGTTAAAACTGTTTTAGTTGAATGGAAGAAAGATGAAGCTGGTAGATGGCAAATGAGTGATGTACCTGGTAAGGACGTATGACTTGTAATATTCCATCTTAAGATGGGTCCTTATGTTTCATTTGTTTTTCCAAAAAATTAGTAATTGTTTCCAATTTTAATTAAAATACTGAGATGAGTGCTTATGGCTATTTTGTTTTTTCAAAAATTAGTAATTGTTTCAAATTTTAATTAAAATACGGAGAAGTATTTGTATGGTATTAGAAAGAACACACATCTGTTTATTTATGGTTATTTTAATTGTATTTCAGGAAGTGAAAAGACATATAAATGTGATATGATATTGTTAGCTATGGGTTTTCTTGGACCAGAACGTAAAATCGTTGAAGAATTGTCAATTGATTTAGACCCAAGAGGAAATCTTCAAACACCGAAAAATAAATATGCAACTAGTATTCCACAAGTCTATGCTGCTGGAGGTAATTTATATTTTAACACTGTCCAAGCAAATTTACGGATCCCTAGACTTAATTTTAGTATACTATTCAAAAAAAGTAGGGGATATTTGATTTTGGGGGCATAATACTAAAATATGCAAATGACTACGAAAAAAGTCACTATAGAACTTAACAGAAGAAACATTTCCAGTTACATGTGACGCCCAAACGCACCAATAGCTACCGCATGGAATGCAGGTGATGCTTGGGATCATCATGGGGGTCCAACCCAAGATTTGCACGACTCTGACTTTGAATGTTACAGTCATTGTGGCATTGAATTCCAGGGTGGAAAAATCAGTTTAATTGTTTTAGTGACCAGAAAACAAATTTTGATATGCGTCGGCTTACCCAAAATGAAAGGTTACGTGCCCTTGGCATGCTACAGATCGGCACAACACAGGCGGTTGTGGCGCGGACAATGAATGTTTCTCAGTCTGTCATAAGCAGGCTATGGTCCAGATACCGTGATACACAATCTGTACAGGACAGACCACGCTCAGGTCGACCAAGGGCGACAACTCAAGCCCAGGATCGATTTATCCGTACCTTGGCCTTGAGAAATCGTGTCATCACAGCAAATCAGATCAGCGCTCGTCTTCAAACAGACACTGGTGTGAGAGTGAGTGGCCAGACGATTCGGAATCGACTGCATAGGGGTCACCTTCGCGCCCGACGTCCTCGCGTGATCCCTTGTTTGAGAGATCATCACATTCAGGCAAGACGTTGTTGGTGTAGGGATCGTCAACACTGGGATAATCGACGCTGGAGCAATGTGATGTTTTCAGATGAGTCAAGGTTCACTGTTGATTTTTTTGGACAGACGTAGGAGGGTGTGGCGTCGTCGAAACGAGCGCTTCCAAGACGTTAACGTCATGAGACATGATCGATTTGGGGGTGGTTCTGTTATGGTGTTGGGAGGCATCACTGTTGCTGGAAGAACGGCTTTACATGTTGTTGCAGGGCGTGTTACAGGCCAGTACTACCGGGACAACATCTTGGCAGTCCATGTTGTGCCGTTCGCACGACGTCATGGCCGCCGTTTCATCTTCCAGGATGACAACGCAAGATGTCACAGGGCCAGGATCGTTACAGGTTACCTCCAACAACAGAACATCACCACATTACCTTGGCCAGCACTGAGTCCCGACCTCTCCCCCATCGAGCATGTCTGGGACATGCTTGGACAGAGGTTACGTCAACGTCAACAACGTCCTGCCAATGTCCAAGAACTTGCTGCTGCGTTGCAACAGGAATGGGACAATCTGGACCAAAATGACCTTAGACGTCTCATTAGGAGTATGCCACGTCGGATCAATGCTTGTTTGGCAAACAGAGGAGGATTTACCCGTTACTGACTTGGTTGTGATGCTGTGGTAACTTTGTTGTTTGACCCCGGGTATCATTTTACCCTTATAATGGTCAGTCTGTGCCTTACTTAGTCTAACGATCATTTGGAATAAATCGATGAATGTGAACTTCATTTCATTTTGTCATTTGTTTCTTCGTCAGTTTCATTAGGTGACTTTAATAACACTTAAAAATCAAATATCCCCTACTTTTTTTGAATAGTATATTTAAATACTTTAGATACTTGAATAAGAGTTGTAACTTGTATGTTGTATTAAAACATTAACCATGGATTAGCTTGATTAAATCTAAACCCCATACAGCACATTACTGTATGTAAGCCATTATTTCTACTACAACCATATTTGTAATAATAAGTGCAGGGGAACCACACCACACGCAAACAATTACACAAGACAAACCTACGAACAGAACACAATATACAGACACAAAATAATAAATGCACATATAAGATTAAACAAAGGGTTAAAACTAACAATTTAGGAACAAATAGGTATTATTCAACTATATCATTGCATAACATATTTTTGTGGATAGACCTCATTTTCTACTCCATCTAGGGGGGGTAGTATGTGCACGTTGTATCATACGGTCTGTCATTCAGTCAACTGGCGTGGTTTCAATTCCCCGGTTGTATGTGACAAGGAGTAGGGTCGTCTGTCCAACCTCGTGGGTTTTTCTCCGGGTCCTCCGGTTTCCTCCCACTGCTAAAGACCCCTACACGCAAGCGAGTTATTGAAATAAAAAATTAAAACCAAATGTTAGTCCCAAAATGACCTAGTATTTGTCGAGTGGAAGTTAAACTCCATTTCTCTCTCTCTCTTTCTACTCCATCTAATATGAATGTGTCTTATATTATTTTATCCTATTATTTTAAAATGAAATCTATCCAAATTGAAAATTGGTTTTTCACCAATGAAATAATTCCTCTTTATATTATGATATGTTATATTTATACAGATTGTAGACGAGGCCAGTCATTAGTTGTATGGGCGATATCAGAGGGTCGACAAGCTGCTAGACAGATAGATCTAGATTTATGTGGTTCAACAAACTTAGCCGGACCTGGTGGTATTGTTAATGCTCCTTATTAACAGCACATATCAACATCATGGAGAGAAGATTTCTCATTGACAAAAATGAGTGAAGTAGAAATCATGAAACTATTGAAATCCATTTTTGTTCGAGGCAGAAAATGCAAGATTTATATTACTTTTAACATCTTCAAAATTTCAGTGTATGAGGTGTGTCTAACAATATGAACAATGCTATATATTGAAGGTCATCCACATTTTTACCATTGATGCCACAGCTTGCATTGATAGATGTCCATTTAAAACTATATTGGTTGAATCAAAATTATCATAGAACTACATTTTATTTCCATCCATTATGATAATGAAAAGTTTGTTTGCCTGTAAATCTGTAAATTTTGAAGTAGTTTTTAAAGCAGAAATTGTTCAGTCGATATATTTAGACGTGCAAAAAATTGGAATTGCTGGGGACTTACAATCCAGACATAAAATAGCTTTCAGACATTGGTCTAAAGTCACTGCTAGTTTCAATCTATGAGAACGAAAAAGTCGTATTCACACAGTCTATTAGCCAAGCCAAGCTAACTATTCTTTGATTGATAAAGATGAGATAACCCTTGTTGAAACGTCGCCAAAAATAAACCTATTAAGTAACTTGTATTCCATATAATTGTGGCATGTGTTACTAACTATTCTTGTATGTCAGAATTAAAGGTAAGAAGTATACATGGGGTTACACCACAGGACATCACGATTTTCACAAGCTAGAATTTTCAGAAAAAGTAGTTATATCAGTTGTTTCCAATGATTATTCTTACCAACCTTGAATGCTACCATTTGTCTATTACTGATCAAATGTATATTATTACCATAGAAACTTTGATAACAATTAATGATTACTTTTATAACTTATCATAAATGTGTGCATCTTCCAATTGTACAAAACAATGAGTGCCATCTGCATACTTGTTTTATGCACTGGTATTTACCAAATACATGACATTATTTTGTACTTTTATTTTGTAGATTAGCACAAATGAATATAATAATAGAAATTATGTATGTGATGAACTTGATGATATAAATATAGAAAATTACTATGATTTGTTTTAACATATTAAGCTGTGATTTGTAATACGAATTGTTTAATTGTTGATTGTTGTGGTGAAATAAACAGGTAATATTTACATATAGAAACATAGTTTAAACTAGAGATTATATATAATATATACTATTATCGCTTTTAACACTTGCCAAATATATAAATATATAATCAACAAGATTCTTTGGTTTTTATACCTTTGTATTATGAGTTAGTTTGATTGATTGACTTTGAAGAATTTTGGATAAGAAAATATATATCTCAACACAAAACACGTCAGAAAAACTTGTACATCAGAAATTAAACAACAGTTTAAAGAAATATTATAAATCCGCAGAATTAAAACTAAATTTTAATTGATAATGTTTTTAGCTGCACACAATTCTGTATATTCTTAACCACATTAGGAATTGTGAAATGATTAGATGTTTAGTGCTAACGGTGATGAGTGCTAATCTAAATCCTTGATTTGTTATCCTGACTTGTTCTTCATGTCAATATTATATACTGTTTTGTATTATTTTAAAATTTTGTTTATCTATTACTATTTAATAAGAGTATAAGTACATATTATGTTAATAATATATTGCCTTGTGGCAGCTGAGAGAAATGCTCAAAATAAGTACATTGTTAGATGTAAGAGTCTGCTGGTATGTGAGAGGTATAAGAATTGTATTATGTTTTGAACTCTTAGGAAATATATTCAGAGCCTTTCTTTCTAATCTGTTGAAATATTTTACCACCAAGTATTTAATACTTAAAATATTGTGTTCTCATAGTATCTGCTTTAATATATGATGTTGATGTTTTATCACAAGTAAATCTTCTTTTTATGGAAATTACTGATTTGTTTTGTTTTATGAATCATTATATAAATTGATATACTAATCTGATCATTTGTGTCTTCTTTGTATGGATATATTTGAAGTTGTGACATGTAGGTTGTCTAACAATAGCTAATGCCTTGCTATTTAGATGAAATTAGTTTCCTCTTCTCAAAATGCCTTTACTTCTGAAATTGAAAGATCTACTGGGCCCATACAAGAACTGTCACTCTCCATTTATTGTCCATTCATGTAAAATGCCAGAGTTATATTTTATAACTTCTGAGTGCACAAAATCTGTTTTTAATAGAAAACAAGTGAACTGTGAGGCTGATGTCCCCAAATAGAGGACACATAACATACTGGTATTACTTGTCCCTCTGCCTAACCTGAGCAGAAAATGTTCATTATCGCAAAGGTTCATCCATCTTACTCATTTCGAATCAAAGTTATGCCCCAAAAAGTGGACAAATCTAATTGCTTAGATTTAACAGAAAATGCTCATCAACAAACTCCATCAAGGCATTAACCTGATAAACACCTACACCAAGTTTAAACATCCTACCTGAGTAATTGTGTTGCAAAATGTGTGATGAACAGATGTACAAACTCGTCTTTCATCAAAATATGTGGGACAATTAGCCAATAGGGATGATTACAATGATTTGGACAACCAGCAGACCGCAAAATTTAATCATGTTAACACACGAGAGTATAAAAATAAACCAGGCAAAACTGTCTTATCGCTGAATGATTCAAGAATTCCCTTTTAAACTGAATAGTTCACTAACCAGACATCTAGTGTTGGCTGAGAAAAACGCCTGGAATTTGCCAGCATGGTTTCCCCCGTTTTTGGAGGGTCAGGATGGAGGGCTGGCCAGTCAAATGAAATGAAATGGAGTTTAACGTCCTACTTTTCTGCTCCTAACCTGGGCTAATGAAGACGGGCATACGCCATACAGTGTGCTATGAGGGAAATTTTGCCCGGACAGCGGCACTACGGCCTACTCTTATATCGAATTCCAACTGCCAAGGGATCTTTTACGTGCACGCCAATGTGTACACGGGACCTCGGTTTTTCGTCCCATCCGAACGACTAGACAGCTTTCCTTGTCAGCCCCTCCGTCCTGCATCACTGACAAGGGAGAACCACGCCGGAAAATCTGGATGAACTTTCTCGGCCAATGCAGGGATCGAACATCCGACCTCCAGGCTAGCGAGCTAGCGTCTTACCCACTTAGCCACGTGATCCCCCTGGCCAGTCAAGGAACAGTGTCTAGTCGTTCGGTTGTACAAAAAACTGAGGTCCCTTTTACGCGTTGAATGCACGTTAAATAACCTTGACAGTTGGAATTCAGTGAGGAGTAGGTGAAAATTTCCCTTATGCTGCACGCCATTCTTCATTAGCCTGGTCTGTGCAGAAAAGCAGGTTAAAACTCCATTTCTCTGGACTGATCAATTTTAGTTAGCGTAAGAAAATATCCCCATGAAAAACTTAATAAGCCATTTATACTAGTTGGAGAGTTAGGATAATGAATGCCACACCATTGCAACCACCTGTTAATTAATTAATGATAGCCACAAATGACAAAATACACCTGATTAAAATAGCAAGAATTGTTTTATCACAGTTCATTTATTGTACATGTATACATTGATCATAATAATGGACGGAACACTCTTACTTGGCAAAACCTCACATATTTTACTACACATTTAAATCTGACATCTATACTTGTATGTGTGCGTAATTAAGCCAATCTGCCAATACATAATTAAATTTTTAAGTTTGTATCAAATGTATGTAGTTAGTATTTTTGATTATTATTAAGAGGCAACAAAACTAAAGGTGAATTGAATGTTTCAATATTATGTTGAATATTAAATAACAGACTACTAAAGTGAGTTTCTGCTTTGGGAAATGTCCCTTGGACCAGCTTCTTAAGAGTCAATACTTAATAACCAAGGATACAAAAATTGTGGAATAAGGAAATCATCATTTTGATGAATCGTATAATTGCTAAGATGGCAAGATTATCATAGTATGGCATTGCAATCAGTGTCCTTCGACTTCTTAAATGGATGATTAAAATGCCTAAAACAGAATGCAGCTTTTTGGATTTAGTATGAATAGAAAACAGCCATCCTATTTGCTTGCCACCTTTTAAATATACTACCATGTGAATTTAAATTTTTTGAAGTAATGGTGCCTCTGAAAACATTTTTAACACAATATGAATGAAAAATAAAGTACATAAACATTTTTAGTTACTACAAAGACAAATTCTTAAACACTGTCCCCTTTTTTTACAACAAACACAAGCAATGGTTATTAATTACAAAAAGATGGTGTGATCATTTGATGTTAGACAATTATCAACAGTAATTATCAGAAATCAACCAGATATTTTTTTGCCTCATTAACATTCATAATGCACTAATAAATAAATTTTAAATTGGTCAGACATTAATCTGAATGTGTCATGTACACGAAACTGAAGTTGGTAAACTGGAATATTTAAAAACAGGATTTTATATAGATCTACAGCTTTGTTAATACATTTTAAGCAACCTTATTGCTGCACAACATCCATGTCCGAAGGGTATTTAAAAATATCAATCATATTTTTTATCATAAGACAACAACAATTACACATAAGGTTTTCTTTCACTAATACAATACTATTTCACAAATGGTATGATGGAATGCTGTTCACAATAATAATAATTATCATTTTGTTGCCATGATTAAATATTCGAACATGGGACATAACTCTGTAATAAATATAAACAGTTAAACAAATAATGTGCTAGAAATATTGACTAATCAATTACATATAATTAGAATAGAAGATGTGTAAAAGCATCATTCAAATATAACTAACATATAATTTAAAATAAAGAAATAACAGATCTTCAATATTACTATTAAAAAAGCAAATATTATTGATTATGCTAATAACATTATGCAATTGACTAACATATCTTCTTTGGGGAAGTTTGTCCAAATCATTCCAAGTGGAGTACAAGTAGGAAATCGGAATTTAGTTTTTCCTACTTACTGAATATTACAAAAATAATCACTAATTTCTGCAAAAAGTTTTCCGATAAATATTTATTCTATTTTTGAAATACAATAATATAGAAACCTATTTTGTAGTTTAGAACTATGTTTAATACCAGTAAATTTAGGACATGTTTGAGTTTAATCTGGATCCATTTTGTATTTTTCATCTTGGAGTTCAGTATCATATTTAGATTGTATAGAATTTCAAATTTGACCAGAAACCAAACTGAATTTAAAAAAGAATCAGGATTTAATTGTATTAACAAACAAAGCTTAAAACAAGAATAAGATTTTAAATCTTTCACTCATTTAGGAAAATTCATTATAAGAAAATATGTGACATAAATGAATAAGGATCTCTATTACCAATCAGTGACTAAAATTAAACAATTTTGTTACTCCTTATTGTCATTAGAACAGAATATGATTTCTATCATTTGTACTACAGATACACCTTTAAAAACCATTGGATTACTAACTAACTAATATCAAACTATTTTTTATAAAGGTACTTGGTCTACAAACAAAGCTATTGAATGTTGAGAGTCAATGTAAAGATATCTATTGGTCTTGTCTATCTGTATTATCTATGCACTATCCATTAAATCTAATAAATCATCGCCTTTATTACCACCATCATCATCACCTTCATCAACAGATAGTTCACCCATTATACGGCTTAATTCTGCATTCTTAGATTTCTGGAAAACAAGAAATAAAATTATATTCACGTCATCATTTTTATTAGCTTCGAACACAGTAATTGTAATTTTTTTGTTCATGTTTGTAATAATCTACTAAGATAAGATGACAAGAGGTTGCCATGCAAGATAAGCCCACATTTTGCAAGAGATAGACAGAGAACAAGCTAAAAAATAAAATCGTACAATCCAATCGGGGGTCATAATCCTGGAAGCTACTGTCCAATATGCATGACTATTGAAAGGAACCAAAATCTTTGATTTATAAACATACATTTCAAATTTCATCAAAATCGTATAAAAATTGTAAATTGTAACTCCATAATCCATGAAGTTACGATCAAATTCATGCCAATGTTGAAAGGTACCAAGATCTTTTGGAGCTAAAACCTATATTTCAAGTTACGATCAAATTCATGCCAATGTTGAAAGGTACCAAGATCTTTTGGAGCTAAAACCTATATTTCAAGTTTTACAGGCTAATAAAGATGGGCATACAATATGCACCAACTGGGGTAATAAAGATGGGCATACATCATGCACCAACTGGGATAATAAAGATGGGCATACATCATGCACCAACTGGGATAAAAATTATGATCTCTATCGGGTCCACAAGCTAAAAACGCAATTTTTCATACAATCAGGGACCATAATTCAGGAAGTTACAGTCCGATATGCGCGAATATCGAAATGAACCAAGATCTTTGGGTTATAAACTTACATTTTAAGTTTCAACAAAATCGGATAAGAATTGTGACCTCTATAGGGTCTACAACCTTGATATACCATATTTTTATGCTATTTGAGAACGAACGGCGGACATTTTGTCTGTCAATTTTGGGACGATTTTCACGAAATTGAAACTCAGTCGTCCTTAGGGTGTAACGGTGATATAATAATACGGGTTTTTAAATCGGATAAAAATTCTGACTTCTACAGGGTACACAAGCTAAAAACGCGATTTTTCGTACAATCAGGGGCTATAATTCAGGAAGTTACAGTCCGATATGCGCGAATATCGAAAGGAACTGAGATCTGTGGGTTATAAACTTACATTTTAAGTTTCAACAAAATCGGATAAAAATTGTGACCTCTATAGGGTCCACAACCTTGATATACCATATTTTTACGCTATTTGAGAACGAACGGCGGCCATTTTGTCTGTCAATTTTGGGCCGATTTTCATGAAATTCGAACTTCGTCGTCCTTAGGGTGTAACGGGGATATAATAATACGGTTTTTTAAATCGGATAAAAATTATGACTTCTATAGGGTCCACAAGCTAAAAACGTGATTTTTCGTACAAACAGGGGACATAATTCAGGAAGTTACAGTCCGATATGCGAGAATATCGAAAGGAACTGAGATCTTTGGGTTATAAACTTACATTTCAAGTTTCAACAAAATCGGATAAAAATTGTGACCTCTATAGGGTCCACAAGCTAAAAACGTGATTTTTCGTACAAACAGGGGCCATAATCCATGAAGTTTCGATCCGATACATGCCAATATCGAAAGCAGCCGAGATTTTTTTGGGATAAAGCTATATTTCAAGTTTCGTCAAAATCGGACAAGAATTGAAATGTGGGCATATAATAAAAATGGGCATACATCATGCACCAACTGGGCTAATAAAGATGGCCATACACCATGCACCAACCAGGATAATAAAGATGGTCATACACCATGCACCAACTGGGATAATAAAGATGGGCAAACACCATGTACCAACTGGGATAATAAAGATGGCCATACACCATGCACCAACTGAGGTAATGAAGATGGGCATACACCATGCACCAACTGAGGTAATGAAGATGGGCATACACCATGCACGAACTGGGGTAATAAAGATGGGCATACACCATACACCAACCGGGATAATAAAGATGGGCATACACCATGCACCAACCGGGATAATAAAGATGGGCATACACCATGCACCAACTGGGATAATAAAGATGGCCATACACCATGCACCAACTGAGATAATAAAGATGGGCATACACCATGCACCAACTGGGCTAATAAAGATGGCCATACACCATGCACCAACTGGGCTAATAAAAATGACCATACACCATGCCACAACTGGGTTAATAAAGATGGCCATACACCATGCACCAACTGGGCTAATAAAGATAGCCATACACCATGCACCAACCGGGATAATAAAGATGGCCATACACCATGCACCAAATGGGATAATAAAGATGGCCATACACCAAATGGGATAATAAAGATGGCCATACACCATGCACCAACTGGGATAATAAAGATGGCCATACACCATGCACCAAATGGGATAATAAAGATGGCCATACACCATGCACCAACTGGGTTAATAAAGATGGCCATACACCATGCACCAACTGGGCTAATAAAGATGACCATACACCATGCACCAAATGGGATAATAAAGATGGCCATACACCATGCACCAAATGGGATAATAAAGATAGCCATACACCATGCACCAACTGGGATAATAAAGTAGGGCATATACACGTATCAGGAACCAGCAGGGGGTAATTTTGCATATACACCACCGATATAGCTGGATTCTTTTACATGCACGCCAATGTGTACAATAGACAACTGACAAGCAGAAATCATACTGCCACACCAGGAGTGAATCCTAGACCTCCTGGTTAGCAAGGCAGCACCTTAATCACTGAGCCACCACTTTACATGTATATCAAAATATTCACATATTTAACTATTGCAATACATCTAGGCTGGGCTTGATGTAAATTTAATTCATTCATACACAATCTCAATGATTCATATACATTTTAATCAAACACAGGATGTTTGGCTAACCAAACCAGTATATCTGTCCATTGTACATGTATATTGTAAAATCAAATATTAATTCTCCATTCATAATATTCTTATTATCTTTGTATTTGAGTTATTTTCAGGCAAACACTGATTTTACTGATGAGAAAAGCTAAAATAAATCAGATCACTTTGATTTGTTGTTCTTTTTTCCCGGAAAGAATAAAAAAAAAACCTAATTCATAAAAGAACCAGCGGTTGCCAGGCAAGATACACCCACATTTTGCAAGAGATAGATAGAGAACAAGCTAAAAAAAAATCTCAATTTTTCGTACAATCCAAGAAGTTATGGCCTGAAATGCATGAATGCATGAAGACAGATCTTTGAGATATAAAGATTGGACAAAAATTGTGACCTCTAGAGGGCCCACAATGTTTGTATTGTATACTTGTACACAATTTGAGTACAAGGAGCGGCCAATTTGTCAGGCAGTTTCAGTCCGATTTTCACGAAATTCAAACTCAACGGTCATTAGGGTGTAATTGTAATGGTGATACATTTGAATGTTTTTGGAAATCAAATAAAAAATGCGACCTCTAGAGTGTCCACAAGCTAAAAACGTGATTTTTCGTACAACAAGGGGCCATAATCCAGGAAGTTATGGGCAGTTTCGTTCTGATTTTCACGAAATTCAAACTCAACCGACATTAGGGTGTAACAGTGATAAATTTAAGTGTTTTTTAAAATCGGATAAAAATTGTATCCTCTAGAGATAAAAATGTGATTTTTTGTTTGATCAGGTGCTATAATTCAGGAAGTTACAGTCTGATATATGCCAGTATCGAAAGGAACTGAGATCTTTGGGAGACAGACCTATATTTCAAGTTTCGTCAAAATTGGATAAAAATCATGACCTGTAGAGTGTCCACAAACAAATTGTGGACGGCCGGACAGGGGCGACAGCATAATACGTTCACATAAAAATGTGGGTATTTAAATATGGTCAGCTCTCTAATACAATATATGGGTAAACCTTGTTTGAAAAATACACTTTAACCTTAAAATCAGATCACAATGATGACACATGAGAAGATTGTGTACACCCAGGGGCATTATCCAGGAAGTTACTATCCAATATGCGCAAGTATCTAAAGGAACCCAGATCTTTGGGATATAAACATATATTTTATGTTTCATCAAAATCGGATCCACTATCTTGTTATTTCATATTTTTACATTATTTGCGTACAAGGAGTGGCTATTTTGTCAGGCAGTTTTGGTCCGATTTTCATGAAATTCAGCCGTCAATATGGTGTAACAGTAAATTATCCGTATGTTTTTTTAAATTAGATAAATACTGTGACCTCTAGAGGGTCAATAAGCTAAAACTTGATTTTTCGTACAATCAGGGGCCATAACCCATGAAGTTACGATCCGATATTTGCCAATATCGAAAGGAAGCGAGATCTTTAGGAGATAAACCTACATTTCAAGTTTCGTCAAAATCGAATAAAAATTCTGGACAGACGACCAGGGGCGACAACAATATACGTCCACATAAAAATGTGGGCGTATAAAAATCATTTATCCACATAGAAACTAATCCAGTTTTAACAACCTTACAAGGAAATGTTAATGGACAATAAGTGATAATAATATATATACAACTGCATTAAAAATGTGGGAGCTACCAATAAGCAAGATTATCTGAGAATTATTGACATGCAGAAAATAATCTGCTTCACCTGGCAGTTATTACAACAAGGGTTGCCAGGAAATGAAACATACGCCCACAAGCTGATAAACAAGGCATTGAAATTTCAAAAAGTTCAAAACATAAATTGGCAAAAGGGAATAATTAAAGAAGTTATCATTGAAAATTGTTGAAGATCTACTGGATTTTTCAATTGATATATAATCTACTCCCATGAGCTGCTAAACAACTCATCAAAATTTCAAAAAGTTCAGACCATAATTAAAGCCTCTAAGGTGAAAAAGGGGTTAACTCTCGAAGTTATTGAAAATTGTTGAAAATCAACAGTATTCTACCTTTCAAGATGAAGTGAAATGGGGTTTAAAGTTCTAAATATCTGCACCGACTGGTTTAATGAAGACAGGCACATGCCACACAGTGTGTTGTAAGGGAAATTTTGACTGGACAGTGGCACTATGACCTACTCTTATTTCAAATTCTGTCAAGGCTTATTTTATGTGC